AACAGAGCCCCACATTTGTTTTGATGCTGTGTGGTTGGCTGCATAGAGGACTCAACATCTGTAGGTGTATTTGTCTTGGAAGACAACACCGCACGCTTGAAAATGGTTCCCAAAATTGTCAACAAACTTTGCAAAATAGAAATAGAAGGTTCCTGCTTGCCAAATGCATGACTCACCCAAGCAGAGAGGAGTGGGGGCTGCATGTGCCAGCCTACCCCCTCCCTTGGTTGTTTGTCTGGGAAGGGCGCAAGTGCCACAGGGCACAGGGAGCAATTATCTCCTTCCACTTCCTCGCACCAGGAATGTTGAGTCAGTGGCTGAGTCAGTGCTTGGCAAGAGGAGCAGTTCCCTGAAACTGAGCAATCCCAAGGGGGGGGCTGCTCGGGGGGGGGCAAGGGGGAGAGATTGCACAACTGGCTTGCTGGGATCCAGGTGTCGCCAGCAAGAGGAAGTGATAGCAAAAGGATTTCTATCATAGGGAAAGTGTCCCATAGAAAGCGCAGGGGGGGGGGAGCGTTCCTGAGTCACATGCCGTGACAGCTACAACAACAGCAGGGAAAGGTTGAGTCAGTGGGATGCAAACATCAGGTCTGAGCCTCCCAAAACCCCTTTGCTAGGAAACTGTGACAGGCATTGTGGGTCCTGGCTGGGGTGAGGCAGCAAGTCGCCTTGTCCCGATGGAAATAATGCTATGAGGTCATTAGGAAACCAATTACTCCAGTTTCACTGATTCAGGCTGGAAGGGTTGCCATGTCTGATTGTGGCACTCAGAGACATCAGCTCACTTAAGGCCATTCTGAAGGGACACCTTGTTCCATTAAAAAGGTAAAGGTAAAGGGACCCCTGACCATTAGGTCCAGTTGTGGCCAACTCTGGGGTTGCGGCGCTCATCTCGCTTTACTGGCCGAGGGAGCCGGCGTTCAGCTTCTGGGTCATGTGGCCAGCATGACTAAGCCACTTTTGGCAAACCAGAGCAGCCCACGGAAACACTGTTTACCTTCCCACCACAGTGGTACCTATTTATCTACTTGCACTTTTGACGTGCTTTCGAACTGCTAGGTGGGCAGGAGCAGGGACCGAGCAATGGGAGCTCACCCCGTAGCGGGGATTCGAACTGCCGACCTTCTGATCAGCAAGTCCTAGGCTCTGTGGTTTAACCCACAGCACCACCCGCGTCCCCCTTGTTCCATTATGCAGCATTAATTTGGAAAGGGAAGGAACTTCAAATGGAGAGATGGACGTTTTCTTTTGCAGTCCTCTTATGTGCAAGCTGCTCTTAGTGCCATGCACACATCTGCTCTGCTTCTTCAGTCCACAATTCCCAGCGTTGGACATCTGGACAGGCAGGGGTGAGAGCAGGCCAGACACATACATCTCAGAATCATAGGCCCATAGAGCTGAAAGGGACCAACAAAGGTCATCTATGCAATCCCCTGCGACTTGAACCCATTGGTTTGAGTCCTACCCTCTGGAGCAGCAGAAAACAAGCTTGCTCTGTGTTCTGTGTGATACTTGACGAAGGCCATTATGTTACCTCCCAGTCTTCTCTTCTTCAGGCTAAAAGGCTTCCTTCCTCGCCTGCTGTGGCGACACGTCACCTTTCCAAATTATAGCTGTTCAACACTTATTCACAAGAAAGCACTTGAAAGGAGAAGTCAGACTGGTTGGCCAGCTGAGCCTAAACAGGACACAGCCGCTCCCTCTTGACTGGAGGACCCTGGCCCAGACCAGGTGTTCATGCCAGGTGCTTAACTGTCACCAAGAGGGAAGCAGTCCTCACCAGCCTTTGGATTTCCTCACCTCTCAACTGCCTGGGCTCCCTTTGCCCACTCTCCCCCTGGATTTCGACATAATTCAGGCCATTCATTAGGTATGGCTTAGAGAAGGATGACATTCCTTCATGTCGCAGCTTCTTGCACAACTTAGCTGGGCTGAGGGGGAATTTCCCAGACAAAGAGCGAGAAAGGTTTCACCTTCCCCAGAGAATTCCTGGCTCTCCAGGCAAAATGAGGCTTTTCTTACCAGCCAACTCACCTCTCCACACGGCTTCTCTTTTTACTGAAATCTATCACAAGATTCACCACTTCCCTTTTCACCTCTGACTTTCGGCTTGCATCAGTTTCCTGACTCTCTCAGCCCCCCCTGACCCAGCTGCCATTTGCCGCCTCCTCCTTCCTTGTTCAAAGAAACAGAGAGTTATAAGGTACCCCGTGGGGTTGTCTGGTCCAGCCCCCTAAAGAAATCTCAGCTGAATCCTCCTTGGAAGACGGCCACCCAACCTCTGCTTCAAAACCTCCAGGGCTCTTCTTCCCATCAGAAAGTTCTTCCTACCGTCGAGTCAAAATCTCCTCTTCCATCATTTGGAATCATAGAGTGGTAGAGCAGGAAGGGACCCTGAGCATCATCTAGTCCAGCCCACTGCAAGGCAGGAATATGCAGCTGTACTATAACAGGGATCGAACCTGCAACCTTGCCTGCTCTACCCAATTTGCTCCAGAGTCCTCCGGAGCAGCAGAAGGCAAGCTTGCACCCCCTACCATGGGGAATCCTTTCAGATACATGAAGATGCTCCTTGCCTCCCTTCCCAGACTTCTGCCCCCCTCCCCCACCTCATGCCCCACACAATGCCTTGGTCTCTTTGCCAGTTGATGCTCCTGACCTGCTGTGCCTACCCCTCTGTCTGAGCATCATCCGGGGGGGACTAGATGGCCCTATGGGTCCCTTCCAACTCTAAAGGACCCCTGACAGTTAAATCCAGTCGTGGATGACTCTGGGGTTGTGGCGCTCATCTCGCTCTATAGGCCGAGGGAGCCGGCATTTGTCCACAGACAGCTTCCAGGCCATTTGGCCAGCAGGACTAAGCCACTTCTGGTGAACCAGAGCAGCGCATGGAAACGCCATTTACCTTCCCGCCAGAGCAGTACCTATTTATAATAATAATAATACAGTGGTACCTTGGGTTAAGAACTTAATTCGTTCCAGAGGTCCGTTCTTAACCTGAAACTGTTCTTAACCTGAGGTACCACTTTAGCTACTGGGACCTCCTGCTGCTGCTGTGCCGCTGCTGCACGATTTCTGTTCTCACCCTGAAGCAAAGTTCTTAACCCAAGGTAATATTTCTGGGTTAGCGGAGTCTGTAACCTGAAGCATATGTAACCCGAGGTACCACTGTGATAATAATAATAATAATAATAATAATAATAATAATAATAATAATTGTCAGGGGTTCAGAGAGAGAGGCACAGGGTAGGCAGGAGATGGAGAGCGAGGGGGAGGAATTCCAAGCCAGCGAGGAAGAGGATGACAATGACTCAAGGGATTCCATGAGTCTTTCCAGCGAATCAGAGGATTCCCAGAAGGGGCGCCGGTGGTCAGGGCCAGGGAGCCCCAGGGGGGAAGTGTCAGGAGCAGGGTGCCAGCGGAGGATCCCAAAGTGGCAGCTGGGCGTCAGGACCAGCCTCCCCACCAAAGTGCAGTGAAGGGGGTGGAGTTTCCAGTGTGTCAGAGGAAGCAGCTCCAGCAGCAGAGAAAGGAGGGGGGTCAGAGCAAGCCGCCCTCCCGGAGGGGAGGGGAGCAGTGAAGGGAGTAGTGTAACTGTCAAAAGGAAAGTTAGAGGTTTGGCGCACGCGCCTAGTTCAAATGTAGAGGCGCGCGGAAGTGCAGGGAGCCCGGAGGAGGGGCCAGGTCCCAAAGCCCGCAGGAGGGGGGAAGAGCAGTCTGGGGATTCAGCGTCAGAGGAATCCAGAAGGGGCGCAACCCCAGGGGGCAGAAGGACCCTGCGGAAAAGGAAGGAGAGAAAGAGGTGGAGCAGCGCAAGTCTCTTAAATTGGTGCAGAGGAGGGACTGACTCAGAGGGGACTTCGGCGGTCTAGCGTAAGAGACGTAAGGCTGCGCGCCTAGGATGTCAAGCAAACCATGAACTGCAATAAACACCTTTGTATACAGGAAGACGTAGGCGTTGGTCTTTTGTGAGCTAAGACTTGAGGCAGCCTTGACAATAATAATAATAATAATAATAATAATAATAATAATAATAATAAATTGTATTTATACCCCACCCTCCCCAGCCAAGACTGGGCTCAGGGCGGCTAACAACCAATATAAAACAAATTGATTGAAATACAACTTAAAAACAAGATTAAAATGCAGCATTAAAACATTAAAATGCAGCCTCATTTCAATGGAAACTCAAATCAAAAACCTTTTTGGGGGGGTGAAGACGTCAAGTCTTCACCAAAGCTAACTATCCAGACTGGTCCTACATGGGCCAGAAAAAAGCCAGGGAAGTCCCCAAATAGGAGTTCCATCACAGAAGGAGAAAGGAAAAAGGAAAGAGGGGAAGGGACTTTGACGTGCTTTCGAACTGCTAGGTTGGAAGGGATCCTATGGGTCGCTTCGAACTCTACCGTTCTATGATTCTACACTCCAAATCAATTTTTTAAAAAAAATAAAAATATGGGTACAGCAAGGAAATAACAAGAGCGTGCTAGATCAAAGGCCAATCAAATGCTCACAGTGGCCAATCAAATGCTCCAAATGGAAATCAGCAAGCAAGATATGAGCACAAGAGAGAGCCCTCCGTTCCGCTCCTGGTTTTCATCCCTGCTCCTAATTCTTCTCCCACCTTGGCCTGGCCAAGCTGTCTGATCCACCTGAGTGTGGAATGGGTCATTTTGTGGGGGGCGCTGGCTTCGGTCCCTGGGGCGAGCAAGGGAGGCAGGTGGGCCCAGAGGAGGGCAGCCCAGAGGGGAAGGGAAAGGGCACTACAGACCAAGGAAAGGATGAGCTCTTGTGCTTCCCCACCAGGCAGCCCAGCCGATGCGTCTCCCAGAACCCAGAGCAGGAGGGCTATTTTGGGCCAGTCCTGGCTGCTCCCTCAGCAGAACCGGCACAGCTGGCCAGGTAGGTCACTGGGAGCCAGCCCCGCCCTGGAAAGCATTTAATGCTCCTCTGCGTGGCTCAGATCCGGATATTCCAGGCTGGATATTCCCCAGAGCACCATGGAGGCAGGAGTCCTCTGGCTCCTAACAGGACTCCTCTTGCTCCAGGGTTGCGCTGCTGCTGCCGTCCAGTCCCCAGATTATGGAGAGGAGAGGACAGGTGAGAGCTTGACTTAAGGAGCTGGGTGCCCCCGGGGGGGGGAGGGAAGCTGGACCATCCTCTCTTGGGTGCTGAGGAGGAGCTTCCTTCCCCATAGAGTAGGTCCAGCACCAGAGGGAGATGTTTTCATTTAGAGAAAAGGTGAGCAGGAGGCATAGGAGAACAAGAAGCAACACGATAGACATTTATAAGATTCCTCCTGCCACGGAGGAAGTGGAGAGAGGTCTTTCTCCCTCTCTCCTAGAATTCGTGGACGATGTTTCCGTTTTACTTACTATATGCATCTTACACCCCCCCACACCAATTTCCCCCTTTTCTTCCTAATGTCTCAACAAATGAAACTGATTTGTAAAAATGTTACATGGGGGGAAAAATACGAGAGAGACATTGCAAACACTTTTGTAAATCAAGAAAATCTTTAATAAAAAAAATTAAAATAAAATAAAAATAGGACTCGTGGACGTCCAATGAAGCTGCATGTTGGAAGTTTCGGGACGGGTGAAAGAAAGGAATTGTTTGCACATTGCAGAGTTAAACTTTGGAACTCCCTTCTGCAGGAAGGAAGCAGCCACCAACAGAGATGGCTTCAGAAGAGGGTCAGACAAATCATGGAGGAGGAGAGAGGGAGATGGGTGGGCTCTGGAGACAGCAAAGCTTCTGCATCCCAGTTCCTGCAAAACTGCCGGGGGGGGGCTCCTGTGTTCGAATCCTGCTTGCATGTTTCCCTTTGGGGCACCTGGTCAGCCACCATGAGAACACAAGGCTGGACTAGATGAGCCCCCTTTGGCCTGATCCAGCAGGCTCTCCTTGTGTTCTTAAGGTGGGGGTTTGGGGTGGGGAGGGGGCTGGAGTTGCAGCAGCTGTGCAGCCCATGGAGCAGAGCAGAACCAGCCTGTTTTCCCCCTTGGGGCAGGAATGTGCTCCTTGGCTCCCCACCAGCTGGGCCTGCAATGCTAGCTGGGTCCCCTGCTCCAGGCCGCCATGGGGTGGCTGAGCCAGAGAGGCCCCTCCAAGATCAGGAAAGCAAGGTGGGGGAGAGGGGGGGAGTGGTTGAGAGGGATATTCTTCAGGACGCACCTTAATAATAATAATTAAGCCCATCGCCCAGCCCTTCCCAGCTAGCTTTTATGAGCCAGGATGGGGAAGGATCCAGGAGACAGGTGGTTGGCTTCACTCGTCCAAGCAGCCTGTCCACATCCTCGGAGGTAACAGATTGGAATTGATCCCATGCAACTTGACTAGACAGGACTCTAGCACTCTCCTGCCCCAACCCTGCTCCCACGGTGGCGTCTACCTCTTCCCGAATCTGAGCGACTTTATCTGCAAAAAACTTTGCAAAATCATTGCAGGAGATCATGTGGCCCGTACTGGGCCCCGATGTCGCAGGTGGTTCCGCTAAATTGCGAACCACCTGAAAGAGTCTCCTGCTGCTGTTTTCTGCAGATGCAATAGAGGCAGTGAAGAAAGTCTTCTTCACCATTGCTATCACCACTTGGTGGGCTCAACATTGAGCTCTAACCCATGTCTGGTTGGCTTCAGAATGAGTTATCCACCACCGGCACTCTAGCTGTCTCAGCGATTGTTTCATTACCCTCAGATGCATGGAAAACCATGGGGCTATCTGGGCTTCATGCGGTCGGAGAGGGCGCTTTGGAGCCAAACAGTCAATAGCCCTGGTTAACTCCACATTCCAGTGGACCACCAGGGAATCTTGTTATGGCTACAGCTGACATCTATGTCAAAAGCTCTTTAGAGGGACAAGCGTTCGTGTTATCAGCCCACATACTCAGTTGCAGGGAGGTCAGAAAAGGAGGTTTACTTATTTTGATATACTTGAGACTAGAATAACGAAACCTGAGGGCATTCCCACTACAGATGGAGTAACGTCCCTTCGAGCCCTCAAGTCCGGCTAAGAATCTGGTGTGGACTGACATGTGATATGAGACATCTTTTTTTGTGGGGGGGATACGATGGCATCTGTGCAAAGCTTGGAGAGAACATCCCCTCTTGTATGGATGGGGGCAGCCCTGCTATTAGGCAGAGTGAGGAGGCTGCCTCAGACGGCAGGTGCTGGTGGGGAAGGTCAGGGAGTGGTGGCAAGAAGGCACTGAAGGGCAGGGCTGGTACATGCCACCCACAGCAATACAGTGGTACCTGGGGTCACGAACTTAATTCGTTCCAGAGGTCCGTTCTTAACCTGAGGCGCATCTTCGCTAATGGGGCCTCCTGCTGCCGCCGCACCGCGGGCACACGATTTCCGTTCTTATCCTGGGGCAAAGTTCTCAACCCAGGTACTACTTCCGGGTTAGTGGAGTTTGTAACCTGAACTGTTTGTACCCCAAAGTGTTTGGGGGTATTGCTGGAAACCGCAGGAGGGGAGAGGGTTCTTGAACTCTGGTCCCCTCGGGAGGTCCGGTTAGCTCATGCGAGAACAAGATGCTGGACTAGAGGGGGGCAGTGGCCTGATCCTGCAGGCTATGTCTATCTAGTCCAGAGCTTCCCAAACTGTGCATCACGACACATTAGTGTGTCAGCTGCAGTGCGTAGGTGTGTCACACAAACGCTCCCGGCGCTTCTCCTGGGTCCGGAAAGGGGTTAGTTTAACCTCCGGTTTGCTGGTAAAACTGAATTACTGCATCATGAAATGATTCGTGTCTAAAAAGTGTGTCACGAACATGAAAAGTTTGGGAAGCTCTGATCTTGTCCAATCGCCTGCAGTGCAGGAAACACAGCCAAAGGATCCCCAAAAGGCTTCTGTATGTGGAACTGGGAGAGGCAGCCATCTTCTCCTTCGCCTCGGGCGGCAAAATATCTTGGGCTGGATTAATGGACAAACGGCCTTCTGCCCCCTTACACCTTCCCGGGGGGGGGGGTGCCCACCCTTCAAATGCAGAGCCCAGGACTGGCAGGGAGACGGCCTGGATCGTGCTCACACCCAGCTTCTTGGGTTCTCAATCGTCTTTCTCTCCATCTCTCTTGCTTGCAGGGAAGGAGGGATTCTGCCCCGCCTCCCCCAATGGGCTGTATGACCCCCCCTGCAAGGTGGACTGTGAAGCGGACAGCGAGTGCCCCGGGGGGAAGAAGTGCTGTGAATTTGCCTGCAGACACGTCTGCCTGCCTGCCAGCCAAGGTACCTGTGCTTTGCCAGCCACTGGTGAAGCGTTTCATTTACCTGCAAGATCGCCTTGCCCAGATGCACACCTTGGGCTGCTTGGATTGGTGGAACTGGCACTATTATGAGTGCCACATTGTACCCATTCTGCACTTGTAAGAACTTGGTATTTTAGTGTGGCAGCGCCAAACTTTGAGACTCCCCGCCTGTTGATATCGAGCAGATGCATTTAGTATACCCTTTCTGGAAGCCACTAAAAGCATTTTTGTTAGGGAAGCAGATGTTGACAAAGTTCATGCAAGTTTTAATCTGTTTCTAGTCTAACGTCATTTTAACTTTGTGAATGTCTTAAATTATTGCTGCTGATTCTTCTAATGGTTTCCTTCCAGATTCTTTCCAATAGCTAATAGTTTCATTGTTGCTGTAAACCACTTGGAAGTTGGTTGGTTTGTTTACAATCAAGAGGTGTATAGATTTTATGAAATAACAAATAAAATCTCAGCTCGAAGTTGGTGGGTGCAAATGCACCCCGGATGACATGAGCAAATCTACCCATGTTTTCGGGAGACCTTTTGTTCCTGGGCCAGGGAGAGAAATGGGGTTGAATTTAAGTTGGTTCCTGAGCCCCAGAAACAGTTCTGGAGCAAAGTGCCCTCCCTTGGAACATAACCAAGTGCCAAGAAGTTGTGTGTGCCTCTGGGCATGGGCAGAGTGCCTTCCCTTCCCTGCTGAACAGCCATAGTCAGATCCCGACTTCTGGGCTTGGGGAAGAGATTGCAGCAGGCCTGTGGCTCAGTCACTGTCCCATTAAGAACAGAGAGAGGGGCTGTCCAGTCACCCCATCGGACCGTGAGACCTTGCCAACCTCAAGAAGGGGCACTGGGTGGTACAGAGAGACAAGGCAGGGCTGTGCAGGCTGTGGGCAACCGGCGATACTGCAATGCTCCACTGCAGCCGAGGTGCTGTGATTCCCACATTGCATGGGGTTGGACTAAATAATAATAATAATAATAATAATAATAATAATTTATTGCCTATACCCTGCCCATGTGGCTGGGTTTCCCCAGTCACTCTGGGCAGCTTCCAGCAAAGTATTAAAATACAGTAGTGTGTTAAACATTAAAAGCCTCCCTACACAGGGCTGCCTTCAGGTGTCTTCTAAAAGTCTGGTGGTTGTTCTTCTCTTTGACATCTGGTGGGAGGGCGTTCTACAGGGCAGGTGCCACCACCGAGAAGGCCCTCTGCCTGGTTCCCTGTAACTTGGCTACTCGCAGTGAGGGAACTGCCAGAAGGCCCTCGGCGCTGGACCTCAGTGTCCGGACAGAACGATGGGGGTGGAGATGGTCCTTCAAGTATACTGGACTGAGGCTGTTTAGGGCTTTCAAGGTCAGTACCAACACTTTGAATTGTGCTGGGAAATGTAGATGACTGTTGGGGTCCCCTCCACTCTGCAGTTCTGTGATTCAAAGGCAGCAGCTGCCTGTCTTCAAAGCCTTCTCAGATCCACCTCCCCAGCAGACCTTCCTTGGCCACAGAGTCCTGGCTGTCTGGCCTCCTCAAGATGTCCGCCCTTGCTCATTCTCTGCTTTCTCGTCTGCTCTCAGAGAAGCCCGGCAGCTGCCCGCCACCGCTGCTGAAGAAGCTCCAGGCGCCTTTGGTGTGCGACTCTTCCTGCACGGACGACGCCAGCTGTCCCAGTAGGCAGAAGTGCTGTGACTCAGGCTGCGGAAGCCAAGTGTGCAGGATCCCCATTGAAGGTAACGAGGAAACTGGCCCTGACCTGGGGCAGGACGGAGAAAAGAAAGTCCTTCTTCGTCCAGTGCATAGTTAAACTATGGAACTCCCTCCCACCAGAGGCAGTGAGGACCACCAACCTGAATGGCTTCAACAAATTACTGTATTTTTCGCTCCATAAGACGCACCTGACCATAAGCCTCACCTAGTTTTTAGAGGAGGAAAACAAGAAATTAAATATTCTGAACAAAACAGTGGGTGTATGATTTTTGTGGTTCATGCTGTAGCCACAGACATGATATGTGATTTGACGATGAGTTTGGGGTAGCCCAATGCAAAAATCCTGAGAATCCATGTGGATCCGTGCTTTGTAACCATGTTTTTGCGCCACAAAAAAAGTGGATGCGTGATTTTTTTGGTGTAGGGTATAGCCATGGACATGCTATGTGATCAGATGGTGAATTTGGCTCCAGGGACCACACATTCGCTCCATATCCACACATTCGCACAGATATATCCATATCCACACATTCGCACAGATATTTCCCCCTCCTTTTTAGGGGGGAAAAAGTGTGTCTTATGGAGCAAAAAATACGGTAATGGAGGAGAGGGGTATCAATAGCTATGAGCCAGGATGGCTTTGCTTTGCCTCCACAGTCAGAGGAATCAATACATCTGAGTACCAGTTGCTGGAAGCTACAAGAAGAGAGAGGATTTTTGGACTATGCGGACCATAGGCCTGATCCAGTAGGCTTTTCTTATGCTCTTATTTGGGGCAGGACCAGTTTTATTCATGCAGTGCAGTTAAACTGAGGAACTCTCTCCCACAGGAAGCGGCAAGGACCTTCAACCTGGATGTCTTTACAAGAGGATTAGATAGGCATCTGGTTGGCCACAGGATGTTGGACCAAATGGGCCACTGGCCTGATCCAGCACCCTGCTTTGTTTTGCTTGCACCCTGTTGACTCAATGTCTCTGGCAGTTGTTTCATGAAGGCTATCAGTGGCTATCAAGGATGGCTCAGCTCTGCCTACAGGGTTGTTGTTGTTGAGTCGTTTCGTCGTGTCCGACTCTTCGTGACCCCCTGGACCAGAGCACGCCAAGCACTCCTGTCTTCCACTGCCTCCCGCAGTTTGGTCAAACTCATGCTGGTAGCTTCGAGAACACTGTCCAGCCATCTCGTCCTCTGTTGTCCCCTTCTCCGTGTGCCCTCCATCTTTCCCAACATCAGGGAGTCTTCTCTTCTCATGAGGTGGCCAAAGTCTTGGAGCCTCAGCTTCAGGATCTGTCCTTCCAGTGAGCACTCAGGGCTGATTTCCTTCAGAATGGAGAGGTTTGATCTTCTTGCAGTCCATGGGACTCTCAAGAGTCTCCTCCAGCACCAGAATTCAAAAGCATCCATTCTTCAGCGATCAGCCTTCTTTATGGTCCAGCTCTCACTTCCATACATCACTACTGGGAAAACCATAGCTGGGAAAACCATACATGGTGGGAGGCAGCAAAGCTGAAAACTGGCCAGTCTCTAAAACACAGGCCCTTCCCCTGTTGTGCCCCGGGGGAAGAGATGCAATGGGTGCCCATTGCCAGGGCATCAGGTCTCTCTCCTGAAAGCTGCATCAGCTCCAGACTCGGCTGCTTCTATCAGTTGGGGGGGGGTGATCAATTGATGTGCATGTGCCAGGCTGAAGGCCCCCACAGGACTCTGGCTGGCCACTGGGAGAACAGGATGCTGGACTAGGTGGGCTCCCTTTGGCCTGATCCAGCAGCCGGGCTCTTCTGATGTTCTGGTGGAACCTTCAGGTCCAGGGGCAGTCTGTCTCAATTCCTAGGTTCTTTAAGGCATTTGGCGGCTGAGACCACATAACACCGGTCCTAAAAGACCTACATTAGCTCCGGCTGGCCGCCTCAGCACCTCGCTAGCTCGCTCGCCCCCGAACTCATGGCGCAGACCCGCCCGCTGCAGAAGAGCCCGCTGCAGTGCTCCAACCGACGGGTGAGCTCTTCCCTGGACTTCAACTCTCAGGCCCCGGACTCTCAGTCTGGCACCCCTGAGAGCCTGGCACCCAGGTGCCCCCCACCCCTGGCGCCTATGGTTAAGACGGCCCTGGGTGGAAGGAAACCTGTGGGAGAAAATTCCCTTTTGGGGGGTTCAAGTACAGAGGCTCACCCCAAATCCCCAACTAGCCAGACGTGATTCAGTAATGCATTACCAGATGGAATCCATTAGTGTCTGCGAGAGAATTTCCATTAGCACACGCCCTTCACAGGAAAGAAACATGCCATCTTGGCTGCTTATTCTTCTGCCTATCCCCTTCTGCCACCCCAGCTCAAAGTCTCTCGTCCAGCCACAGTCCTGGGAAACACTTTGGGCTCATGCACAATCCGTTCCTTCCTGAAACTCCATCTGCCCTGTGCCAAGAAGACTCACGCCCTCTCTCATTCTCTGCCTCTCTGTGTCTCTTAGAGAAGCCTGGGAAATGCCCCCTGGTACAACGGAAGACGCCCTCAGGAGGAGGAGAGCCGTGCAGCGACACCTGCGCCCACGACTGGCAGTGCAAGGGGGACCAGAAGTGCTGTTTCTCCGGCTTCTCCATGGAATGCACCAACGTCCCCCAAGGTGCCAAGGCAGGAGGGGGCAGGCCAGCTGAGGAAGCTGCCAGAGGCCGGGGTGGCACCATGAGAGGATGGGCACCGTTGTAAACAAAATCTGCCCCTTTTTCCCTTATGGGCTTTTGTAGGTTCTCTATCGGTAGGAGAAAATAACAGAGACCAACCAGAGAATATTGAGAAGCAAAATAGCTAGTAAGCCTGATCTTTATTAAAGCTGTTGCAACAGGGTGCTCCCTTCACATGCAGGAAAGGAGGAGGACCCAGAACGCAGGTGTGTCTGCCCTTATATAGACATTTTAAATTGCCATCCCTGGAGTCCAAGACCACCCCCAGAAACATCATACCTACATCACAGAAAAGGCGGTCTACAACAGAAATCTGAGTGCATTGTTTTTACCTTGTATGCCAGGTTACCTGTTAATGTTCACTTGACTGGATACCCTGGGGAGCCTGGCCAGTCTTTTGTAATGATAATACTTAATTCCTGAGCCAAGTCACAGGCTCACCCTATTCACACCTTAAATGTGCCCTTAAGGCAGGATTTGTGAGGACAGAGACAATGGGGAGGTTTCTGCATTTCCTTCGAACTTGCAGAGAAATATTTGAGGTGACTGAAAGAGTCAAACTGGCTTTAGGACTTTTCCTGTGGGTTTTGGACATGTGGTTTATATATTTACTGGTATATATGTGTTTGCTTGGTACGTTTAGGAATATATATATATATATGACCTAAAAATTCTTATAACAGCACCCCTGGCAGGTGAATCTCAGGAGGCTCATACAGTCACAAGGGATCCCAGGGGTCATCTAGCTCAGCCCTCTGCAATGCAGGAATTGCAGCTAAAACCACTGCTTTTCCTCTCTTGCTCCAGCTGCCTGTTTGGGCTGAGGGACTTGACTCAGCTGCCCTGGGGATCCATCACGCAAGGCCCCCATTGGCCTAGGAAGAGTGCAACGGGTGGGCTTTGGGACAGGGGTCTCGGCACTCTTCTCCAGCAGCGGGGACATCCCTCCCTCAGACAGTCTGGTGGGTTTGATAAGAGAGGAAGGGTCCCCAATGGGTGCTCAGGACTCTTCCCTGACAAGAGTGAAAAGACGGGGAGGGGAGACCAGCAGCTCCTTGACCAGGGCTGATGCTGCTGGTGGAGCTGACTGCTTCCTTTTAGCTGAGGCACCCCTGGGGGAAGACACGGGGTGCAGGGGTTTACAGTGTCCGACCAGGACCTGGTAAAGGGCAGGGTTCGAATCCCCCACTCAGCTAGGATGAAGCTCACAGGGTGTGATCTTCATTGCCTCTCGGCCTAACCTACCTCGCAAGGTTGTGGTGCGGATTGAAGGAGAAGGCGAGAACCGTGCAGACCACCCTGAGCTCTTTGGAGGAGAAGGTGGGACAGAAATGCAATAAACAAACAAACAAATGAGAGGAACGGGCACAGCTCCAAAGGCCCGTGGGGGGGGTCAGCCTTTGTGCTTTTTGTGGGGAGGCCTGGTAGGGTGAAGGACAGCACCTCTGTGACCACTCAGCTTTCTCTTCTAGGGTCCCCTACATCCAGCACCTCCTAAAGGAAGACGCCAAGGACTGTTGGGTCTGGCCGTGGACTTGAAGACTTTCCGTTCGGAACACAGCATGGGGGAGGGGGGGCTTCTGCAGGAAAGAGTCACAGAAGGGTCCCCAAAAATCCAGTGCAGCCATTTGGGGTACATTGTCTTCCAGATGGGGAGCTGCCCTCTCCTGCCTCCCTCTGGCCTCCTGTGGTACTGCTTCTGGAATGCCCTTTCCCTTCCCAGACTGTCCCAGTTAGGCTTGCTTTAACCAGGGCAAAACCAGACTTTGTTTCACCCGAGTCAAAGACCCAGTTTGGGACACACTCCCATGTGCAATTGTACACACACACACACACACACACACACACACACACACACACACACACACACACACACACAGGCTGGGAGTCTCATTGGTGTCCCTCTGGAACAGGAGTCAGCAAACCTTTTCAGCAGGGGGCCATTCCACTGTCCCTCAGACCTTGTGGGGGGCCGGACTATATTTTTTGGGGGGAAATGAACGAATTCCTATGCCCCACAAATAACCCAGAGATGCATTTTAAATAAAAAGGCACATTCTACTCATGTAAAAACAAGCTGATTCCCGGACAGTCCACGGGCCAGATTCAGAAGGCAATTGGGCCAGATCCGGCCCCCAGGCCTTAGTTTCCCTACTCATGCTCTGGAGGCTTCACCTGGGTCAAAATACCCAGCTAGACCACCACCCCCCGTCCCCCACTTTAAGCAAGAGCTCAGAGCAGCTGCAAAGTTGCAGGATCTCAGGCAGAGGGGGATGGCTCACACCTCCTTTCCACAGGCAAAGACTGAATCTCACACTGGAGGGGGGAGGTGGAGTTCATCCTGTCCACAGTCCATTAGCGGGGGAGGAGGGTGGCATCCGGAGCCCAAAGCACAGCTCCGAGCAAGCCCCCCTCTCCAGGCGTGCAAAGGAAGAGCCGGTAAACAATCCTAAAATGCTTCTGGCTCCCTTTGGCCAGCGACCCCCTGAAACCAGCTGCCTCCTGGGCATATGAGAATCTGTATGCATGTTTGGCTCTGTATGTGTGTTGGGCATTAATAAAAAGAACCCGCCTGTGCCATTGTAGGGTTGCTATTGTTGCTGTTTGTGAACCACCATTTGCATACAGAACCATTGAGTCGGGAGGGATCCCATGAGTCATCTAGTCCAACCCCTGCAATGCAGGAATCACAGCTAAAGGACCCCTGACAAATGGCCATTCGTCCTCTGCTTAGAAACCTCCAAGGAAGGAGAGTCTACAATCTTCTGAGGTCGTCCGTTCCCCCGTCCGACCGCTCTTACTGTCAGAAAGTTCTTCCTAAAGTGTAGCCAGAATCTCCTCTCTTGTGAGACCTGCAGGATGCTCCCCCGGCAGAGTATATTTCACCCTCCATCCACTGGAATCTCCCTGCCATTTCTCCAAAGCCTGGCATGAGTGTTGCATCTGCCAGGAGATAACAGCCCCCCTATAGCACCCTGGTTCCTTGTGAGCAAACTGAAATTGTGTAGCATAGTGGCCAAGAGGCTAAGGAGCCCTGCCCCAGGATGGGGTCCCTTGTTCCCTTTCAAACTGCCCTAGACAGGCCTGTTTGGACAAGACTCACACCCCACACCCTGCATTATCTCAGCAATTCCTCCAAAGTCAAACAGTGCGGAGGATTCCCCAGATAACATAAGTGACATGCCTGGAATGTTCAGAAATGCACAGCCCTTGGCTGGATTTCACGTGGCCCGAGGAGCTATCTGACTCACACTTCTTTCCTAACCAGCTTCAAAGATTAAAAGGGAGATGGGGTGGGGGTAGGAGGCAATAGACCTGTCAGAGCCTCCGCTACGACTGAGCTACTCCTTCTCCGGTTGAGTCCTTCGGAATCGCCTCCGACGATAATTAACGACCTGAGCCTCTGATAAGGCTCCAAGCACATTCCCATTATGCAGAGAATCAAAGCAGCAGAAGTGATGAGATTTATGAGCTACATGGCTAAAGAGTTTTATTGCTAAGCTACGCAGACAGAAAAGAAATACGTCCTCTCTCTGTGAGAGCAGAGAGCAACTGAACAACAAAGGAACAGGAAACCAGTAAACATCTCTTCTGTGCGACTTCCAACAGTCTGGAATGTGTGGAATGCAAAACAGAGTCTTGTGACTCCAAAGCACTGCACAGTGGCAAACAGAAACTCACAAGACCTTGGCCCAAACTCCCAACTTCCTCCTGCCTTCACAAACTGAAAAATTCACAAATTGAGTGCCTGGTCAGACATGACCCTTGCCCGTATCATGGCAGGTTCCCCATCGCACACACAGTTTTTTTTATTTTAAGTGTAAAGCAGCTCTGGGAATTGTGGGGAATGTCCATTGGAGGCATCAGGGGGAACCAGGTGATCAGCAGCTTGTCTTGCAGAAACAACGCCCTACCCACCCTGAGTTCAAACGGCTATGAAATGCCCAATCCGCCAAAGCTGCTATGAGAATGGCAAAAACCAGAGGGCTAGAGCCCATTTTCCAAGTGGGAAAATCCAACCTGGACCCGAATACAGCAACCGATTATGCCATAGCAAGGTCTAGCAGAGCAACAAGTGACAACAATATATTATTATTATTATTATTATTATTATTATTATTATTATTATTAATTTATTTGTACCCTGCCCATCCGGCTGGGCTTCCCCAGCCACTCTGGGCGGCTTCCAACAAAGATCAAAAATACATTAAAATATCAAGGGAGGGAGGGTGGGAGAGCCAAGGACACATGGCTGTAGTGCAAGCCACAGGCCTTCATTATATACCAGAAGGGTAGGGTGATCCCGCCCCTGGGGGCACTTGCCTGCTCACAATTCGCTGATTAGATGAGTGGGCGGGACCAATCACCTGGGCAGCAAGCTCAGCCCAGAGGCTTCCTTTACTGCCTGGGAAACAATACCTGGTTCTTCCCCTGTCAAATCACGGCACTGGAGTACTTAAAGAATGCAAATGTGAAGTCATAAATATATATATATGTAACTTGTCCCTAAGATCAGCCCCTGGACCTTAATTGGACATGTCATGCTATTTTTTTTTTTTCATAGAATCATAGAATCATAGAGTTGGAAGAGACCACAAGGGCCATCGAGTCCAACCCCCTCGTTCTTAAAAAAGAACCAGGGGGGAATCTGGGAAATTACGGGTTGATTTCCTTAACATGTGTTTCAGAGCATTATTAAAGATAGAATGAACAAGCCTATAGAAGAACAAGCTTGGTGGAGCAGAACCAGCATGGCTTCTCCAAAGGTAAGTCCTTCCAGATGAACCAGTTTCCCCGGAGACCAGCAGGCCATCCCATTTACACACCGCTATACATTCACAGCAGACCAGTAACCTCTCCTTTGTCTCCCCAGTAACTTGATGGCGGAGACCAAGGTTCATGGGAAACTCATATCATTTTTATTGGGTGAGCCTAGGGTTTCAGGCCACTGTACAGTCTTCTACTCCTAAGGAAGCCAGAGAGAAGTCGGCTGCGGTGCCTGTTCAAGGTGAGGAGTCTCACGGAGGGGCTCATCCACTCTGCAGTCCAAGTTACCCTAGGACAGAAGAGAAAGCGTCAGAAGAGCCTGGCAGCAGGATCAGACCAGTGACCCATCTGGCCCAGCATGCTGCTCTCAAAGCAGTCAGATGTCCCCAAGAACCTCTGGATAGGCTGCCTCTGGAGGCCCCAGAAGAACCTAAGAGCCCCTAGATCAGGCCAGTGGCACATTTAGTAAAGCATCCTTTGTCTAACCCTCTTCCAAAGCCATTCAAGTTAGTGGCCATCATTACTTATTCGGGGAACGAATGCCATAGTTTAACAATGCAGGTCACTCATCCCAGATGCCTGTTGGTTGCTAACCAGCCATGGAAACCATCAACACAAAATCATTGTGCTGTATTGTGCGGCGGATTATAACCAAGCGATTGTGGACACAGACACAAGCTTTATCAGCACTCTAATTAGCCGTTCTTCCCAGGCCACCTGGTCTCATCGTCACCATTAGCTCGTCTCCCCAGCTGTCATTTACAGAATTTAAATAAAACAACAAGCCGCTGGCCCTTGCGGAACCCAAGAGAGGTGGCAAAGTGTGCAGCTGCTATACCATCTAACTCAGTGGTTCCTAAACTGGGCTCCACGGAGCGCTTGGTGCCCCGTGAAGCATCTCCAAGGGCTCCGTAAAGAGACAGGAAATAAAAATAAATAAATATGTGCCTATGGCATCAGGGAGGCAACTGTGCTCCATAAAAAATTTCTCTCCTGAGAAGTGCTCCACGACTCAAAACCTTTGGGAACCGCTGATCTAATCATTTAGTGGAGAAAAATCATTTCCACTTTCCATCCTCCTTACCCAACGAGAGGAGTTGCCTCTCCCTTCTAACACATCAAGCTCCTGGCCTAACTCCCTTCCTGCCGCAGTTCTTCTGGGGGCCTTGCTGTGAGTGACTGGCTTGGCACCCGCTGGCTTCTCTTACCTTTAATGGCTCTCATGCATTGGTGGCCACAGCCATTGCTGCAACACTTCTCCCCAGGTGAGCAAGAGGCATCACCCTGACAGAGTTCCGCGCAGACCCCAGGTCCAGTGGGCCGGGGACACCGTCCAGGATGCACTGGAAGAGAAAAAGGTGACTCTCATACTGGGATGCTCTACTGGGGATTTGGTTTTCAACGGGTAGCAAGCAGTGGAATGAAAATGGAAACTCCACACAGCACTTTGAAAGAATGCTGTATCTTGATATAGAATAAAAAGGCAAGGTTGTCATCAGGCAGCACTTTGCTTGGCTGCCAACAGGTCATGCTGTGAACTACAGTGTGATAACTTCTGAGAGCTGCTGGGCCATGACAGCAGTGCTGGCAAGCGAGATGGGGGGGCTGGAGGAAATAGATGCAGCTGGGCCAACAGCGCAAGCAGGACCTGCCGGAATGCTTCTAAGGATAGGGCAGTGGGGCCTAAGGGAAGTATGGGTGGTCTAGTGAGCTCTAGACAGGTAATGGTGAGGTGTCACGGTGCAAGGTGTAAGGTTTGGTGAAATATCAGGGGAGGGCAGTTGGATAAGAGGATGGGGGGTTGGGTGGGGGCAAGTTGGTAAGTGAAGTGAACAGGGGTACAACCCCTGGGCCATCATCCATGGGGTGAGAATGAGAATTTGGACTTTGGAAGATTAAAATACAAAGGTATGGAATACTGTATGCATGATCGAGCTAACAAATGTTTTAAAGAGGGCAGACAAGGGATAATCTTTGTGGAGAAATGGAATGTTTCTATAATTTATTGGTGTAATAAGGTACGATAAAATTGTAGAGTTAGAAGGGATTCTAAAGGTCATCTAATCCAAAAATGAGCAATGCAGGAACCGCAAGAAGATTGAGTGGTATGGGGGTGGGGGCCTCGACGCAAGTGGTTGTGGACAGAAATAGAAGCCTGGCCTGCATTTTGCTCAGGGGGCTCTGTTCCCCGGTGGGCTGGATTCTATCCTGATTCTAGCAATGCCCACTGGGGCCTATGTTCTCCTGTAACCCTGGCTCTCATTTAAAACAGGAGTGGGGGGCCTCCAGGTACCTCGGCCTCCCCATTTTTCCTGCCCACCTGCCCTGCCCTTGATGCCAAATCTAATGGGAGGTGCAGGGCAGGTGGAAGCAGACCTTTCCCAGCCGGTTGCCGTGGACGTGCTGCATGATTGACACGAGGCCCCAATCTGCCTGATGTCACTATGACAGTGGGATGATTGAGCAGGTGGTTTCTTCCACCCACAAGTCACCGTTGGCCCTTGGGATCATGGAGAGAGAAATACCTGGCCCACGTGGCCAAAAGGTTCTCTGACCTTTTTTTGAAAAGGAACTTTCTAGATCATGGAGAACCTGTGATAGGAGGCCAAATACGCCGCTGCTATACCAGCCAATCATTTGGTGAGAAACAAACCTCCCGCCTTCCATCACCCATGGCCAATGAGAGGACTCACTGCTCCCTTCCAACACGCCAAGCTGCTGGGTCTGAGTGTCTTCCTGCTACTGCTCTCCTGGAGAGAGCAATGGGCTTGGCACCTGCTGGCTTCTCTCACCTTCAACGACTCTTTTGCATGCAAATCCACAGCCAGTACTACAACACTTGCTCCCAGGGCTGCAAGACTCATCACTCTGACAGGAGATTGCACATGTGCCAGGGCCTTTAATGGGAGGACACTGTCCAGGATGCACTGCAGGAGAGAAAGATGACTCCCACACCACAATGCTGTGGAAGTTTTCTTTTCCACAAGCATTGTTGCCCGTGAGCTGAGCGTCCATCCCCCGGAATACAGATCTCAGGCCAGAACAAGCACAAGCCTATGTGAGAATCCAGGACAGCCCCACTCAGCCCCCCATCCCAAGATCTCATGGGGGTTCAGTATCTAGAGAGAGAGGACCCCGGACAGTTATGTCCAGGCGCAGTTATCTCGCTTTATTGGCCGAGGGAGACGGCGTACAGCTTCCAGGTCATGCGGCCAGCATGACTAAGCCGCTTCTGGCGAAACCAGAGCAGCACTTGGAAACGCCGTTTACCTTCCCGCCGGAGTGGTACCTATTTATCTACTTGCACTTTGACGTGCTTTCGAACTGCTAGGTTGGCAGGAGCAGGGACCGAGCAACGGGAGCTCACCCCGTCGCGGGGATTCAAACCGCTGACCTTTTGATAAGCAAGCCCAAGGCTCAGTGGTTTAGACCACAGAGCCACCCGCATTCCCCGGTTCAGTATCTACTGGAAGGCTAATGCTGTGAGCCCTTCCACCTTCTGCTCAACCAGCTCCTATGGGAAGATGAAACCATCTATCACAAAGACACCAACACAGTCCTCAGTGGCCAGCCTAAGAGATGTGCTGGCACCCCTAAAATGTCAAACAGCTCTGACCACCAAAAAGTTCTCCCTAATGTTGAGTCGGAATCTCCTTTCTGGCCATTTGAATCCATTGCTTCAGGTCCCCACCTCTGGAGCAGCATCAAACAAACTTGCTCCATCTTCTATGAGACAGCCCTTTGGATATCAGAAGATGGCTATCAGGTCAACTGTGGGGCTTCTCTTCCCCAGGCTAAACATACCCAGGGGCTGGAAACCAAGCCATGTGAGAAACAGTTGAGGGAGCTGGGTAGGTTTCGCCTGGAGAAGAGAAGACTGAGGGGTGACATGTGGACCATTCTCAAATATCTGGAGGGCCATCACATGGAAGGTGAAGGAAGCTGGTTTGCTGCTGCTGCTCCAGGTTCAAATGACAAGAGCCCAGCTTCGGCTTCGGCTGGGCAGGGTGGGATATAAATAAATAATAATAGTACCGTATTTTTCGCTCCATTGGACGCAGTTTTTCCCCTCCAAAAATTGAGGGGAAATGTGTGTGCGTCCCGTGGAGCGAATGCAGGCTTGCTCCATAGCCGCGCACAACCCCTCCGGCAGGGAGAGGCTATACGGGGCTATGGCTTCTTTAGCTTCATGCAGCCTCTCCCGGGAGGGAGAGATTGCGTGGGGCTAAAGAGGAAGCCAAGGCAGTGAGTGGGATGGATCCCGCTCGCTGCCTTGGCTTGTTCCATAGCCGCGCGCAACCCCTCCGGCAGGGAGAGGTTGTGCGCAGCCTGTACGCTGCTCTTTGGGGCTGGGGGGGGAGATTTTTTTTATTGATTTCCCCGTCTAAAAACTAGGTGCGCCCTATGGTCCGGTGCGCCCTATGGTGCGAAAAATACGGGTAATTTATTATTATTATTATTATTATTATCATTATCATTATCATTATTATGAAGAGCTTTCTGATGGTAAGAGGTATTCAGCAATGGAACAGACTTCCCCAGAAAGTGGTGGACTTTAAGAAGGGTGGAGTCAGGTTGGAGCAGGTTCAGAGGAAGGCTGTGCAGATGGTCAACACCGCCCGAGGAGGAGGAAGCCTATCTGGCCTGGGATTCTGCCCTTACCTTGTCCAGCTGCAGACGGCAGCTCAACACAGATGGTGAGGAGGCCCATGAGGAAGAAGACGAGGAAGAGGCTGGCTTTCATGGTGCTGTTCCTGATGCAACTGGCAGAAGAGTCTGGATGCTGTGGCTGATCTGGGCCAAGATTTAAACCCTCGGTTAGAGAAAGGTGAGCACAGCCCTTGGTTGGGCAAGAGGAAACTTCAGCAACAACGGTGATAGTTGGTTTTCATCACCGGGATGGCATAAGAGTTACACTTGTGCAACAGAACTGCTTCCCCCTATGTATGCAACCCACACCCTCCCCAAATTTGCCCAGAGATGTGGAGGATGCAATTCTCAGAGTAGGAGCAAGTGAGCATCTCCTCTTGCAAGGATAAAGAGTTTTTCCTAAAACCCGATGTTAAGGTAATAAACCTGCAAGGATAAACCTCTCCTTCATTCCACCCAAAGGCTCCTTGCTGAGCAGGGACTCCGTCCCTTTGTAGGTGAGTGGCCTCCAAAGTAGGTTGCAACAGCTCTACCTCTCTTTTAAATCAGAACCAGTGAAGGCGGCGAAGGTCCTGTGAGTGTCTGGAGGTGGTTGGAGGATGGATGGCAGCTAACAGATTGAGGTTGAATCCTGACAAGACAGAAGTACTGTTTTGGGGGGACAGGAGGCGGGCAGGTGTGGGGGACTCCCTGGCCCTGAATGGGGTAACTGTGCCCCTGAAGGACCAGGTGTGCAGCCTGGGAGTCATTTTGGACTCACAGCTGTCCACGGAAGCACAGGTCAATTCTGTGTCCAGGGCAGCTGTCCACCAGCTCCATCTGGTACTCAGGCTGAGACCCTACCTGCCGGTGGACTATCTGGCCAGAGTGGTGCAAGCTCTAGTTATCTCCTGCTTGGACTACTGCAATGCGCTCTACGTGGGGCTGCCTTTGAAGTTGACCCGGAAACTACAACTAATCCAGAATGCGGCAGCTAGACTGGTGACTGGGAGCAGCCACCAAGAGCACATAACACTGGTCCTGAAAGACCTTCATTGGCTCCCAGTATGTTTCCGAGCACAATTCAAAGTGTTGGTGCTGACCTTTAAAGCCCTAAACAGCCTCAAAGACCCAGTATACCTGAAGGAGCGTCTCCACCCCCATTGTTCTGCCCAAACACTGAGGTCCAGCTCCGAGGGCCTTCTGGTGGTTCCCTCCCTGCGAGAAGCCAAGTAACAGGGAACCAGGCAGAGGGCCTTCTCGGTGGTGGCACCCGCCCTGTGGAACGCCCTCCCAACAGATGTTAAAGAGAAGAACAACTACCAGACTTTTAGAAGATATCTGAAGGCAGCCCTGTTTAGGGGAGCTTTTAATATTTAACAGACCACTGTATTTTAATATTTTGTTGGATGCCACCCAGAGTGCCTGGGGAAACCCAGCCAGATGGGTGGGGTATAAATAAATTGTTGTTGTTGTTATCAACATGTTCCTTTTAAATGCCTAACTGGGGTGGGGAAAAGAGGGGAGCCTGCAAAACAAGCCCAGCCCCTTAGATGGGCCTTGTCACCCATGCAGATGCTTCCCCCAATCCCCTCTCCCTGACCTTCAGAGGACCAGGAGTCATACAGGGGTCTGGACTGGTGGTGGTGTTTCAGGAACTAGACCTTGTTTTGATGAAGATATTGACCCAATGTGCGGCACCTGTTGTAGGACCAGAATAATATGCACGTATTCACATAGAAAATAAAGCATTTTCTGATTAAATACAGGGGATATCAAGGAGGAACGCAAGACTATGAGGACACAGAACCGCAAGATGAATACATAATCGTGGCGAAAGCGACATAAGCAGAAGTTGAGCTTAGCACACAAGAGAATGCTTGAGCAAGATTTTTAAATGCAAAGTTGACACACACAGACTTTTCGGTAAGGGCACTTTGATGAATGTCTAAATAAGTAGCCCACACAGCGTACTGCGTTAGAAGAGCAAATTTCTTCAGCTGCTCTCTTCCTCTCTGGTTCTGTCTTAGAAAAACTGCCATGCAGGACCCAGTCAACACGAGGGAGGGGCAGCATTAGGTGGGCTGCAGGTGTCCCACCCCTATGGCCAAGATTACAGGCACAATGTATGTGAAGAGGTTTGGGTGTTCTGGGTGCCACACCCCACCCTCAGCCAATCAGCACACGACACAACCCATGATGTCACCCCTCCCTCCCTGCAGTCATGCCTTAAATAATAATAATAATAATAATAACAATAATCATCATCATCATCTTTTATTTATATCTCGTCCTCCCCGGCCAAAGCTGGGCTCAGGGTGGCTAACATCAAATATATAACATTGGTATAAAACCAAACAATAATTAAATGACCTCCTAAAAACAGGTCAGGGTCAAATTAAAATCTAATTAGATGGCTTTCCGCGGGATTAGGCTTGGGAACAGTAAATGTTCATCAGGCCCAACTGTTTATGCTGATCTAATATGGGCCTGTGAGAATGCTGGGAGGTCTCTTTCATACTAGTTCTTATACAAAAAGAAAATACCAATGGCTGCAGCTGGAAAAGCTGGAACGATGCACCAATTCAGCTAGACAATGATGGTCTGACTCTGCCAACAAACCATCCAGATTATTGCCAATTTAGCTAAAAGACATTTGTCAAATATATTGATAAAACAGCAACGTCTGAATCTGAAACAGCAAGACAATGTCTACGTTCATCACAACATCCAGGTGTCACTGAGACAGAGCAAAAATGTGCAAATACATCCATGCCAAAGGTTAACTGAAGAGAATTTGCAACTCCTTAAGGCACCCGTATAAGAAGAGGAAGATAAGAAGAGGAAGCGAAAGATACCATCACCAACCTGAAAAACAATATGGATGGATTTATGGTTCGTTTTTTAAAACTCTGCTCTGCAACAATGACAGCACAATACACCGCAATGATATATATATTTTTAAATGATATTTATTAAAGTTTCAAAGAAAAAATTACATATGTAAAAAGAAAAGAAAAAGAAAAAGAAATAAAAAAGAAAAAAATACAAAATACAGAAAAAAGATAGAAAACACTTAAAAGAAAAACACATTGATCTATCCATAACTTACATTTCATTTCCTTACTTCCCTGACTTCCTCACACCTCCCTTTTTTGTATTCCAGTTCTATTAGTTAATTCAGCAATTCCTTTCCCTCTTTGTTTTTGTCTTAATCCTTTAATTTAACATATTATAACTTTAGATTCTCATCTGTTAACAATCCATTTGTACATACACCTTTATAACATTGCTGCTAAGACCACTTAATTTCATTCTGACATCATTCTAACATTCATTAATTTTGCAATATTTCTGTAAATAGTCTTTAAATTTCTTCCAATCTTCTTCCACCGACTCTTCTCCCTGGACTCGGATTCTGCCAGTCATTTCCGCCAGTTCCATATAGTCCATCACCTTCATCTGCCATTCTTCCAGAGTGGGTAGATCTTGTGTCTTCCAATACTTTGCAATAAGTATTCTTGCTGCTGTTGTGCCATACATAAAGAAAATTCTGTCCTTCTTTGGCACCAATTGGCCGACCATGCCCAGGAGAAAGGCCTCTGGTTTCTTCAGGAAGGTATATTTAAATACCTTTTTCATTTCATTATAGATCATCTCCCAGAAAGCCTTAATCCTTGGGCAAGTCCACCAAAGGTGAAAAAATGTACCTTCAGTCTCTTTACATTTCCAACATTTATTATCGGGCAAGTGATAGATTTTTGCAAGCTTGACTGGTGTCATGTACCACCTGTATATCATTTTCATAATATTCTCTCTTAAGGCATTGCATGCCGTAAACTTCATACCTGTGGTCCATAACTTCCCAGTCAGCCATCATTATGTTATGTCCAATATCTTGTGCCCATTTAATCATAGCAGATTTCACCGTTTCATCCTGAGTATTCCATTTCAACAGCAAGTTATACATCTTTGACAAAATCTTAGTTTTGGGTTCTAACAGTTCTGTTTCTAATTTTGATTTTTCCACCTGGAAGCCAATTTTCTTATCCAAATTGTATGCCTCCATTATCTGATAATAATGAAGCCAATCTCGCACTTTGTTTTTTAGTTTCTCAGAGCTCTGCAATTTCAGTCTATCTCCCTCTTGTTCCAGAATTTCCCAATATTTCAGCCATTTGGCCTCCATATTGAGCTTTTTCAGAGCTTTCGCTTCCATCGGTGACAGCCACCTTGGGGTTTTATTTTCCAGTAGGTCTTTATATCTTATCCAGACATTAAACAATGCTTTCCTGACAATATGATTTTTAAATGCTTTATGTGCTTTGACCTTATCAAACCACAAATATGCATGCCATCCAAATACATTGTCAAAACCTCGCAATGATAAACCATTCACTGCAACTGAAACGCCTTCTGGATACATAGTTGGGGACAAGCGTATCGGTAATTCTAAGCCCAAATAACAACCTACATATTGAAGCACATGCGTGGAGGATGAGAAAACTCAAACACGATGCAGAGTTTCCAGGAAATAGACCAGAGGCAATTGTACTATTGTATTTTAATAATCTGTTGGAAGCCGCCCAGAGTTGCTGGGGAAACCCAGCCAGATGGGCGGGGTATAAATGAATTATTATTATTATTATTATTATTATTATTATTATTATTACTACTACTGCTACTACTACTTTACTGTTACTGAAGGTAAATGAGCTTCATTGTCACAAATCCAATACATTCAGGATTGGCACAGTCCATAAAAAAATCCAGTTGCAGTACTTACAATAAAACTTACAATGATTTATAATAAGACTCAACCTGAACACTATAGCACACCAGAACAGCGAGACAGAAAGAGAAAGCAAGTGAAGCCCAGGCTCCTTCTGGTCTATAATCGTCAGCATGATGGTTTAAACAGAAATGGTTTAAACCAGCTGTCCTCAGCTTCCCAGAAGACATAACCCAAACAAGAACCTTCTGCTTGTTTCTCTCACGTGGAAAGAAAACTTTCCAGAACACTCTTGAACCAAGTAGAATAGGAAAGAACTCTACACATCAGATCAATACTTTCTGTACTAAGAAATGCAAACTGACACTCCCCCCCATTTATTAGGAGCAGGAAGTATTGATATGTAAAAAACCTGTAAAAACATTGCATGTACACCTTCCTTCTACAAGAATAAATCCTAACCTTTTCTCGCTAGACCTGCAATTCACCAGCAGAAGAAACACAGTCCTTACCAGATGCTTCTGTCACTAGCAGAAAAACATTCTGACTCCTAGGAAAAATACAACTTCAACTTTCTTAAACTAACTGTAGCCCCACACAAAACACTACCTATGAAACCTGACACAGTTAAGGAAAAATACAACTAACATAAGAGCTATGTTATGAACCTTACCTTACCTTATATCTCAGTAATAGTATATAGACTCTACTGAAATATGTAAACCAAGACCTGAAAACTTCACATATGTATGTGAAGAGGTGTGGATGTTCTACGAGCCACACGTCACCCTCAGCCAATCAGCATACGACACACCTCAATATGTCGCCCCTTCCTCATTCCCGCCCCCTCTCCAAACTCGTACCTCGACTTACATCTCACACGTGCCAATGGCTCTAGCTGGAAAAATACAGCAGTTCGGAGAGACAATGATGGCCTGAGTCTGGCAAGGAAGCACCCAGATTATTGCCAACTTAGCTAAAAGACAGTCATCAAATATACTGACAAAACAGCAACGTCTGAATCTGAAACTGCAAGACAATTGCAACATCCAGGTGCCACTGAGACAGAGCAAATATTTGCAAATACATCCATGCCAAAGGGAACTGAAGTGAATTTGCAACTCCTTAAGGCACCCGTATAAAAGGGAAGATACAAAGAGGAAGCAAAAGATACTATCACTAACCTGAAAAACAATATGGATGGATTTATGGTTCGTTTTTAAAACTCTACTCTGCAACAATGACATCACAATACACCGCAATGATAAACCATTCACTGCAACTGAAACGCCTTCTGGATACATAGTTGGGGGCAAGTATATCGGTAATTATAGGCCCAAATAATAACCCACATAAAACACAATCTGACTGATGAATTGCATAACTAAATCAAGATGCAAACAGGATGCTAAAAGTTAAAACAACTCCAAGATGCTTACTTTAAGACTAAACAGGTTTTTCTAAAAATAATATTAATAATCCGGCTTGACATTTGAAAAGTACATAACGTTCTAACCTGGGTCAACAGTGTGATGCAGCAGCAAAACAAACCAATGATATTCTGGGCTGCATCAACAGATGAAGAGAAGTAATTGTGGTGCTCTACTCTGCTTTGGTCAGACCACCTGGAGTCCAGTGTCAAGTTCTGGACAGTTGGGTATGGAGAAGAGGAGACTGAGAGGAGATATGACGCCCATCTTCAAATATCTCAAGGGCTGTCAGATAGAGAATGGAGCAAGCTTGTTTTCTCCTGCTCCAGAGCGTAGTGTTGCAAAAATCAACGTTTGGGGCTGAATGAAAACTCATGCAGCAAATGAGGAAAACAAAGGGTTTTATTTTGCAAGCCAGCCAAACAGGGACAGAGGAATATACATAATTGTTATCTCTTAAGGCACCACACTGGGGAACGTGAGTGGCGATGTGGTCTACACCACAGAGCCTAGGGCTTGCTGATAGGAAGGTTGGTGGTTCAAAGCTCCCGTTGCTCGGTCCCAACTCCTGCCCACCTAGCAGTTCGGAAGCACATCAGTGCAAGTAGATAAATAGGTACCAGCGGGAAGGTAAACGGCGTTTCCGTGCGCTGCTCTGGTTTGCCAGAAGCGGCTTAGTCATGCTGGCCACATGACCCAGAAGCTGTCAAATGCCAGCTCCCTCAGCCTATAGAGTGAGATGAACGCCACAACGCCAGAGTTGTCTGCAACTGGACCTAACAGTCAGGGGTACCTTTACCTTTAAGGCACTACATATTCATAGACTGACCCAATTGCAAGTTACAGCACCCTACGATTAGAAAAGTTTCTACTACTTGTTGTTGTTGTTTAGTCGTGTCTGACTCTTCATGCCCCCATGGACCAGAGCACGCCAGGCACTCCTGTCTTCCACTGCCTCCCGCAGTTTGGTCAAACTCATGCTGGTAGCTTCGAAAACACTGTCCCACCATCTCGTCCTCTGTCATCCCCTTCTCCTTGTGCCCTCCATCTTTCCCAACATCAGGGTCTTTTCCAGGGAGTCTTCTCTTCTCATGAGGTGGCCAAAATATTGGAGCCTCAGCTTCAGGATCTGTCCTTCCAGAGAGCACTCAGGGCTGATTTCCTTCAGAATGGAGAGTATTGCTCTTCTGCCCAGATCCCGGTTGGCCATTTTGAGAAGAGGACGCTGGACTGGACGGCCATTGGCTAGATCCAGCAGGTGCTTCTTAAATTCTTTTTGATTGGCTGTCATGGGGAAATTATCTGAACCAGGAGCCAGCTGGAGCCACACACTCAAATCCGCTTGGCTTCTGTCCCAGCCCAACCCAGGAGAGGAGGGGGAGAGGGAGGAAGGAGGGGGATATATGGCTGCCAATCTGAGCCCTGAGCACCATTCAGAGCTGCCTCCCAACATGAGATCCATCAGGTTCTGCTTCTTCTTTGCGATGGGTCCCTCGCTCATCCTCTGGGCTCTGCTGCCAACTGTGCCTGCCCAGTGTGAGCGGGCAGGTCTGCTATGTATGTTTGGGGGTTGCTTGGAGGGGTGAAGGGCTAGAGTGAACCTTGGGGTCCCTTCCCATTCAACAATTTTAAGAACTGGGAATGCCTGGCATTGGGGAGTCTGTTTAGGGTGGGTGATATTGAGAAAGGTGTCCAGGGAGAGAGGAAGCCCTGCTGGAAGATATCTGGCTCACTGGACTGGCAACGGCAACGGTTTCTGAGGACCCCCTTAAAAAAACAACAACACAGCCCAGAATAACTAAGGAGATAGTACAAGAATACTTGGCTAGTTTAGATGTATTCAAGTCTCCAGGGCCAGATGAACTGCATCCAAGAGTATTAAAAGAACTGGCAGATGTGATCTCAGAACCACTGGCAGTCATCTTTGAGAATTCCTGGAGAACAGGCGAAGTCCCGGCAGACTGGAGGAGGGCAAATGTTGTCCCTATTTTCAAAAAGGGAAAAGAGAGGACCCAAATAATTACCGCCCAGTCAGTCTGACATCAATACCAGGGAAGATTCTGGAGCAGATCATTAAGCAAACAGTCTGTGAGCACCTAGAAAGGAATGCTGTGATCACCAATAGTCAGCATGGATTTCTGAAAAATAAGTCATGTCAGACTAACCTGATCTCGTTTTTTGACAGAATTACAAGCCTGGTAGATGAAGGGAACGCAGTGGATGTAGCCTACCTTGATTTCAGCAAGGCATTTGACAAGGTGCCCCATGATATTCTTGTAAAGAAGCTGGTAAAATGCGGTCTTGACTATGCTAACACTCAGTGGATTTGTAACTGGCTGACTGACCGAACCCAAAGGGTGCTCATCAATGGTTCCTCTTCATCCTGGAGAAGAGTGACTAGTGGGGTGCCACAGGGTTCTGTCTTGGGCCCGGTCTTATTCAACATCTTTCTCAACGACTTGGATGATGGACTCAAGGGCATCCTGATCAAATTTGCAGATGACACCAAACTGGGAGGGGTGGCTAACACCCCAGAGGACAGGATCACACTTCAAAACGACCTTGACAGATTAGAGAACTGGGCCAAAACAAACAAGATGAATTTGAACAGGGAGAAATGTAAAGTATTGCACTTGGGCAAAAAAATGAGAGGCACAAATACAAGATGGGGACACCTGGCTTGAGAGCAGTACATGTGAAAAGGATCTAGGAGTCTTGGTTGACCACAAACTTGACATGAGCCAACAGTGTGACGCGGCAGCTAAAAAGCCAATGCAATTCTGGGCTGCATCAATAGGAGTATAGCATCTAGATCAAGGGAAGTAATAGTGCCACTGTATTCTGCTCTGGTCAGACCTCACCTGGAGTACTGTGTCCAGTTCTGGGCACCACAGTTCAAGAAGGACATTGACAAACTGGAACGTGTCCAGAGGAGGGCAACCAAAATGGTCAAAGGCCTGGAAACGATGCCTTATGAGGAACGGCTAAGAGAGCTGGGCATGTTTAGCCTGGAGAAGAGGAGGTTAAGGGGTTATTTGATAGCCATGTTCAAATATATAAAAGGATGTCACATAGAGGAGGGAGAAAGGTTGTTTTCTGCTGCTCCAGAGAAGCGGACACGGAGCAATGGATCCAAACTACAAGAAAGAAGATTCCACCTAAACATTAGGAAGAACTTCCTGACAGTAAGAGCTGTTTGACAGTGGAATTTGCTGCCAAGGAGTGTGGTGGAGTCTCCTTCTTTGGAGGTCTTTAAGCAGAGGCTTGACAACCATATGTCAGGAGTGCTCTGATGGTGTTTCCTGCTTGGCAGGGGGTTGGACTCGATGGCCCTTGTGGTCTCTTCCAACTCTATGATTCTATGATTCTATGATTCTACAGATGCGGACATCAGAGAAGCTTCCAGCCCCTCTGCTAAGGTTCCTTAAACTAAGGGCTCATCCAGACTACCTTTTGTGCTGTGTTTCTGGGCACAGGACCATGTTTTAAAGTGCTGGGTCCAAGCCCTTCTTTCCCCACCCACCCACCTTACCCTGGAACTTTTCTTTCAAAAACCCGCTCTTTACCGCTGTATCATCGCAAACAGCAATCCACGGGAAACCCAAACTGCTGTTTGTTACAATTCAGCATTAAAGAGCGGGTTTTAAGCAAGGAAAGCAGCTCAAGAGGGGCGAAGCATTCAGACACTGACTCTTATAATACAGACCTGTGCCTATAAAGTGTGGTGCAAAGTGTGGGTACACCCTAAGAGAAATTTGGGGAAAGGGTTTGGGAAGCAGGAATAGGTATTTGTGTAGGAGGGTTGAGGGCAGAATCTTGAGCTGAATGTGTATTCACTAAGTAGTACCTTAGAAGCATAGAATTGTAGGGCTTGGAGGCACCCCCAAGGGTCTAGTCCCACCCCCTGCAATGCAGGAATCTCCAACATATGCCCCCCACCCCTGTTTAAAGACCTCCAAGCAAGGGGAGTCAGCCACCTTCCTGAGGTTTGTTTATGCTAGATCTAGGCCATGTCGGAGCACATATTGCATAAATCTATGCTGTTCTTCCCCTAGGTACATTTTCCAGATCCCACCCCCCAACCAAAGGAAAGGGAGTCAGAATTTCTGAGAGGGAGAACTCAGGTTTATTCAGCTGAATAAAAGAGAGAGAAACAGACTCCTGACTTCCAAGTCGGTAGTCTGTGAAGGTACAGAAGGAAATCACAGTATTTTATACCTCAGAGTGCATTCATTCCAGAGATACAGTGTTGAACAAAGGAGAATTTGCCACGTTATCGTTTCTGCAATGCCATCTCTGCCTGCCAAACCCTGTTCTGCTAGCCGGTCCTGCGAGCTCCATCCTTGATTTTGGGGGCTTACACGGAGCCTGCATTGCAGACCCTCTCTGACTGCCCTTGAGAAATGGACAAGCAATGAGTACAAAAGCAAATTAAGTGTGGTAGAATCATAGAATCATAGAATCATAGAGTTGGAAGAGACCCCAAGGGCCATCGAGTCCAACCCCCTGCCAAGCAGGAAACACCATCAGAGCACTCCTGACATATGGTTGTCAAGCCTCTGCTTAAAGACCTCCAAAGAAGGAGACTCCACCACACTCCTTGGCAGCAAATTCCACTGTCGAACAGCTCTTACTGTCAGGAAGTTCTTCCTAATGTTTAGGTGGAATCTTCTTTCTTGTAGTTTGGATCCATTGCTTCGTGTCCGCTTCTCTGGAGCAGCAGAAAACAACCTTTCTCCCTCCTCTATGTGGTGAATTAATTCTAATAGGCATAAATGATTAATACTTCTGATTTTTGCAACATAGAGGAAGGTGAAAGTGCCTAAGGTGGTTCAGCCTGCTGAGAGGGAGAAGCTGACTGCAGCACCCTCTGGCTCCCAAAGAAGTCTGCCTCTATGTGTTTCCTTGTCACGTCTTGTGGAGGGAAGTGGAGGTTCAGGATGCCAAGCAATGGATCACACAGCCATCGATACGCTAAAAGTGGCATTGTTTGGGTTTGGGAGTAGTTAGAATGTGAGATCGCATCTTCCAAATCAGGAGAAACCAAGACGTAGCAGCTGATGTCAGACCCTTCAGAGAAAAACACCAATGGCTCACTGATGCCCAGAGCCTGTCCTTTCAGAGCACAATGGTGCCTAGAAAACATTTGGGCCGGAGGTTGGGGGAGGGCTTCCGTACTAGGGCATCCAGCCCCCTCATCAGCTCTAAGGGGGAGGGCGCAGAAAAGAGGGGGCTACTTTTGTTTTCGTAAAACAGCATCTTTTCTTTTCTTGCTTTGTCAATTTATTTAATCATTTTTTCAATACAAACAACAACCGCAAATGAGACATACAACAAAAACCAAAATAACAATAATAACACAATTTGACAATTCAGATTTGAATACACTGATATACCTATTGCTTTTTAACAATATTTCCCCACCTCTCTCTCTCTTCCCCCTACTTCCCACCACTATCCGCCTCATCGCTTAAATATTCCTTCCAGATTTTCTCATATTTATCCATTCTTAATTTGTGTCGACATGCAATTTGTTCGTATGTAGCGAATCTGTCCATATTATCAATCCATGTGCTCCATGGAATCTTTTTGCAGCTCTTCCAATTCATCAAAACAACTTTTTTTTTGCTTCTAATATAGCACGGTACATCCATTTTTAAACAGCATGTTTTCTTAGCGAAATAAAAAAAATCCTCCCAGTAGCGCCTTAGAGACCAACTAAGTTTGGGGACTTCCGGGGTGGCGCCTCCGGAAAATGGCGGAATTCCCTTCGAACTGAAGGGAACCCGCTGCACGGAGGCTTGGGTCCTGCCGCTACGGCGCAGCGCGGACCCTTAAAAACCACAGGCGGAAGAAGCCTGTGGGCGTGGGACTCGGCGGGCACCGAGAGCGCTCTCCCTTGTACAGGAGCCCGGTAACGGGCTCCGAGTGGGAGGTGCGTGGTGCTGTGAGTCGACTGCTTCCTCCGTGCAGCAAAGCCGCACTGCCGTTTCGGAGAGCGCTGCCTTTTTCCTGGACAATTTGGCATCTAAAACATCTATCCGTGAGTACCTGATCCTGGAAGAGCTGAACTACTTTTAAGATGGGTGAATAAATAAATAACATTGGACTTGAACTTGAAATTGAATTTAATTGGGACTCGGAACGGAAAGGTCTAAACAGGAAGTCGCCTTCCGTTCTTTTGTTACGTGAAGAAAGCAAAGACAAATTATACTAAAGCCTGAAAACTAAACTTTGAGAGAACTAAAATTCAACATCTAAGATTTCTGAACCCCCCCTTTTGATTGCAGGAGAAGAAGGGGGGTTGTTTTGATCTTTTCAACCCTGCGGAAGTGAGTTTAAAATAAGGTAATTTTCCACCGCCCTGAACCAGGAGCGGGCTGTCAGAACTGACGTTTTGAAGCTTATCCAGCTCGACAGATAGTTAAAAGAAGGGTAACATTTTGATTCTACTGTTGCCTCTTGAATTTGAAAGGGGGAATTTTGGATAAAGTGTTTCTGGAAAAAGAAAGATTGTTACTGTTGTTTTTCCCCCTCTTAAAAAATAAAAAAAGAAGAAGAAGAGGGTTTTCCATCTAGTGGAACTGAGTGTAATTGCAATGCAGAGAGTTTAAAAGAGAAGGACCATTCTCGTGGGAAAGAATTTTTTCTGACCTTGAAGGACAATGCTTGTACAAAGGCTTGAACAAGTGTTCCTGGAAGGTTTTGCAAAATTAAGTGCCCAGCTGGACCAGATGCGTCAGGAGTCGACCTTGATGATGACGGAAGTCACCAGAGCACAGCAGCAAACAAATGAAATTCAGTTAAAGTCTATACAAGAATATGAACCTGCTGTAGCGACGGAGGCTTCAGAGATGGAGGGACCTATGGATGGGCAAGATCAGCCTTTGAACTTGATAAATGAACTTGGGACAAACCTGATTCGGAAAGATGAAATGTGGTCAGATTTGGAAATGGGGGATGGATTGACACCCCTCTATATGGTTATTTGGACTTTCCGAGTCTAGGGATGGGCCATCAGAGGATTGGAGTAGTCGAAGTCTTCAAGTTTTCTGGAAATTGGAAGTGGTATTATCTGCTGTCTGGCTTGGGTAATGGGTTTGGGATGGACTTGCTGCAAAGAGTCAAAAGCATCTTCTTGCTGGAGTATCCACGACTGAAAGGGAAATATCAACAAGAGTGGCGAAAGGGGCAAGAAAGAGACTTGAGGGCCTCGGACACGAGACAACCAGGTTAAGGAGCCGGATTATTGAGGTTAAAAGGACTGACAATCCCGGGACCAGGGGAGGGAGGCTGGAAGTTGACTGGACTGAATCTGACTTATTATTTTTTCTTTCTTATTTTTAATATTGGGAATGTTTATAATTGTTTGAAGGATGTTGAATGAAATTATATGACTTAAGTAAGGATTGGTAAATGATTTGTAAAAGGTAATGATGTAAGAATTTGCTAAATATGGAATATAAGCTTTGAGTTTTTAAAGTTTTTATATGACAAGAGGGAAAATAGAACAAGGAAACGCAATGATAGATGGTTATGAAAAAGCAGAAAGGATTTGCTGTAAAAATTAAATACTAAGAAACAAGAGAGGGGGGAGGAGGAAGTCTAGAAAGGAAGTTAATGGAGATCGTAAAGGATTTTATATTTCTGTTTTTCTGTTTTTCTTTTTTTCTTTTTTGCGGCTGGGTTTTTTCTTCTTTATTATTTCTGTATTATTTTTGTTTTTTTTTGTATGTTCAAACTTTTTTGGAAATTTTTGTTGTTATTTGTCACTTTTTGAAAATTTAATAAATATCAATTTAAAAAAAAAAAAGAGACCAACTAAGTTTGTTCTTGGTATGACCTTTCGTCTGCATGCCCACTTCTTCAGACACACTGAGACAGAAGTCACCAGACCCTTATATATAGTGGGAGGGTGGGGAGGGGTATTACTCTGAAGGGGGGTGGGAAGGGGTAATCGGTTTACCACACCTATCCTTTGCTTCACAACTGCATCTTTCTTCCTTTCATTCCTCCTCCTCTCTTTGTTCTCGCCTTTGCCCGTCTCCCCTCTTTCCCTTCCTCTGGGCTCAAAAAAATCAGCTGCTCTCTCTCTACCTGTGATAATAAAATTTAAGGTCATATATATATATATTAAATGTTCATAAATGTACCAACTAAGCACTGACATAGATCAGCACAGGAAGACCGACTTGAAACCATTTTGACTCCCAAACTGACCCAATGTTTTCCCTGCAAGGAGGGAGGGGGTCAGGGAGCCTTCCTGTTGTCTCAGGAACTGGGAAATCACCATCTCAAAGAAATGGCCAGACTACCAGGAAAGGCAATCAGATAAGGCATTATCAGATAACCTGACAGACAGGAAAAGCAACAACATTCAAATTTCTGTTGTAGACCACCTTTTCTGTGACGTATGTATGATGTTTCTGGGGGTGGTCTTTGACTCCAAGGTGGGCAATTTAAAATGTCTATATAAGGGCGGGCACACCTGGGTTCTGGGTCCTCCTCCTTTCCTGCGTGTGGGGGGAGCACCCTGTTGCAACAGATCAATAAAGATCAGGCTTACGAGCTGCTTTGCTTCTCAATATTCTCTGGTTGGCCTCTGTTATTTTCTCCTACCGATAGAGAACCTACAAAGGACTCTATGCAGGCTCTTGGATACCCCATAAGGGAAAAGGGCAGATTTTGTTTACAACATACCTAATCAGACACCTGGTCACGTGATGCCCCACCTTCAAGTCTTCTCCTGCCTTCCGGTCCTGTCCCGGATCCAGCCCCACCCAAGTGTCCTCTTTTTCCGGGGACAGGCCCAGAATTACAAAAATCATCCAGCTTCGGATTTGATCCTGGAATGTTCCTTATTTCCCCCTCCAGCACCAAACATGGGGAGGAAGATGAGGCGCCGAGGCCCCACCCTGCCAAGTCAAGGAAATGTCTACCATGAGGCACATCAGAACAAAGCTTATATAGCGTACTTCTACACAGCACACAAGTAGTCATGAAACATGAAAACATCCTTCTATATCCATCGAGAAAGGTTGCAGGTCATGGGATGTCAAAATACATAGCTCCGTTGGGGTTGATTTGGTCTCAACTATTGACATTCCAATCCCATATTTTACTTCCCTGTTCGCAAAACATGTCCAAGAGCTTCCAGGAGAGGCGCTGGATTAACACCCCGGTGCTAACTCAAAGCAGACATAGCAAAACATTCTGGCTGACCATTTGCACCACTTTCAAGCTCAGACAGGAGATGTGCAATACAGCCTAGGAGGGAGGCAGGAGAGTCACAAAATGCAGGGAATCATTCATGGATGCATTCTCTCCAAAGGTTAAATGCAATTGATACTGGGACAGTTAGGACTGTCAGGAGCTCATCCTACACTCAAATAGGACCCTGGTAGAGACACATGCCCAATTGGCATGTTCTCTCCCTCCTGCTCCTTCATTCAGGAGCTTCGTTAGCTTTCTTCAGCCAGAACATCACAGCGACCGATGCCAACAGACACCGGCACACTGAGGAGCACACGGCTGCCTGTGCCCCAGCTAAGCAGTTTTACTGAACCCGGACTCAGTTACAGTGCTCCCCGCCCCCCAGCTATATGGTGCTCTGATGCTCTTCCTGCTCATGTACAAGCCAGATAAGCATCGAGGCTCCCTCTGCTGGGGGCCAGGATGCCTTCTGAGGCATCAGAGCTGTTCAGCTGGGGGGCAGGAGGTCTCTTCCACCCACCAGCTAAGCAGTTCAGCAAAGCCTTGATGCTCCTCGGCTTGGGCTGGGCCATGAATCTCAGAAGAAGGAGCCGAGATAAATTCTAGAACTGTAGAGTTGGAAGGGGCCACAAGGATCATGGAGTCCAACCCCTTGCAGCCCAAGAATATTTTGCCTAACATGGGTCACATGCTCTACTGACTGAGCTATCCCCATCTCTCTGCTGATATGTCATGATGATGAAAAGAAAAGAAAGTATCGCCCAGCTAAATCATCAGAAGGTGAGCTGTTGTGCTGATCATAGTGGAAATTTGCTTAGCTATTCCCCCAATTGGACTTTCAAGATGAGACATGAATCCGAAACTCATAAGGCAAAGTTCACTGAAAACCCTGCCCACAAGCAGTGGGAGACTCTTCTAAACTTGATAGGGGTTGAAAGACGTTAGAAGTGCTTTTTGGTTAAAAAGTAGAGAGCAAGGGAAAGGAATCCCCAAGGCAGAACAGAGCAAGACTATGACATCCCGTTATCAGGACACTAGATGTCTGTTGGTGCAGCTTAGAATAGCATTCCCTTTCTCCCTGCTGCAAGATGATTCAATCAGAGAACGGGGCCCAAATGAATTTCAATAGGGACCAATGCCAGGTTCTGCACTTAGGCAAGAAGAAACAGATGCATGAATATAAGAAGGGGGACACCTGGCTTGCAAGCAGTACGTGTGAAAAGGATGCAGTGGTCTTGGTGGACCACAAGCTTAGCATGAGTCCACAGTGTGACGCAGCAGCAAAAAAAGCCAATGCTATTCTAGGCTACATCAGTAGAAGTATAGTGTCCAGATCAAGGGAAGTAAAAGTACCACTCTATTCTACCAAGTTGATGTGAAGCCTTACAGAAAGCATGAAATGCAGGCATCCAGAAGGACTGTCATGTATGGAAGTGAGAGCTGGACCATAAAGGAGACTGATCGCCGAAGAATGGATGCTTTTGAATTCTGGTGCTGGAGGAGACTCTTGAGAATCCCATGGACTGCAAGAAGATCAAACCTCTCCATTCTGAAGGAAATCAGCCCTGAGTGCTCACTGGAAGGACAGATCCTGAAGCTGAGGCTCCAATACTTTGGCCACCTCATGAGAAGAGAAGACTCCCTGGAAAAGACCCTGATGTTGGGAAAGATGGAGGGCACAAGGAGAAGGGGACGACAGAGGACGAGATGGTTGGACAGTGTTCTCGAAGCTGCAAACATGAGTTGGACCAAACTGCGGGAGGCAGTGGAAGACAGGAGGGCCTGGCATGCTCTGGTCCAGGGGATCACGAAGAGTTGGACACGACTAAACGACTAAACAACAACAACAAAGCGCCTTCCTGGAAGTTGCCCGGTGACAGGCAGCCAAAGCGGTGCCTTTAGCGCGGCAGCAGAGGAACAGGCAAAGGGGCGGGGATGCGGGGGGAGGGAGCGGGGGTCAGACAAGCAAGGTGGCGATACGGCGCACCGGCACGCACCGTCTCAGAAAAAGCACTGGCTGTGGGGACGTGGTTTCTGTGACAAGGCGCTGGCTTCCCCAACAAGGCGCGCTGTGCATTTTCTGATCTCCACATTCAAGCTTAGGCACATAGCTGTCAGCTTTTCCCTTTTCTTGCAAGGAATCCTATTTGGAATAAGGGAATTTTCCTTAAAAAGGGGAAACGTTGACAGCTATGCTTAGGCAACTATAGGAAGTTGAGGACCTTCAGTCCTCAGAACCTCCTCATTGGGGCAAGACCTACTGTGGATGCTCAGGTTGAGAACGTGATCCATGCGGGATGCACCTTCACAACCCGCAGCGTTCACAACCCTCGTCTGCATGTCTGTGCATGCGCGGGTTGCGATTCAGCTCTTCTGCGCATGCGCAAAGCACAATTTAGGACTTCTGCACATGCGCGACTGCCAAAACCCAGAATTAACCCATTCCAGTACTTCTGGGTTTCGGCGGTCTGTAACCTGAAAAAGCGCAACCTGAAACGGCTGTAACCCGAGGTATGACTGTATTGGGAAGATGTCTCCCTAGGCCTGGCCTTCTGAGTTGTTTGCTTCTTTGAATAAAGAGTTAAATTCACAGACACTGTGACTTATTCCTGTTCGCTCCAGGCACCCACCCCGACATCACCTGTGATGGCCTGGGAATCCAATTCAGAGGCTGAACCGGAGGAATCCCAGCCTGCACAGGAGTCCCCGCCTCCAGGGCCGGCTGAGCTGGGGCAGGGCCTTGATTCTGAAGCGCCTGCACCTGCGCTGGATCCTCAGGAGCAGGCACCAGGTAAATCCACTCTGGCTCCGGAGGCGATTGAGGACACATTGCCTACAGGTGCGCCTCTCCCAGCCCTGTCAGGGGAAAGTGAGTCTCTCCCTGTGTCCAGTAACCCACCAGCCTCTCCTGAGCTGCAGAGGCTCAGGGCAGAGAGGCGGAGGGAACTGGTTTCTCCCAGGAGGAGTGCTCGCCTTAAGGCCAGGAGAGGTGGGTCACCTGGGGGCCAGGGCCGCCCCTGGCCTCAGAGAAGATAAAGGCCAGTCAGCCCGGTCCCAGGTTGCAGGAGCAACGTCGTTGAAGAGCTGTTTCGGCCAGCACCCAGTCCTGTTCCCCCAGAGTTCCTGTCCTTGCCCAGCTCCTCGCTGTGGACCCCGCTTCGCCCGTGGAGGACTGTCTGCCGACCCTTGACTCAGGTCCTGGACCTCGCCCCACGGTAACCTCCCCCCTGGACCAGCACAGTTTGCTCCCGCCACACCCGCACTCCCCCTTCGTTGGGGTGCATTTGGGAAGAGCCAGAGGCCATGGCTGACCAGGCAGCTGCGCTGGTGGCATTGGCCCAGGAGAACCAGGCCTTGACCCACACCCTTCAGCAGCTAAGCGATGTGGTTACAGCGCTTCAGCAGCGGTTGGACGCCCTACCGGCTCCTGGGGCCGACGCCCCAGCTCCAGGCAAGTATCCAGTGGCCTTGCCAGAGAAATTTGATGGGGACCTGGATGTTCCTCGCCCAGGCCAAGTTGTATATTCAGGGGCGAGCCCGGAACTTCCCTGACGACCGCACCAAGGTGCACTTCTTGATCAGTTTGTTAAAGGACCAGGCGGCCAAGTGGGCTTTGCCACTGCTTCGGCAAGACTCTCCTTTGCTAACAGACTATGCGGGGTTTTGTAACCACTTAGAGACTGCGTTTGGCAACCCTCTGAAGGAGAGCCAAGCCAATCGGGCGATTCGTCGGTTGAGACAGGACAAGTCCACAGCCACCGCCTACACCACAGAATTCTGGCTGTTGGCGCAGGACTTGTCTTGGAATGACGCTGCACTTTGGGACCAGTATCTTGAGGGACTGTCGGATGAGATACTGGATCAGTTGGCCACGATGGATCATCCCACCACACTGGACGCCCTCATTCAGCGGAGCCTGCAGATAGACGAGCGGTTGGAGGACCGTCGCCAGGCCCGGGACCGCCAGCACTCCTGGCTCCTGGCTCCAGTCGTTCCCAGCAGGTCCACGGCCACAGCTGAGTTGCTGGACGAGCTAACTCAGCTTGGGGCTGCGCGACCTCGCCTCTCCCCCTCAGAGAAGACGCAGCATCGGGAGGGGAACCTGTGTCTGTACTGCGGTGGGAGTGGACATTACGCCCGGTCCTGTCCCGAGAAGATGCCAGCCGCAGGGAAACCGCCAACCTCGGTAGCCGAAGGGCCTGGCAACCTGGGGTCCCAAACCATGCAAGAGGGGCCCACACCAGTAGAATTGTGACATCTCATGGTTCCAGTGTGTCTTTACCCTCCAGGTGGGCCCTGGATTCTTACCCACGCTCTGGTAGATTCGGGGGCAACCCGCTCCTATATGGACGCTGCCTTTGCTGCTCATCATCAGGTGCCACTTCAGAACAAGCTAAAACCGGTACAGGTGGAGGCAAGTGATGGACGGCTCTTGCGTTCGGGTGGCGTCACTCAGGAGACCCAGCCCTTGGTCTTGTGTCTCCAGCAGCACCGGGAGATGCGAACTTTGGACATTGCCTCCATGCCCCGGTTCCCCCTGGTGCTCGGGATGGACTGGCTGGAGGTTTACAATGTTCAGATTGACTGGGTCAATCAGACTGTGCATTTCCCAGACCCATGTTCCCATGCTCGGTCCGAGATGCTAGCATCAACGCTCCCCACTGAGTACCGGGACTACCAAGACTTGGAACGGGGGGCAGACCAGCTGCCACTGCATCGGTCTTTTGACTGCGGAATAGACCTCCAGCCCAGAGCACCCCTGCCGGTGAGTCGCTTATACTCTCTTACGGAGCCAGAGCGCAAAGCGTTGCAGGACTTCCTGCGCAAGAACCTGGAGCGTGGTTTCACTTCTACCTCGCCTACCGCTGCGCCAGTGCTCTTCGTTAAGAAGAAATGTGGGGAGCTTCGCCTTTGCCATGATTACCGGGCCCTGAACAAAATTACCATCCCAGACCGGTACCCCTTGCCCCTTATTTCGGAGTTGCTGGAGCGGGTGCAAGGGGCGCAGGTGTTCACCAAGCTAGACCTCCGGGGGGGGCCTACAATTTAATTTGGATCCAAGCCGGGGATGAGTGGAAGACTGCATTCGGGACCCGGTATGGGCAGTTCGAATACCTGGTTATGCCCTTTGGATTGTGCAACGCGCCTGCGGTGTTCTAACGGTACATCAACCATGTGTTTCAGGACTTGCTAGACAAGTACGTGGTGGTCTACTTGGATGACATTCTGGTTTTCTCCCGTGACCCGGCTCGCCACAAGGGTCATATCTGGACCGTGCTGCAGCGTTTGCGGGAGCACCGCCTGTATGTGAAGCTCAGCAAGTGTGAGTTCCATCAGCAGTCAGTGGACTTCCTGGGTCACCGACTCTCTCCAGATGGGGTGCAGATGGATCCTGGGAAGGTGGCAGCGGTTCAGGAGTGGGCGGCACCTCGGAACCGCAAGGACCTACAGCGATTCCTGGGGTTCGCCAACTATTACCGGACCTTCATTGCAGATTATGCTCATCGTACCACCCCGTTGACCCGGCTACTGCACCCCAAGATGCCATTTTCCTGGGACAAGGAGGCGGAGGAGGCATTTCAGGGGTTGAAAGCCTGTTTCCAGAGAGCGCCGATCTTGCAACATCCTGATCCATCTCGACCTTTTGTGGTAGAGACTGATGCCTCCAGCACGGCTCTCGGTGCCGTCTTGTCCCAGCAGCGTGGACCTGATGCACCACTGTTAACCTGCGCCTTCTATTCCCGCCAGCTCTTTCCGGCGGAGCGTAACTATACCGTGTGGGAGTGGGAACTACTGGCCATCAAAGTGGCCTTTGGGGTCTGGCGCCACCATCTAGAGGGGGCACAACACCCGGTGGAGGTGAGAACCGACCACCGGAACCTGGAGTACCTCCAGACCACCCGCAAGCTGAACCAAAGGCAGATCCAGTGGGCGTTGTTCTTTTCCCGGTTCCAGTTCCGGATCCGCTACATCCCTAGCTCCCAAAACCTGAAGGCAGATGCCCTGTCACGGAAACCTGAAGACAGCGCAGACACGGTACAGCAAGCAGTACCAACCACGATCCTACCACCGGCTGCGTTCCTGGCCACTCAGGAGGCTGAGCCACTGCAGGCTCGGGTGCGGGAACAGCAGCAGGTCAACGCTTGGGCCCAGGAACGACTTCAGGAACTGGCCAAAGGGTCATGCCCCCAGTATCCGGGGCTGGTCTTGCATCAGGGCCTTCTGCTGTACCACAGTCGCCTGTACATCCCGCCAGGGCCACTGTGGGCTGAGGTTCTCTGGATGACCCATGATGCCCCAGCAGCGGGACACTTTGGGCGGTATCGGACCACCCATCTGGTAAGCCGCGAGTTTTGGTGGCCCCGCTTGAAGGCTGACGTGGCTCGCTACATCGCTGGTTGTGACGTCTGCCAGCGGGCCAAGGGCCCTACCAGGTGACCCCCCGGCCTACTTCAGCCGTTGCCAGTCCCACCACATCCTTGGCACACGGTTTCGCTGGACTTTGTAGTGGACTCACCCCCGTCTCGTGGCTGTACCTGCCTCCTAGTTTTCTCTGACCATTTCACTAAGATGGTGCACTGAGCCCCCCGCCCATCCATACCCACAGCTAAGGAAACCGCTCAGCTGTACCTTCAGCATGTCTTCCGCCTGCATGGCCTACCTGAACGTGTGGTGTCCGACCGGGGTGTTCAGTTCACATCCCGGTTCTGGCAAGCATTGCACCAGACCCTCGGGACAGAGGTCTGTCTATCATCAGGCTACCACCCACAGACCGATGGCCAGACGGAACGGGCAAACGCGGTGCTGGAGCAGTACCTCCGGTGTTACTGCAGCTACCAACAGGATGACTGGGTCGACCACCTAGCATTGGCGGAGTTTGCCTACAACAACGCGATGAACGCGTCCACCCAGCAGACCCCGTTCCAGGCCAGTTACGGTTATCATCCGCGGCTGTTCCCAGATGTGCTGCCGGCATCCACGGTCCCTGCGGTGACGGAGTGGCTTCAGGAGCTCCAGTCCCAGCAACAGCTATTGATGGAGCAGCTGCGCCAGGCCAAGGAGGCGTACAAGGCCCAGGCCGACCGCCACCGCCAGGTGGGGCCGGTATTCCACATCGGTGACCTGGTCTGGCTCTCCACTCGCCACCTCCACCCCTCTCAACCTTCGTGGAAGCTGGACGTCAGTTTCACTGGCCCGTTTCCCATCGTGGACCAGGTCTCACCTGTGGCATTCCGTCTCCGGTTGCCCACAACCCTGAAGGTTCACCCGGTATTCCACAGGTCCCTTCTGAGTCCGGTGGCCCCGCCCGATGAGTTCCACCCGAACCGTCCCCGACCGTAGCCAGTTTTGGATCAGGGGGAGCCTGAGTACGAGGTGGAACGCATTCTGGACTCCCGATACCGCAGGGGAAAGCTGCAGTATCTCATAGACTGGAAGGGGTATGGACCTGAGGACCGTTCCTGGGAACCAGCAGCCAACGTCCACGCGCCTGCCTGCCTCCGAGATTTCCATGCGGCGTACCCCAGCAAGCCGGGTCCAGACCCTTGGTTGAGGGGGGGGCCTGGGAGGGGGGATGGTGTGATGGCCTGGGAATCCAATTCAGAGGCTGAACCGGAGGAATCCCAGCCTGCACAGGAGTCCCCACCTCCAGGGCCGGCTGAGCTGGGGCAGGGCCTTGATTCTGAAGCACCTGCACCTGTGCTGGATCCTCAGGAGCAGGCACCAGGTGAATCCACTCTGGCTCCGGAGGCGATTGAGGACGCATTGCCTACAGGTGCACCTCTCCCAGCCCTGTCAGGGGAAAGTGAGTCTCCCCCTGGGTCCAGTAACCCACCAGCCTTTCCTGAGCTGCAGAGGCTCAGGGCAGAGAGGCGGAGGGAACTGGTTTCTCCCAGGAGGAGTGCTCACCTTAAGGCCAGGAGAGGCAGGTCACCTGGGGGCCGGGGCCGCCCCTGGCCTCAGAGAAGATAAAGGCCAGTCAGCCCGGTCCCAGGTTGCAGGAGCAACGTCGTTGAAGAGCTGTTTCGGCCAGCACCCAGTCCTGTTCCCCCAGAGTTCCTGTCCTTGCCCGGCTCCTCGCTGTGGACCCCGCTTCGCCCGTGGAGGACTGTCTGCCAACCCTTGACTCAGGTCCTGGACCTCGCCCCACGGTAACCTCCCCCCTGGACCAGCACATCACCTTTCCCACTCCCTGCACTCCTGCCGCATGTAGCCAAGATTGCAGGCGCAACGTAGGTGGCATGGTTTGAATGTCCGACGTGCCACACCCCACCCTCGGCCACAACATGACACCCGCATGACATTTCCCCCTCTCCGCATTCGGGCCTTGACTTGCATCTCACACGCACCAATACCTTCAGCTAGAAAAGTTGGAACGATGCACTAATTCAGTTAGTCAATGATTGCCTGATTCTGGCAACAAAGCAGCCAGAGTGCTGCCAACTTAGTTGAAAGGTATTCATCAGATTCATCAGATAAAACAGCAACATCCGCATCTGAAACTGCAAGGCAAATTCCACTTGGCTATCAAGATCTCTGCTCATCACAACATCTAACTGTCGCATCTGGCGATGGGCACAAGGGAGGCGGGCAGAGGCCCAACTGAGAGCCACGCCAACGGTGTCACCCCAGGGGAAGACAGGCACTGGGTGGGTCTTCCCAAAACTTCTCTTTTCCTAACTTTATTATTAGTATTTAAACTCTCACGAATTAGAGGACTTCCGGGGGAGGCGCCTCCAGTAATGGCAGAATTCCTCTGTTCGGGAGGAATCTGCTCCGCAGAAATCTGGGTCTGGCCGCCACGGCGAAGGCGGAGACCCGTTAAAATCACAGGCGGGAGAAGCCTGTGAACGTGGGATTCGGCGGGCACCTTTTGCGCCTCCCCCACTCGCAGCGAACCCCGGTTTTTGGGGCTCCGGAGCGAGTTGGGGTGAGCGGCACGGTGCATCAAATCGTCTGCTTCTTCCACGGAGCGAAGCCGCATAGCTGTTGCCGGAGAGCGCTGACCTTTTCCTGTGGACAATTTGACTTTAAAGTAATTACCCGTGAGTAGAGCTGAAATGGAAGAATTGGATTTCTAAAAGTTTAATTTGGTCTTGTAACGGGGAGGTTCAAAACAGGAATTCCGCCTTCCCTGCCCACCTAGCAGTTCGAAAGCACGTCATAGTGCAAGTAGATAAATAGGTACCGCTCCGGCAGGAAGGTAAACGGCGTTTCCGTGCGCTGCTCTGGTTCGCCAGAAGCGTCTTAGTCATGCTGGCCACATGACCCGGAAGCTGTACGCCGACTCCCTCGACCATTAAAGCGAGATGAGCGCCACAACCCCAGAGTTGGTCACAAGTGAACCTAATGGTCAGGGGTCCCTTTACCTTTTTATAACTCGAATCACCACTGAAATTTTTTTATCATTATTACTACCACTTTTTTCCCTTTTAAAAAAAATCTATTTTTTAATTTCTATACTTTTTATTTTATTTTTTTATTTTATTCATCTTTTTTCTTGTTTGTTTTTTAAATATAACATCCAACCGTCACAAATACAGAGCAAGTATTTGCAAATACATCTATGCCAAAAGGTAACCAAAGAGAATTTACAACTCCTTCAGGCACCTATATAAGAAGAGCAAGCAAAAGATACCATCACCAAATTTGAAAAAGGATGGATTTATGGCTCCATGTTTTAAACTCTGCAACCACAACACCACAATTATGCCACAGGGATAAACCACTCACTGCAACTGAAATGCCTTCTGGCTACATGGTCAGACGTCAGCCTAACAGTCATTCTAAATCCAAATAACAGTCCATCTATAATGCATTCTTACGAATTTAAGAAATCAATCAGAAGAGTTTTACATCTGTTCTTGCTAAAAGGTAAGATACAAGCATTCCAATATGCATACACCAAGACCAAACTGGTGCTATAAAAAATAAAAATCCATCGACTTCAAACAGATCTTTTTTAAAATAAAAACGAAAACAGCAGATTGCCTAGAAATGAGTAAAAACAAACCAATTCAACAATCCAGCCGTTTGTCTTGCTTTGAAACTGGAGAAAGCTTTTCCCTGAGTACATTGAAGTTTGCTCAGAAAGGCCATTCAAGAACTAAAACGTGGATTGGACTTCTTTGTAAAGTCCTGAAGTCTTAAATCTATCCATCCAGTCCAGGGTGGCCCATCAAGGTACATAATACATTTTATTTTTTAAGTGTCCGAACCCAAAGAGTACTCATTAATGGTTTCTCGTCATCCTGGAAAAAGTGAGAAGCTGCAGGGTTCTGTCCTGGGCCCGTTGTTGTTTAAACGTCTTTATAAATGACTTGGATGAAGGAATTGAGGAGATGCTCATCCAATTTGCAGATGACACCAAACGAGAGGGGTAGCTAATGCTGCAGAAGAGAGAATCAGAATTCAATATTACCTTAGCAGATTGGAGGACTGGGTGCAAGCTAACAGAATGAATTTCAAAAGGGACAAATGTCAGGTTCTGCACTTAGGCAGGAAGAACCAGATGCACAAAGATAGGATGGGGGACCCCTGACTTACTAGCAGTACATGTGAAAAGGATCCAGGGGTCTTGGTGGACTACAAGCTGAACATGAGTCCACAGTGTGATGCAGCAGGAGAAAAAGCTAATGCTATTCTAGGCTGCACCAACAGAAGTCTAGAGTCCAGATCATGGGAAGAAGTCTTAGTCCCGCTCTCTTCTGCCTTGGTCAGACCACACCTGGAATACTGTGCCTAATTCTGGGCACCACAATTTAAGAAGGATGTTGACAAGCTGGAATGGGTACAGAGGAGGCGAACCAAGACAATCACTGGTCTGGAAACCAAGCCTGATGAGGAACGGTTGAAGGAGCTGGGTATGTTTAGTTTGAAAAAGAGGAGACGGAGAGGAAATATGATGGCCATCTTCAAATATCTTAAAGGCTGTTCACATGGAAGATGGAGGAAGCTTGTTTTCTCCTGCTCCAGGATAAAACTTTCTCCAGAAGAACTTTCTGACAGTAAGGGCTGTTTGACAGTGGAACAGACTCCCTCTGTGGTGGACTCTCCTTTGTTGGCAATTTTTAAGTGGAGGCCAAATGGTCATCTGTCATGGATGCCTAAATTGAGGTTCTTGCATGGATTAGACGACCCTTGGACCACGTCCAACTCTACCATTCCATGGTTCTGTGATTCTATAAGGGCTGCTTACTGGTTCCTGTTGCTGGACCAATGGCTACCAGGCACAACATTTATGCTTTGTCTCCACAGTTAGAGGCAGCAATGTTTCAGAAACCAGGGGCTGGAAAACACAGCAGGGGAGGGTATTGCTCTTCTGCCCATATCCTGGTTGGCCACTTTGAGAAGAGGATGCTGGACCATTGGCTAGATCCAGCAGGTGCCTCTTGTGTTATTTTTGATTGATTATCACGGGGAAATTATCTGGACCAGGAGCCAGCTGCACCCACACACTCAAATCCGCTTGGCTTCTGTCCCAGCCCAACCCAGGAGAGGAGGGGGGAGGGAGGGGGGAGGATATATGGCTGCCGATCTGAGCCTTGAGCACCATTCAGAGCTGCCTCCCAGCGTGAAGTCCATCAGGTTCTCCTTCTTCTTCGCAATGGGTCCCTCGCTCATCCTCTGGGCTCTGCTGCCATCCATACTATGTAAGTTTGGGGATTGCTTGGAGGGGCAAAGACTCAGGAAGGCATGGAGTCGGGGAGTCAGGGTATTTATGCCCTGCCTTCTTCACGGACGGGATTCTAAGTAGACACCCCTGCCCTGAGCTGCTGCTGTGCAGCTGGCTCCAGCTGGTGGACCTCAGGGCTCCGGCAAAAACCAAACTAGCCCCTGCAAATCTCAACCCATCTCTGAGCAGAGGAAGGTGGAGGGTGCTGCAGTTGGTGGTGGAAGGACCTCTGAAGGAAGCTTTTAATGACTGGTGTTTTGATGTATTTTTAATCTCCTGTTGGAAGGCACCCAGAGTGGCTGGGGAAGCCCAGCCAGATAGGCGGGGTATAAGTAATAAATGATTATGATTTGATGCTGATGGTAGTGAAGACATCAGCACCAAGCAGTTGGACACCATCATGAGGGTGCTGGGCTAGGTGCCCATCAAAGAGGAGCGGGATGCCATCATAGAGGAGTGAGGAGGAACTGCATCACTGGGGGGGCAGGTGGTGGAGCATATGGGCATGGCCAGGATTTCAGGGGGGCAGGACTTTTGTTAGGGGGGCAGAACCGAGCTACCTGCAACTTGTTTGGTCAGTTTGCTGAGTATTTTTATTTATTTACTTGATTTGTGGCTACGCCCCGGTGGAGAAGGAAGGGAGGCGTGGGCAGGGGGCTGGAGAGCGCAACCCTCACCCTGGACTGGATTCCTCCTTGCAGGCAATGGAGCCAACGGCTTTGCAGGACGCTTGCAGCAGGGGATACGACGGCAGATTCGACAAGCCAATGAGGAGGCGAAGGTGGAGGAAGCTGGCCCTGTAAAGCACAGGTGAGGCTAGGACATGTCCACCACATATGGAGGAAATTCCCCTCCTTCTCCTTACACTTCCAACAATTTTTATCTTGTGGGGCTGAACTATCTTTTGAAGAAAACCACCACCACCCCACCGACTCTCCCCTCCCTTCTCCACAGCACCGGACGAGCCTGGTCGCTGCTTACCTGTGCCTTGCGAGCGGCAGGGGCTGGCGGCAGTGGCGGTGGAGGGATGATGAGTGGCGCAAAGGGGCTGGCTCCGGAGAAGGGCTGCGTAAAATGGCACTCAGCCATCCGCGGCTCAACAAAGCCCAGCCCCCTTCCTCCTCTAGGCAGGTCAGGGAGAAGCCAGGAGGAGGGAGGGAGGAGCCGTCGCCGTGGCAGTGTGGATGGGGGGAAATGACAAAGCCTGAATGATCAGGATCACCACAGCGATTCCCGGACCGTCCGCGGGCTGGATCCAGAAGGCAATTGCGCCAGATCCAGCCCCTGGGCCTTAGCTTGCCGACCCACGTTCTATGCCGATAGCCTTGATAGGACCCTCTTTGCAAGCTTCTTAGGACAGCTGGGCTCTGTCTGGCGCTCTCGAGGAGCGTGCGTTAGACCTAGAGAGTTCACAAACCAGAAAGCGGGGGTCGTCTTTTGCAGTCCCTTCCTGCGATGATACAAAGCAGAACTTTGGCTTCCCCCAAGCATCCAGGCTGGGGCACCTTAGAGAAGGGGTCGGCAAGGTTTGCCTCGCCTGGGCTGGTTCACTCCAGCGGAGATCTCTCTGTGGTCCAGATTGTCAGCGAGTGTGAGCGCGCGCATGCATGATTTCCTGTGTCTGCGCATGCATAGGCGCGATTTTCGGCACCGCAGCAGCGAGTCCCCACACCGTGCTGCGCTGGTTTATTGCAGTGCGCGGGGACTCGCCGAACAAGCAGCTCAGTTCGGGGGTGGCTCGGGGGCCGGTTAAACGACCCCCGTGGACCACAGGTTGCTGACCCCTTCCTTAGAGCCGAGATTCCCCCTCCCATCCGCTCCCCACACATCAGCCCATCTCAGAGGCGGCCCTCCTACCCAGAGCCCCAAACAGAGGATGATCTGTTGTTGCCCCGCAAGCCGCCTCTCCTGCACTTACCTGGTTCCGCTCCATCCCCTCTTCCACCTGGGTTTCTGTTGTTGCTGCTGCTGGAGGTTTCCTTTGGAGCTGCGTTTGTCTCCATGCTTGCGTTTTATTCTTTACCTTTCAGGCTGTTGCCTGAGGAGCAGACCAGAAACACTTCCAATAAGCAAACAGGCAATTGTGGGGAGGAACTGGCCCAGGAGGAACAGTGCAAGGGGGAGGGTTGAAAATCCCCAAGCTTGAATGTGGAGATCAGAAAACGCACAGCGCGCCTTGTTGGGGAAGCCAGCGCCTTGTCACAGAAACCACGTCCCCACAGCCAGTGCTTTTTCTGAGATGGTGCAGGCAGGTGCGCCATATCGCCACCTTGCTTGCCTGACCCCCGCTCCCTCCCCCCGCATCCCAGCCCCTTTGCCGCTTCCTTCGCTGCCGCGCTGAAGGCACCGCTTTGGCTGCCTGTCACCGGGCAACTTCCAGGAAGGCACTTTGTTGCTGTTGTTTATCGTTTAGTCGTGTCCAGCTCTTCGTGACCCCCTGGACCAGAGCACGCCAGGCCCTCCTGTCTTCCACTGCCTCCCGCAGTTTGGTCCAACTCATGCTAGTAGCTTCGAGAACACTGTCCCACCATCTCGTCCTCTGTCGTCCCCTTCTCCTTGTGCCCTCCATCTTTCCCAACATCAGGGTCTTTTCCATGGAATCTTCTCTTCTCATGAAGTCTTGGAGCCTCAGCTTCAGGATCTCTCCTTCCAGTGAGCACTCAGGGCAGATTTCCTTCAGAATGGAGAGGTTTGATCTTCTTGCAGTCCATGCAACTCTCAAGAGGCTGTGCCTGCAGCCGTGGGAAGCGGCAGCGGTGGGGGCAGTGGCAAGGTGGGAGGGGTGGGAGGGACGGAGAGGGTGGGAAGGTGGGCAAGCAGCTGGGGTGGACATGGTGCCTACGGGCACCTAATTTTTCTTGGAAAAAACCACAGGTGCTCCCAGTGGGGTGACCTGGCTTTGATCAGGCGACAGTGATGGGTTTAAGTTGGGAGGAGCTGAGTGCTGTCCACCTCAACACTTTCCTCTCCCCACTCCGAAACAGGGCTCATTATGTCTACCTGGATGTGCCTGAGCATATTTTAGAGATCTTACGAGGATTTAATCTCTCCCCACTCCGAAACAGGAATGATGATGTCTACCTGGGCTTCTGGATTCAGCTTTGGAATGTTTCAGACGTCTTACGAGTACTTAATTCTCCAAGTGCTGACGAAAACGACTTTGGCCATTTGGACTTTGACGGTGAGTGGCTCAGCCCTGCCTCGCCTTCTTGGGAGCTGGAGGGGGGCACGCGAAGGCAGCTCTGTGTCCCTCCCACCACCAGCCCCTCAAAGCCCAGCAGGCTCCCTGCGCACTGAACGGGGAGCCCGAGACTTGTCGCCTCCTCACTCTCAGTTGGCCCCTGAGCGCAGTTTTGCCTCCCAGCCCTGCTCCCTGGCAACTTGAACCCTGTTAAACTATGGAACTCACTCCAGCAAGAGGCAGAGGTGGCCACCAACCAAGACAGCTTGAACATGATAAAATCAGGGAGGAAAAGAAGGCTATCAGCAGCAGGCAGCTGCAATGGCTGTTCTCCGCCTGTTCTAATGGAGGCAGCCCTGCTTCTCAATACCACTTGCTATGAACCAAAGGAGGTGGGGAGAGTTGTTTTCATGCTCGGATCAGGGCCTTGCAGGTTTCCCTTTGGAGCAGCTGGTTGGCCACCGTGGGAGCAAGAAGTTGGAGCAGAGAGGTTGATAGCTTGATCATAGCTGTCAGCTTTTCCCTTTTCTTGCGAGGAATCCTATTTGGAATAAGGGAATTTCCCTTAAAAAAGGAAAACGTTGACAGCTATGAGCTTGATCCAGCAGGCTCTCCTGATGTTCAACATCCTAGGAATCCCAGCTTCCCTCTCACAGGCATGCATGCATAATTTTATTTCTATGACACCTTTCCACAGTTCAAACTATGCTCAAGGCAGCTTACAACATGGAAAAAACTACATGGCAGCAACATAGCAAAATTACCCACAAACAAACAATGAAACATCCAAAAATGCACACCCAAAGGAACAATCCCCACAATTCTGCAGGGGAGAAGGAGCGGGAGGCCAAGACTAGTTACGAGGCTAGAGAGGAAAACCCTAAATCTTGGTCTGATGTCTTGCCTATAGAGTCCTTGCAGCCGGAAAAACGCCAGGTTGAGGATGACTCCTTCGATGAGGACTCCTCTAAGGAATTCGATCCAGAACAGTTGCTGTGGGCCTTTCCTAGCAACCAAATCCACCGTTTCCTGCCTGTGCGCCCGCTGACAACCGTTCCCTGGCTTCTCCTCACCTTGTCTCGCCAGGTTGAGGATGACTCCTTCGATAAGGACTCCTCTAAGGAATTCGATCCAGAACAGTAGCTTCGGGCGGCCATTGCCAGCAACCAAACCCACCATCTCCTGCCTCTGCTCCCGCTGCCAACCTTTGCCTCGCCTCGCCTTGAGTTTTGTGGATAATCATCGACCCCAAATCTGTGAAGCTTTATTTTCTTTTAAAAGTAAATAGAAGGCACAAATTGCAGAAAAATAAAAGCAGCAAAATGCATAATGGAAGTCCAGTTTCGTGATTTGCTGGGAGTTTTGCATATCTGAATTTGGTACGTAAGAAAGGAAATCTCTCCAAAGAGCATAGAAATGAGTTGAGAAATGATAGCTCTCCTAGAGAGCTGAGAGACCTTGCTCTGCCAAACCCAGTTCTGGAAAAGTGGGCCCTGCAGGGTTCAAGGTGCCTCCTCTAAACCACAGCCCAGATCACTGCAAAGCGGGGCAGAAGGGAAACTCACTCCTCCAGAGCCCCGAGGGGCCAAGGGCTCCGCCCTCCGCTCTGCTGGGCTTTGCTCAGTGAATCAGGGCCTTTGTCAAGAGTGATGATGACACAGAAGCCACAGACACCTCACTAATCCTTCTTGGCCCCAAAGGTGCTCCTTAGGAGGAAAGGGATTCCATCAGACGGTGGAGGAGCTGGAAGGGGGATTTCCCCAGAGCCACCTCAGAGCAAGCAGGCGGAGGCTTCTTCCCCAAAGTCAACAGCAGAGGGATTCAGATGCTGTTGGTCCTGAGCTCAAGGGGGAGGGGGTCGCCAGTTGCATATTCCGGCATTGCAAGGGGGGTTGGACTTGATGACCCCCAGGGTCCCTTCCAACTCTACACTTCTGTTATTCTATGACCCTCTTTCACCTCCGTTATGCCGCTAGGCAGGAGCTCTGGGCCGTGAGGAAATACACAATCGCTTTGAGGTCCTCTCCCCTAGCATGGAAGACGAAGAGCAGACTCCATTTGAGGATCTCTCCCTCATTACAGTCGATCAGGTATATGAAGACGAGCAGCAAAGTCAGTCCTCAGGGAATGTGCAGGCGACCTTGGAACGGACAGCTCACGGAAGAACCCCGACCAAACCTAAGAGGAGGCGTGTAGTGGTGATAGGGGATTCCCTACTGAGGGGAACAGAAGCAGTGATCTGTGGGCCTGACAAGATGTCTCGGGAAGTGTGCTGTCTCCCGGGGCTAAGATCCAAGATGTAACTGAACGACTGCAAGGAATCATAAAACCCACTGACAAATACCCCTTCCTCTTGGTTCATGTGGGAACCAATGACACTGCAAGCAATAGCCTCCAGAAGATCAAAAGAGACTACGAGGCTCTGGGCAGGAAATTGAAGCAATTAAATGCACAAATTGTCATCTCATCTGTCCTCCCAGTTGAACGATGTGGCCCAGGGAGAGAGGGAAAAATAGTGGAAGTGAACAGCTGGCTTCGCAAATGGTGTAAACAGGAACGGTTTGGATTCTTAGATCACGGACTGCAGTTTCTTGAAGATGGACTTCTGGCAAGCGATGGGCTACACCTCACAACGGTTGGGAGAAATGTTTTTGCCAAAAATCTCAGAAACCTCATCAAGAGGGCTTTAAACTGACTAATGTGGGGGGGAGACAGTGCTCCTGAAGGTAGGAGTCTATCAATTGATGAAGATGATCATCCAAATGTCATAGACCAAATGGAGCAAACAGCACGCAGACCTAGTGGTGGGAGGAAAAAATCCTTAAATAAGAGACACGGGGGAATGATTAATGGACTTCAATGTCTGTACACTAATGCGCAAAGCATGGGAAATAAACAAGATGAGCTTGAGCTCTTGGTACAGCAAACTAAATATGACATCATAGACATCACTGAAACCTGGTGGGGTAAGTCCCACGATTGGAATGTAATAATGGAGGGATACAATCTATTTCAGAGAAACAGACCAGACAAGAAAGGAGGAAGAGTGGCGTTATATGTCAGGGATGTGTATACCTGTGAAGAGATCCAAGATTTAGAACCTCAAAGCCAAAGTGAGAGCATTTGGGTCAAAATTAAGGGAGAGAAGAATAACAGTGACCTCATTGTGGGAGTTTACTATAGATCCCCAAGCCAAACAGAGGACATAGATGATGCCTTCCTGCAACAGATGGCCAAGCATGCAAAAGGAAGGGAGATAGTAGTAATGGGGGACTTCAATTACCCGGATATTTGTTGGATGTCAAACTCAGCCAAGAGCATAAGGTCAAACAGATTCCTCACTGGCCTTGCAAACAACTTCATTGTCCAGAAAGTGGGAGAAGCAACAAGAGGAACAGCCATTTTAGATCTGGTCCTAACCAATGTTGATGACCTGGTTAGTGGGGTAGAAGTGGAAGGATCATTAGGCGCGAGTGATCATGCTCTTCTGAAGTTTACTATACAGTGGAAAGGAGCAGCCAAGCATACTAGGACTCAATTTCTTGACTTTAAGAAAGCCGACTTCCTAAAACTTAGGGAAGTGCTGGGTGAGATCCCATGGACAGTAATACTAAAAGGAAAGGGAGTTCATGATGGCTGGGAGTTTGTTAAGAGGGAGATAGTAAAAGCACAACGTCAGGCAATACCAATGAGACGGAAACATGGAAGGTGCCTAAAGAAGCCAGGGTGGCTATCTAAAGAACTTTTAACTGAGTTAAGATTAAAAAGGATGTGTACAAAAATGGAAAAGGGGGAAACCACCAAAGAGGAATTCAAACAAATAGCCAGCACGTGTAGACACAAAGTCAGAAAAGCTAAAGCACAGAATGAACTCAGGCTTGCTAGAGAGGTTAAAAGCAACAAAAAGGCTTTTCTGGGTATGTTCATAGCAAAAGGAAGAACAAAGAAACAGTGGGGTCACTCAGAGGAGAAGATGGTGAAATGCAAACAGGGGACACAGAAAGGGCTGAACTCCTCAATGCCTTCTTTGCCTCAGTCTTCTCCGATAAAGAAAACAATGCCCGACCTGAAGAATTTGGAGCAAATGATTCAGCAGAGGAAACACAGCCCAGAATAACTAAGGAGATAGTACAAGAATACTTGGCTAGTTTAGATGTATTCAAGTCTCCAGGGCCAGATGAACTGCATCCAAGAGTATTAAAAGAACTGGCAGATGTGATCTCAGAACCACTGGCAGTCATCTTTGAGAATTCCTGGAGAACAGGCGAAGTCCCGGCAGACTGGAGGAGGGCAAATGTTGTCCCTATTTTCAAAAAGGGGAAAAGAGAGGACCCAAATAATTACCGCCCAGTCAGTCTGACATCAATACCAGGGAAGATTCTGGAGCAGATCATTAAGCAAACAGTCTGTGAGCACCTAGAAAGGAATGCTGTGATCACCAATAGTCAGCATGGATTTCTGAAAAAGAAGTCATGTCAGACTAACCTGATCTCGTTTTTGACAGAATTACAAGCCTGGTAGATGAAGGGAACGCAGTGGATGTAGCCTACCTTGATTTCAGCAAGGCATTTGACAAGGTGCGCCATGATATTCTTGTAAAGAAGCTGGTAAAATGCGGTCTTGACTATGCTAACACTCAGTGGATTTGTAACTGGCTGACTGACCGAACCCAAAGGGTGCTCATCAATGGTTCCTCTTCATCCTGGAGAAGAGTGACTAGTGGGGTGCCACAGGGTTCTGTCTTGGGCCCGGTCTTATTCAACATCTTAATCAACGACTTGGAGGATGGACTCAAGGGCATCCTGATCAAATTTGCAGATGACACCAAACTGGGAGGGGTGGCTAACACCCCAGAGGACAGGATCACACTTCAAAACGACCTTGACAGATTAGAGAACTGGGCCAAAACAAACAAGATGAATTTTAACAGGGAGAAATGTAAAGTATTGCACTTGGGCAAAAAAATGAGAGGCACAAATACAAGATGGGGACACCTGGCTTGGGAGCAGTACATGGGAAATGGATCTAGGAGTCTTGGTTGACCACAAACTGGACATGAGCCAACAGTGTGACGCGGCAGCTAAAAAGCCAATGCAATTCTGGGCTGCATCAATAGGAGTATAGCATCTAGATCAAGGGAAGTAATAGTGCCACTGTATTCTGCTCTGGTCAGACCTCACCTGGAGTACTGTGTCCAGTTCTGGGCACCACAGTTCAAGAAGGACATTGACAAACTGGAACGTGTCCAGAGGAGGGCAACCAAAATGGTCAAAGGCCTGGAAACGATGCCTTATGAGGAACGACTAAGGGAGCTGGGCATGTTTAGCCTGGAGAAGAGGAGGTTGTGATATGAGAAGGGGTGATATGATAGCCATGTTCAAATATATAAAAGGATGTCACATAGAGGAGGGAGAAAAGTTGTTTTCTGCTGCTCCAGAGAAGCGGACACAGAGCAATGGATCCAAAGTACAAGAAAGAAGATTCCACCTAAACATTAGGAAGAACTTCCTGATAGTAAGAGCTGTTCAACAGTGGAATTTGCTGCCAAGGAGTGTGGTGGAGTCTCCTTCTTTGGAGGTCTTTAAGCAGAGACTTGACAACCATATGTCAGAAGTGCTCTGATGGTGTTTCCTGCTTGGCAGGGGGTTGGACTCGATGGCCCTTGTGGTCTCTTCCAACTCTATGATTCTATGATTCTATGATTCTAAGGCAGCAGGGAAGGCAGCCCCCACAGGCCTCTGTTGCTGGACCCTGGGACTTTGCCCAGGCCAGACCACGGTGGCTGCGTCCTCCTTCAACGGGCGGAGGTTGTAGGGCTTGTGTCCCACAAGGGATGGAGGAGCAATGGAGGAATCTAGAGGGGCCTTTGAAACACCTCCCCCTTGCAGCTTCTCTCCCAGATAAGCCCACTTCTGGTCTGTAGAGGGGGGGCAAGGTTGGGGGTCAAGGCATGGGGCGCTGTACAAACATATGCTTAAGAGAGGCATTGTCCTTGCCACATCTCCAACGCTCAGCTCGGGGAAAGCCACATAGCTGTAATAAACGAAAAATCTGCCCTTATTCCTTTCTGGGGGGACACAAGAGCCCTTATAGAGTCCTTTGTAGGTTCTCCATCGGTCGGAGGAAAAACAGAGGCCAACCAGAGAATATTGAGAAGCAAAGCAGCTCGTAAGCCTGATCTTTATTGAACTGTTGCAACAGGGTCCTCCCCTCACACGCAGGAGGAGGAGGACCCAGAACCAAGGTGTGCCCATCCTTATATAGACATTTTAAATTGCCCACCTTGGAGTCAAAGACCACCCCCAGAAACATCATACCTACATTACAAAAGGGGTGTAGCTCAAGACCACCACCCCAAATACATCATACCTACATCACAGAAAGGTCGGTCTACAACAGAAATCTGAGTGCGTTGTTTACCTCCTGTCTGGCAGGTTACCTGTTAATGGTCACTTGATTGGATACTCTGGGGAGCCTGGCCACTCTTTTGTAATGACTTCCGGTTATCAGGACACTAGATGTCTGTTGGTGCAGCTTAGAGTAGCATTCCCTTTCTCCCTGCTGCAAGATGATTCAATCAGATTAGAGAACTGGGCCCAAATGAATCTCAACAGGGACCAATGCCAGGTTCTGCACTTAGGCAAGAAGAAACAGGTGCACGAATATAAGATGGGGGATACCTGGCTTGCAAGCAGTACATGTGAAAAGGATGCAGTGGTCTTGGTGGACCACAAGCTTAGCATGAGTCCACAGTGTGAAGCAGCAGCAAAAAAAGCCAATGCTATTCTAGGCTACATCAACAGAAGTAGAGTGTCCAGATCAAGGGAAGTAATTTGTTGTTGTTGTTTAGTCGTTTAGTCGTGTCCGCCTCTTCCTGACCCCCTGGACCAGAGCACACAGCTGTCCATGGAGGTGCAGGTCAATTCTGTGTCCAGGGCAGCTGTTTATCAGCTCCATCCGATATGCAGGCTGAGACCCTCCCTGCCCGCAGACTGTCTGGCCAGAGTGGTGCATGCTCTGGTTATCTCCCGCTTGGACTACTGCAATGCGCTCTATGTGGGACTGCCTTTGAAGGTGACCCGGAAACTGCAACTAATCCAGAATGCGGCAGCTGGACTGGTGACTGGGAGCGGCCACCAAGACCACATAACACTGGTCCTGAAAGACCCTCATTGGCTCCCAGTACGTTTCCGAGCACAGTTCAAAGCGTTGGTGCTGACCTTGAAAGCCCTAAACGGCCTCGGTCCAGTATACCTGAAGGAGCGTCTCCACCCCCATCGTTCTGCCCGGACACTGAGGTCCAGCTCCGAGGGCCTTCTGGCAGTTCCCAAGGGCCTTCTGGGGGTTCCCTGCAAGAAGCCAAGTTAGAGGAGGTGACAGAAGCTGAAGAAGCAACAGGGCTTAGTGAGCGGGGAGAGTCTACAGCAGAGAGAAGTCCAAAATTAGAGGCAGAAGCGGAGGGTTGACAGGTGGGGAGCCTAGAGGCAGAGATGAGGCAGGCTGCTGAAGCATCCAGGGGTCTCTCCCTCCTACTGTGACCCGATCCCCTTCCCTGACCAGAAGCGTTATAAAGAGGGCGAAGCAGAAACAGATGCGTTGATGGAGTCTCAGATTGCTTGGGAAGGACCCAGTCGGGAGGAGGCTTAGGCACATAGCTGTCAGCTTTTCCCTTTTCTTGCGAGGAATCCTATTCGGAGTAAGGGAATTTCCCTTAAAAAAGGGAAACGTTGACAGCTATGAGCTTGATCCAACAGGCTTTCCTTATGTTCAACATCCTAGGAATCCCAGCTTCCCTCTCACAGGCATGCATACATAATTTTATTTCTTTGACACCTTTCCACAGTTCAAACTATGCTCAAGGCAGCTTACAACATGGAAAAAACTACATGGCAGCAACATAGAAAAATTAGCCATAAACAATCAATGAAACATCCAAAAATGCACACCCAAAGGGAACAATTCCCACAATTCTGCAGGGGAGAAGGAGCGGGAGGTCAAGACTAGTTACGAGGCTAGAGAGGAAAACCCTAACTCTTGGTCTGATGTCTTGCCTACAGAGTCCTTGCAGCCGGAAAAACTCCAGGTTGAGGATGACTGCTTCAGTCTGGGAGTGGAGCTACCTGAGGACTTGGAGACATTATTTCGCCTATATGACAGGTGAAGCTAGAAGGGGGGGGCGGCAGCACCCCTTCCCATCCGGAGTGGAATTAATTTGGAGATGGTGTTGGACTTTCAGAGGAAGAGAGGGGAACTAGTCCCGTTGTATATCAAGGGGGGCTGTGTGGGGAGAGTCTCTTCCTTTAAATTCCTGGGAGTTTACCTTAGTGAAGACCTCACTTGGAAAAACAATATAACGCAGGTGGTAGAGACTCCTTTTCCTCAGGCTCTTGCAAAAGAACAATGTTAAACAACAATTGATGAACTCCTTTTACCAGTCCTTTCATATTGTATCACAGTGTGGTACGTTGGCTTGACAGCCACGGACAAAAAGTCTCTACAGAGGGTGGTGAACACAGCACATGATATCATGGGCTGTCCCCTGAGCCCAACAGATGACATCGCAAGGGATTGTGGCCTTAGGAGAGCAAGGGAAATTCTCAGGGACGATTCACACCCTGGCTATCACCTCTTTAATCTTCTACCCTTGGGCAGGAGATATAGAAGTAGAATCAGTCGTACCAACAGGCTAAAAAACAGTTTCTATCCGTGGGCTGTTAGGCTGCTGAATGGAAACTAATACAGTGGTGCCTCGCAAGACGAATGCCTCGCAAGACGAAAAACGCGCAAGACGAAAGAGTTTTCCGTTTTTTGAGTCGTTCCGCAAGACGAATTTCCCTATGGACTTGCTTCGCAAGACGAAACATCTTGCGAGTTCTTGCGAGTTTGTTTCCTTTTTCTTAAAGCCGCTAAGCCGCTAATAGCCGTGCTTCGCAAGACGAAAAAACCGCAAGACGAAGAGACTCGCGGAATAGATTAATTTCGTCTTGCGAGGCACCACTGTACAGTGCAACTGACTTTTGGGATTGGTGTGTTGTGCGACAAGCACACACAGTGCAATGAGATTGAGTGTTGGGGGGGGAGGCTTGGTTAATTTCATTGTACACAGGTTGTACATTGACAATAAATATATTATTATTATTATTATTATTATTAGCCACCTGAACAGCTGAAAGAAAGTTTAAATCTCTCTCTCTCTCCCTCTCTCTCTCTCTCTCTCTCACACACACACACACACATTCTCTGCCAAAAGCCTTGATAGGCACCCTAAAGCAAAGACACACCCCCCGCCCATTTGACCTTCATCTCTTCTCAGTGCCAGCACTCCCACTCAGAGCCCATGTCCCACTCAGAGACATATCTGGGATTCAGCCCTGGAAAATGGCATCCAGGGGTCATGTTCAGCAATCGGCAAAATGTCTGGGAAAACCTGGACGTATGGCAATGGCGGGGGGGGGGGGTGTTGTGCCAAAAATGTCAAAAAAGCTTTAGAACTCTTTTCTTTCTTTGGAGCTCTTCCCCAAAAACACCATTTGGTCCAAAAAAAATAAAAAAACTCAACAACTTCGGGCAAAAGAGAGAGAAAAGAAATCAACAAATATGGCGACCCTAGTAGTTCCTCTTCAGAGAACCCAAGAGCATTTCTCCTTGTTCCCCACGCAGAGTCTGCTTGTTCAGACAGAGCCAAAGAGACCTTTTTAAAAACCATTCCCAATTCTGGGAAGGCGCAATCCTAGGAGGAGCAGGTGTAGGCAAGGGGGGGCCTTCGGAGATCAGGGAAGCCACAGTCACTCCCCATGCAGAGGGAGCCAGCACCTAGTCACGGAAACCACGTCTGCACAGCTGCTCCCAGTGGGTGACCTAGCTCTGATCAGGCTGCAGTGAAAGGTTTAGGTCTGGAAGATCTCAGGGGTTCCCAGCTCATCACTTTCCTCCCCCCAAACAATGGCAGGAATCTTGATGGTGTCCTGGATGCTGAGGAGCAGGTCACATTCATCCAAGCATTCTCTGGGACTATCACTGAAGAAGAGATTGCAGAGCTCATGGCGGATGGTGACCTAGACCTTGATGGTTTGATTGACTTTGATGGTGAGCGGCTCAGCCCCGCCTGACCTTCTTGGGAGCTGGAGGGGGGATGTCAGGACAGCTCTGTGCCCCTTCTGCCAGCCCCTCAAGCCCCTCTAGCCCCACAGGCTCCCTGTGCCACTCAGCAGGGACCACGAGACTTGCAGCCTCCTGACTTCCGGGGAAGGGAAGATGGCAGGCTGGTCCTCTTTCGTCGGCTGTCTGCCAAATGAAATAGCAAGTGGCATTTGATGACAGCTAGCCTCTAGTCTGTGGGAAGAATAGTTTACAATCCAAAAGGGTTTCTGCACCTGTCAGCAAAAATCCACATTTGGATAGTCAGCTGCTTTCTGGTTTTAAGGAGAAAAGAAGGAAAGTTGATGTTTAAAGGGCGGGATTTGGAACAAAAAGCTTGGTTTATGGTTTGTGATAAGAAAGATTTAAACGGACAAGGGAGTTCTATGTGTTAGGAATTAGTGGGTTAATTTTCATCTCTTTTTGATGAAAGTGCTCTCTAGAAAGCAAAACTAACATTTCAAACTGAAATTTCCTCCCTGGGAAAAGGAGTTGTTTACTTTAAATGAAAACAGGGGGCAAGAAGAAAAGGGGAACCGTGGGGTGTCAGGGCTCCCTGGCCCAATCCTGCTTACAGACTGACCCTTCTTCCATCTTCCCCTACAGAGTTCAAGATGTTAATTGAGGGTTAGTTGTAGAGGGACCCAAGAAATTCCTGCTAAGCTGGGGGCCACTGCCAGCAACCAAACCAGCCCTCTCCTGCCTCTGCTCCAGCTGCCAAGCCTTGCCTTGCCTTGCCTCGCCTTGAGTTTTGTGGATAATCATCGACCCCAAATCTGTGAAGCTTTATTTTCTTTTAAAAGTAAATAGAAGGCACAAATTGCAGAAAAATAAAAGCAGCAAAACGCATAATGGAAGCCCAGTTTCGTGATTTGCTGGGAGTTTTGCATATCTGAATTTGGTACGTAAGAAAGGAAATCTCTCCAAAGAGCATAGAAATGAGTTGAGAAATGATAGCTCTCCTAGAGAGCTGAGAGACCTTGCTCTGCCAAACCCAGTTCTGGAAAAGTGGGCCCTGCAGGGTTCAAGGTGCCTCCTCTAAACCACAGCCCAGATCACTGCAAAGCGGGGCAGAAGGGAAACTCACTCCTCCAGAGCCCCGAGGGGCCAAGGGCTCCGCCCTCCGCTCTGCTGGGCTTTGCTCAGTGAATCAGGGCCTTTGTCAAGAGTGATGATGACACAGAAGCCACAGACACCTCACTAATCCTTCTTGGCCCCAAAGGTGCTCCTTAGGAGGAAAGGGATTCCATCAGACGGTGGAGGAGCTGGAAGGGGGATTTCCCCAGAGCCACCTCAGAGCAAGCAGGCGGAGGCTTCTTCCCCAAAGTCAACAGTGGAGGGATTCAGATGCTGTTGGTCCTGAGCTCAAGGGGGAGGAGGTCGCCAGTTGCATATTCCGGCATTCCAAGGGGGGTTGGACTTGATGACCCCCAGGGTCCCTTCCAACTCTACACTTCTGTTATTCTATGACCCTCTTTCACCTCCGTTATGCCGCTAGGCAGGAGCTCTGGGCCGTGAGGAAAGAAGGCAGCAGGGAAGGCAGCCCCCACAGGCCTCTGTTGCTGGACCCTGGGACTTTGCCCAGGCCAGACCACGGTGGCTGCGTCCTCCTTCAGCGGGCGGAGGTTGTAGGGCTTGTGTCCCACAAGGGATGGAGGAGCAATGGAGGAATCTAGAGGGGCCTTTGAAACACCTCCCCCTTGCAGCTTCTCTCCCAGATAAGCCCACTTCTGGTCTGTAGAGGGGGGGCAAGATTGGGGGTCAAGGCATGGGGCGCTGTACAAACATATGCTTAAGAGAGGCATTGTCCTTGCCACATCTCCAACGCTCAGCTCGGGGAAAGCCACATAGCTGTAATAAACGAAAAATCTGCCCTTATTCCTTTCTGGGGGGACACAAGAGCCCTTATAGAGTCCTTTGTAGGTTCTCCATCGGTCGGAGGAAAAACAGAGGCCAACCAGAGAATATTGAGAAGCAAAGCAGCTCGTAAGCCTGATCTTTATTGAACTGTTGCAACAGGGTCCTCCCCTCACACGCAGAAGGAGGAGGACCCAGAACCAAGGTGTGCCCATCCTTATATAGACATTTTAAATTGCCCACCTTGGAGTCAAAGACCACCCCCAGAAACATCATACCTACATCACAGAAGGGGTGTAGCTCAAGACCACCACCCCAGATACATCATACCTACATCACAGAAAGGTCGGTCTACAACAGAAATCTGAGTGTGTTGTTTACCTCCTGTCTGGCAGGTTACCTGTTAATGCTTACTTGATTGGATACCCTGGGGAGCCTGGCCAGTCTTTTGTAATGATAAATACTTTGTTCCTGAGCCAAGCCACAGGCTCACCTATTCATACACAGACATACCCTTAAGAATACCCTTGTGAAGGAAAAGACAATGGGGAGGCTCCTCCATTTGACCTTGCAGAGAAAACACCTGGTCAGCCTGGGAGTCAAAATGGCTCCATGGCTGCTCTCCTGTGCAGCCTCAGACATGTGGCCTATATATCTATGGACGTGTTTGCTTGCTACATTTATGAACCTTTATTATATACATAAGACCTTAATTTATTCATTTCATAGCCAGGCAGACATTTCTCCAGATTACACAAGGACCTTTGTGAAGGGAAAGCTGGAGAGTCCTGTGCCGCCCTAAAGACGACAATAGTTATTATGGCAGGAATGGTTGCGGTCAAAAGCCAGATGCCTAGCCTCTGGAAACAGACAAAATAGTTGGGTGGGTAGAAAAAACCTCACTGGGTAAACTGGTGTCTCCCTGATGGGTCATGGAATCATGTACTGTTGGAAGGGACCACAAGGATCATCTAGTCCAACCTCTTCCAATGCAGGAATCTTTTGCCCAACGTGGGGTTCAAACCCACAACCCTGAGATTAAGAGCCTCACGCTCTACCGGCTGAGCTATTCCAGGGATCTTGAAGTTACTCAAGTGCTTTTAGCAAACAAGTGGTGTCTTCAGTGCGGGTCCCTGCTCTCTGGGACAAAGGGTGCTGTTCAGAAGAGCCAGGCTGGGTGCATCCCCCAGCCCTGAAGGCTGACCTTCCCGTTGACTCCAGCGAATGCCACACAACTTGCGTCATGGTTACAGCCCCAGGACCCTGGGTCCAAATGCTGTTGTTGCTGCTGAGAAATAGCTCCCAAGCGCTTGTGGATGACCCACTCTTGGCCTGTGAGGCCCCCAGGGGAAAGAGCTGGCTGGTAGCAACTCTGGCGCAAGAGGAAGTTGCTGCAAGCGGAGAGGTGGTTGGGATTCTGTCAGGTGAAGGAAACATTTGACACCAGAGGTGATTTTCCAAACAGTTCCTGGCAAGAGGAGTGGAACACGGCTCCCTGGCGAACTCTCCTTCTCGGAAGGTTTCCAAGGACAGGTTGGATGGCCATCTGCCAGGGATGCTTTAGCTGCGATTCCTGCCCTTTAGGGGGGTTGGACTAGATGTCCCCTGGGGTCTCCTCCAACTCCACAACTCTAAGATTCTATGAGCGCTGATGAGCTAAAAGAAAGAGAGGCTGTGTGTGACCCAGGAACCTGTAATCTTTTCCATGAATTTGTCTTTCAAAGCCGTCTAGGGATGGTCCCTGTTCCCTGTAGCAGTGAGTTCCATACTTTAACTCTGTGCTGCCTGAAGAAGCGAGCAAGGAAGCTTGGAGCCTGCTCCTTGTGCCCTGCTGGGGGCTGATCTTCCCCCAGACAGACAGTGGCCATGGGGAGTGTTTGGGGTGGGGGTCAGGGAGAGAAGGCAAGGAGGACACCTTGCTGGCAGGACAGTAGCTGCCCCACCCAACCTCCAGAGAATCCAAGGGGGCTCCTGCTCAAGCCTTTTTCAAGCAGGCAGGATTCCATCGTTCCACTTCAGAGAGAAATTATACTTTTTTTAGAAGCACACGTCTTTGAAAGCATGCTTTGACTTGCAATGTTTATTTTGAAGAGAGAGAAAATATCCATCTGGAACTTGCTCCATGTTGGAGCCCCACGTCAGCTTCCTACGAAATAGACGCACACAAACAAACAAAATTTTGCTTACTGGTTCCTGGAAATTACCGTAAGTGTCACTGGAAAAAAACGATCTGGACCAGGAGCCAGCAGCAGTGACTGGCTGTGATCCACCCAGCTTCTGTCCCAGCCCAACCCAGGGGAGGGAGGGGGGAGGGAGGAGGGAGGGAAGACTATATCTGGCTGCTGATCATAGCCCTGAGCACCATTCAGAGCTGCCTCCCAGCAGGAGCACCATGAAGTCCACTAGGTTCTCCTTCTTCTCTGTGATGGGTCCCGTCCTCATCCTCTGGGCTCAGCTGCCGTCGGTGCCCGCCCCATGTGAGTTTGGGTATTACTTGGAGGGGTGAAGAATTGGGGAGGTTTGGGAGTTGGGGAGCATGCTTGGTGAGCTGTGATTCCTACATCGCAGGGGGTTGGGCCAGGTGTCCCTTGGGGCTCCTTGTATGAGGGGCATGGCCTTAACTGGTGATAGCATGCCAGGGTGGGTGGAGCCCACCTGCCAGGGCTAAGCCTAGCCTGAATTTGAGGGATTCCACCTGCCTCCCCAGTCACAGCCCTTTGCCCAACACCCCCAAGAAGCCTGGACATGAAGGTGACTCTCGCGATCCACAGCACCCTCACATGCTCAGAGAACCTCCCACGCACCCAGCTGAGACGCACAGGCCCAGAAGTTTTGCTGGGACTCTGCAGGTCGGGTGGACAAGCCCTGAATTTGAAGATCTACCTGCCTGAATGTTTCAGGTTGGTCAGCGATGGGCAGCAGCTGGTCAGTGAGCTGCCTCCCTTGGTCCAAACAAGCAACAAGGCTCTTCATTTACACCGTAGAAATTCACTTCTGTGCATTGACCATAAGAAACTGTGTGATGGGATTTGGGCAGGGTAGGGTTCAAATTCGGGAGCTTCAAAGGGGAAATTTGATTGTAGTCCTCAAATGAAAAAGCCCAACCCCAAATTCTGGTCAGAGTGGAGGAGAATCTGGCTCAGGAGAGAGATGAGGCAGATATATGGCTGACTAGACAGGCAATGGCAAAAGTTTATGATGTCCTTTCCCTCTTTGAATAAGGGTGGGGACAACAAAGGCTCTTTCGCCACCTTCACCCTCTAAGCTGCTGAAAGGAAGGGCTTGTCCACACTTCCGAAAGTCGTGCCTAGAAAGCTCAGCTCTTTAGCACTGAATCCAAACAAATGGCAACCCATGAGAAACCCCATTGCCATTCATCCTGATTCAGTGCTAAACCACAGGTTTTCCTAGGGGAACAGTGGGGCAAGCAGAGGTGAGCCCCAAGAGAGGTTTGGGGGCTCATCCAGAAGCGGGGTTTTGTGTAGGAGGGCTGTAGGCAGATTCTTGGACTCTGCATTTAACAAGAATCATAGAACTGTTGGGCTGGACCCTCCAGGGTCCGTTAGTCCATCTCCCTGCATTGGAGAAATTACATTTAAAGCATCTATAACAGACGGCCATCCAACCAACCTCTGCTTTGAAACCCTCCACAGCTCTTACCGCTAGAAAGTTCTTCCCTAAGGGTGCCACCCAGCTGTTGCTGTGCTTCTGGCTTCCGTCAGTGGACCTTGAGGCTCTAGCAAAAACAAAGCAACCTGAGGTTTTCCCATGCCAGATACAGCCCATCTCTGAGCAGAGGAAGGTGGAGGTGCTGGAGATGATGGTGGGACCTCCTGGCAAGCTCTGAAGGGTGTCAGCGTCCTGGAAGAGAGAAGCCGACTCCAGCCCCCTCTGACTTCCAAAGCAGCCTGTGCCTGAGTGTCTGCAAGTTGGGTCTTGTGGGGGAAAGGGAAGGTTCAGGAAGCCAAGCAATGAATCACACGGCCTTTGATCCTCTAAAGGGAGTGGGGCTTGGGTTAGGGGGTGGTTAGGTGTTGAAATCCTATGCGTCTCCCAAGGTTCAGATGTAACAGATGATGTCAGCCTCCTTGGAGCAAAAGACAAATGACTCACGGATGCCTGGAGCCTGCCCTTTCAGAAGGGTGATGATGATGCCTAGAAAAACTTCCGGCGGGCAGGGAGACTTCCATACTGGGGCAACACATTCTGGAATAGCGTTGTGTATCCGCCACCTGAATCAGCTCTGGGTGGCGGGAGGTGTCTACTTTTGCATTCTTACAACTGGTTCTCCTGCATTCCTGTGGGCTGTGGAGTGTGTGGGAAATCCTTGCTTGTCTAATGGTGCCATGAGGATGCCCTCCAGGTTGGCACAGACATGTCAAGTTTCCTATTGTTCTCACCTGTGGCCCCCTCCCATTTTTCCATGCCTCTGGGGCCAAAAAAAATGAGCTTCTCTCTCTCTCTCTCTCTCTCCCTCTCTCTCATTAGTCAGACAGCCTGATCATGCAATGCCCCACCTTAAAGCCTTCTCCTGCTTTCCTGCCCTGTCCCAGACCTAGTCCCAGCTCCTCACTCTTCCCTTCAGAGTCCTCCTCCCTCTCTGGGTCTCTCTGTTCTTCTCTCCTGAGAGATCCAGTCAGGGGTGTAGGAAGGGGGGGCGGTGGGGATGGACTGCCCCGGGTGCCCTCACTGAGGGGATGACATTCAGCACGCCATCCACCCATGACTCCCAAACCTACCCCAACCCCTCCAGGGTAAGGGGCAGAGCTATGCCGTTTTGCTGGTGGCATTCCCCGCTTCCCCCTTTGTTTTGACTGCTTGGGGGAAGCTTGGGGGTCGTGGGTGGGTGGTACTGACTGTCCTCTATGGGCAGCTTGCTCCGCTGCTGGCTGCAGGGTGTGAGCGCTGCTCCGGACCCCGAGTGGCTATCCCTCGCCTGGGAGGGCACCCTCCGTACCACACACCTACCACACACCCCTCGGGAACTCGCCCGCCCTGGGCAGCGTGGGCATATGCTCTGCCGCTGTTGCCAGTCACCTCCAGTTCCTCCATCATTGGATTCCTGAAGGTCTCTCCCTGGAGATATGGCAGGGAAGAGCAATGGACTTTGAGAGTCTCTTAGCAACAGAGGAAGCAGAAACAGAGGAGTCAGCCACTGGTCCATATTGCTCAAGATTGTCTCCACTGATTGGCAGTGGCTTTCCATGTTTTCAGGCAAGGGAATGATTCCTAGCCCTACCCAGAGATGCCATTGGAGGCTGGACCAGGGTTTTCTTCGCCCTAGCTAGATTTCTTGTCTTCCTTGTAAGCTGCTTGGAGGCTGTGCTGCGGTCAAGCACTGTACAAATTCTGTTGACTTAAGAGAGATCAATAATACAGTTTCAGACGTGTGCAGCACATTTCCAAAGGACTCTGACCGGTGTGGCGACCCCAAGCCGCGCTTCTTCTACAACTCCACCTCCAAGGCCTGCGAGCCCTTCACCTACAGAGGCTGCTCGTGGTACCGCAACCGCTTTTACACCATCGAAGAATGCCAGCGCCACTGTGGAGGGACTGGTGAGTGGGGGTGAGAGGGGGGTGGGCCCAGCTGTGGGAAAAGACCCCGACCCTCTTGACTGACAGACACCCACCCACCCAGGCATCTCGAAGCACAGGGGGCGCCTGGGACCTGGGTGGGGGGAGCAGGTGTCCTGAACTTCTTCACCTGCCATGTAGATGTGGTCAGGCGTAGATGTGGCTCAAAGGGTTGCCCCACTCATCCCAGCATCCCAGAGTCGAGGGGCAGGCCTGACGGGGACCCATCACTCAGCATTCTCCTAGAAGCCCTTCCTTATGGAGGGGGATGGAAAAGAGGCGAGGGAACACACTAGGTGTGCGTGAAACACACTCTGCAGGGTGTGAGAAAGTGGACAGAGATTGTCTTCTTCTTCTTCTTCTCCAGAACTTCATGGAGTCAATGGTGAGAGATTCAGGGCAGACAAAGGGAAGGGGTTTTTTGCACACAGCAAATAGCTGAAATATAGAATTTGTTCCTGCAAAAGGAATTGACAGCCACCAACTTGGAGGGCTTTAAGGACTGAGCAAATTCATGGGGAGGATGAAGCTACTAGCCACAAGGTCCATGCATGACCTCCCCTGTTGATGGAGAGAGTCAGTCTTGCTCTGATGTCCTTCATGCAAGCTTCTCCATTGGGGCACGTGGCTGGCCTCTGTAAGAACAGCTGTGTCCAGCAACCAGGATCCTTGAGAGATATTAGGAGGGCTTTTCTCCATCGTTGATGAAACCTCCCCACCTCCTCCCCACCTCCTTGCACCCACCATTCTGCCCCTTTTGGGAATGCTCCTTGAAGTTGAAGACTCATGATCAGGGGTTGCAGAACAGTGGCCTAAGGTCACCCCCCCCCACACACATCATGCCCAACGACAACCCTTGTTTCGCTCTCTGTGTTGCAGAAAAGCCTGGCTCCTGCCTCCCCAGTCCTCGAAACATCACCCTGGAGTGCTTGGCCAGCTGCCTTCATGACGGAAACTGCCCGGGGGATCAGAAGTGCTGCTCTTATGGGTGCGCATTGCGCTGCTCTGAGCCCATCAAAGGTGAGACCCAGAGGTTGCTGGGGGAGGTGGGGGCTACTGGTACCCTTCAGAGAAGTGGCCTCTGTCAGGGATGATTTAGCTGCTACTCATGGGCTCTCAATAATGCTGGGCAGCTGTGAGAGCAGAGTGGTGCTTCTGCAGCTGGAGCAAGCACTAGAAGGTCTGCTTTCCATGGAGTGTGAGACTAATTCTCAGGGCTGTGGGTTCAAGCCCCACATTGGGCAAAAGATTCCTGCATTGCAGGGAGTTGGACTAGATGACCCTCGTTTGCCAGTCTAAACAGACTCAGTTCCCTCAATCTGCCCTGAATCTTCCACCAGTTTGACTGGATGACCCCATCAGGTTCTAGGATTCTGAGAGATGGAGAAACCTACCTGTTTTCTCCCCACATTCTGTCATGAGTTTCCCCAGCCACTCTGGGCGGCTCCCAATCAAGTATTAAAAACAATACAGCGTTAAATATTAAAAACTTCCCTGAACAGGGCTGCCTTCAGATATCTTTTAAAGATAGGATAGCTACTTATTTCCTTCACATCTGAAGGGAGGGCGTTCCACAGGGTGGGCACCACCACCGAAAAGGCTCTCTGCCTGGTTCCCTGTAATTTGGCTTCTTGCAGCGAGGGAACCGCCAGAAGGCCCTCGGAGCTGGACCTCAGTGTCTGGGCTGAATTATGGGGGTGGAGACGCTCCTTCAGGTATACAGGACCGAAGCCGAATAAATTTCTATACAATCTGGATAGTCCTGTCGCTATAACTCCCACAAGGAATTATAGCCCCAGATGTTTCGACCTTTCTTCACAGGGGAGTTGCTCCACCCCTGTCCTCCTTCTGAATCTTCGCAGAGAACGTAGTTAAAGTCTGTTTCTCTCTCACTCTTCCTTCCTCTCCCTTTGCCATCCCAGATATTTGCAAGCTGCCTCCGGATTACGGTCCCTGCCATGGCAAGTTCCGGAGCTGGTATTACGACGAGCGTGACCAAAACTGCAAGAGGTTCATCTACAGCGGCTGCCTCGGCAACGAGAACAAATTCAAGAAGCGCAAGGAGTGCCTGGCCAGGTGCAAGCCAGCAGGTGAGCAGGCTGGAGACCCAGCAGGGAAGGGGGCTATCGATGGCTACTAGCCAGGGTGACTAGGCTTGACTAGGTTAAAAGAGGGGAAATGGCCAGCGGAAATACGAGAACAAAATGAAGACAAGTGTACGGAAGAATGGAAATTCTTTTCGGCCTCTTTTAAAAAGGATGATAGCAAATGAAATTGCAAGCAGGGTCTTGCAGCGTAAGCAATGGAAGGCTAGCAAGAATGAACTAAATGAAGAAATGTGTAAGTTTTGCATTTCAGGAATAAACATCAAGAATGCAAGGATGGGAAGTCGAATTGCTAAGAAATGTGGATAAATTGATTTGGCACAAAGTTTATAAAACCGATAAAAAAATAAATAAAAAAGCAGAAACTACAAGCAGGAAGCTTTGAGTAAACGTACGGATGCAGGACTGATTCTCAGTATGTTACAGAATGAGTATGTTACAGAAAGTTCTTGGCAGTGACTGGAAGGGAATGATCCACTTCCAGTTGACTGCAGAGAAGCCATTTCTCAAAGGCACAAAAGTGTAGAAGCCGCCTTAGGCGGGAAGGAGTCCCCGCCGATGGCACAGTGTGCTGACAATGCTTTCCTCTTTTTCCAGGGCCTTCCTAAGTCTTCCTCGCTCACCCACTGCCTGGCCCAAGGCCCTCAACCTGGCCAGCCTGCAATGGCCTCATGCCAGAACAGACGGCCCCTCCGCACGCATTGCACAGACAATCCGGGTGTATGAATGAATCAATGTTTCCGTGAAGTGATGACAAACGTCTCCGCTGCTGCGAGAAACTTCCTGGTGGTTGACGTGTGCTTCGCCCAAGGGGGCGTGGCATTGCTCCCGGTGGGGTGCAAAGGACTGTCTGCATTCTCCAAGAGCTTGCACCCTTCTTCGTATGAATGTCCATGCTGGCATGTGGCAGATGAAACCAGGCAGCCAATGGCGCTTGCAGAAACTCTGGTATGAACTCTCAGAGGAGGAGGAGGAAGAGGAGGAAGAGGAAAGAGAGGTCTGGCTTCCTTGCTGCCACCTCACCTGAGTGCTTCCTGGGTGCTTCTCCCCACCTGCCACCACTAGCCTGTTCTTCCACAAAAGCACACTCAACTGGAGGGCATATAGAATCATAGAACGGTAGAGTTGGAAGGGACCCAGGAGTCATCTAGCCCAACGCCATGAAATGTAGGAATCACAGCTCAAGCATCCCTGAGAGATGGCCACCCAACCTCTGCTTGAAAACCTCCAGTGAAGGAGTCCACCACCTTCCAAGGGAGTCCATTCCACTCTCCAGCAGCTCTTGCCACCAGAAAGTTCTTCCTGATGTTTAGACAGACTCTCCTTTCCTGTAACTTGGATCCATCAGAGGCTTGACAAGCAAGACTCTGGGAGGAGGTGCCAATAAATAATAATTCCTCTCCACCCCTCGGCCCAGGTCATTTTATTCACGAAAGAACTTTTTACACAGTGTTCGTAAGAACCAATCAGATTTCCTCTAAGCATTTCAAAAAAACCCACGTGGGGACAAAGGTAAAAGTTAAAATTACAAAAAGCTAATTTGAGCATGCATAGTAGTCCAGAGTAAATAAAATAGGAAACAAGGAATGCATTCAGCAACCCTGGAGGTCATAAACAAGCGATAAACAGGAGAGGAAGGATGGCAAGGAAAAATTAGGCATGTTTATCACCTCCATGTGATACTATTTCCTGGCCCTAAGATTAACAAAACCAAGGAAAGGTACATCAAAGCCATCTACTATCTTTATGGCCCAGGATGCCTGGTGAAGCAACTGGCCTGTGTATTTAGAAAGCTTATACGTGCCTGTCAGGCGCAGAGAAAGCAAATGGCAGAGATGGAGAGGCTTCTGGGATTCGATCAGAAACTATTGTCAATGAATCAAACCCAGTCAACGCAATGCTTTCATCGCGGACACCATGGCTTGCTTCATTTTTCATAATTCCTCATAGCAATCCCACCTGACCCCCACACTCTGGATATCTGCACCCCTACAAAAAGCCACAAAGGTGAGGGGTGGAGAAGAGGGGTCAGGTTGTGTTGGCAGGCAAGCAAGGCTTGAATCACGACCTTTGTAGGAGATGCTGAGGTAGCAAAGAGGACACAGGAAGGCAGAGAGGAACAGAGTGACAGCCTCCCCTCCAGCCTCCTTTTGAGGAATCTTTTGAGGGCCACATTCCACCGGGGGTAATCTCTTGGGAGCCACATACCAGGGATGGGAGGAGACTGAAGTTAAATGTGGTCTCTCCCTTCCCTCCCTCCCTCCCTCCCTTCCTTCCTTCCTTCCTTCCTTCTCTCTCTCTCTGCATGGGGAGGGGGGATTTTTGCCAAGGTCTCAGTCCATGGAGAGAGGGGGGGTTCACCCCAACCCTCCCCAGCTGCCTCTCCAGTGGAAATCCCCCACCCCATGCATGGGAGGGCAAGGGGGGGAGGCAGAGCTGAAGGGGAGGGGCATAGACAGCACCCTAAGCTGGGGGCAAGGGGCCCCTGGTCTCTCAGCTTCCTTCCAGGGCCTCTGGCAGAGAGCTGTCCTTTCCCATTTCCTGACATTCATTTTTATTTTTTAAAAAGATATTTATATACCATTCACCAGGTGAACTTTGCAAAGCAGTTTACATAGGGATATGAAAGCAATAAGCCTCAATAAAGCACCATTAAGTTATTTAATAAAACAGCCAAGGCAAGCAACAAACAGTATTTTCATTTATTTATTCTCGGAAGCTCAGCTGTCTCCCTGCAGCCCCGGGGAGTAGCTTGCTGGGAAGGAGAAGCTGCCTCAGGCGGAATACGGGGAGCAGCCGGCTCTTGCGGGATCACAGAATTGCAGAGTCGGAAGGGACCCCCAGGTTCATCTAGTCCAACCCCCAGCAATGCAGGAGTCGCAGCTAAACAATTGCTGCTTTTAAAACATCCTGGGGGTGTTCCTGGGACTTTCTGCAAGTAGTCCTTCTCCAAGACTAAAATGGCAGAGGGGCTTCATACACTCACAGATCAACTGTGGTCCTATCTGAGTCCAGGGATTTCATGTTTTTGGGCAGATCAAGGGGAGCTGGGGAAGGGGGTAGGCGCTTCATTCTGGGTGCTCCCTGGGTGGCTCCATCCCTCAGTCTGGAGCCCCGCACACACCTCAAGAGGTTCCGGGGGGGGGGGCTCTGCCCCAGTTGCTCTCCTTGTCCCTCCTTCTCTTGCTTAACCTTATTGGAATCTTTGTTCAGACTTGTTTCGCTTAACAGTGTGATTTTATCATATCATTGTAACATTGTCTTTGGGGGGATTGGAGAATTGTATTTTTGAAGGGGGGTTTCTACACTCAAGCTTTATAAAAAATAAATTATGAAATAAATATGGTGCTTTTATATTGTTGGTATTGTAATGGGGGGTGTGTGTGTGTGTGTGAGAGAGAGAGAGAGAGAGAGAGAGAGAGAGAGAGCTGCCTTGGATGATGTGTACCTATCTTAAATAAAACCAATCAGATTCTCCCACTTTTCCATGGCTGCAGGGATTAAACTCCTTATATGTAGTGGAAGAGCCGGCCGTGCTTCTCTGGGGGTCTTTTCATGGAGGAGAGGCTAATATGGAGGAGAGGGACCCACGGCTGCTGGAATGACCACGGTGTGGCTGCTGGTGTGTCAGACCCAGGGATGCCACGCAGGTGTGGTTTCAGTTTTGCTCTTAATGTAAATCCGATTTTGATGAATGGCAAAACTCAGTCAGCAGGAGCCGTGAGAAGCAAAGGCCTGCTTTGGCCAATACATCATCAACTGAACAGACAGGCGATTGACAGATTCATCAGATCCTGCAGCACCAAAGCAAAGGGTCTGGTATCTGCCAGGAAAGGTGAGAGGTGTTTGAAGTATGGGGTCCTGCTCCCCTAGGTATAGATTTACGACACTTACTGTATTTTTCCGTCTATAAGATGCCCCCATGTATAAGACACCCCCTATTTTGGAGGACTCAGATTTAATGGGGGGAGATGGCCCAGAGTATAAGACGCCCCCTAATTTTTGACATTATTTTTAGGGGGGGGAACCTAGTCTTATACACAGAAAAATACGGTAGCAGCAACTGATGGGTTTAGAAGAATGCAAGCAGGCTGTTTTTGAAATGGCCACTACAGACAGCGTCAGAAAAGGCTACTTTGGTCATTGGTAAAGGGGAAAAAAGAAAGCAAGTCATCATCATCATCATCATCTAATATTATTTATACCCTGCCCATCTGGCTGGGTTTCCCCAGCCACTCAGGGCGGCTCCCAAAAGATTAAAAACAGAATAAAACATCACACATTAAAAACCTCCCTAAACAGGGCTGCCTTCAGATGTCTTCTAAAAGTCTGGTAGTTGTTTTTCTCTTTGACATCTGGTGGGAGGGCGTTCCACAGGGCAGGTGCCACTACTGAGAAGGCCCTCAGCCTGGTTCCCTGTAACTTGACTTCTCGCAATGAGGGAACCGCCAGAAGGCCCTCGGTGCTGGACCTCAGTGTCCAGGCAGAACGATGGGGGTGGAGATGCTCCTTTAGGTATACAGGACTGGGGCCATTTGGGGCTTTCAAGGTCAGCACCAACGCGTTGAATTGTGCTTGGAAATGTACTGGGAGCCAATGAAGGTCTTTCAGAAGAGTAGCTTTACAGTGCTGCCCCCTGGTGGTTACCTGCTGCACAATGCTCCAAAGGGTTGGCTGAGTCAGGATGATGGTCCAGAAGAGGCCTCCAGAGGGATGGAGGACTCTCTGGTGGGGTTGGGCAGGCCACTGGGGAGGAATCTGGAAGCAGGGGGTGGCGAGGGCTTCCTTAAGCTGCTGTCCCATCTCCTCTGCCCCCCACGACAGGAGCCGGGAATTCCGCCTCCCTCTCTGTCCACAGCTCCTTCTCTGGCAGATGCCTTCAGATACAGGGAGGAGCACTTGCCCCATTAACTATGTCCAGCAGGAGTCGGAAAAGAAGGGAGCAGGAGGCTCCATCTGGGACCAAGTGGGATGAGGTGCCCAAGAGCTTTTTCCACCTGCTTCTCTGCTCAACTGCAACACAACACACAGTATCTTCATATAGGCTGTTATGTACTGAGTTGAAAAGGATCCAAAATGCAGCAGTCTGATTGGTCCTAGAACAATGAAGAGGTATGATTGGTCCACAGGAGTCACCCAATCCAGCTCCAGGTGGAAGGGAATCAGCAACCTGATTGGCTTATAGGTGAATCCCAGAATTAGCCAATCACGTGGGGCCCATTGTGTAAATAATGTATATAAAGCAGATATTTTGGGAAAACTTTCATTCCTCCTCACCACTATGAGCAGAATAAAGAGCATGAAATCCACTCTTGACTCCGAGTATATTTCATAGGCCATTAATCAAAAATAATAATCTTTTATCTATACTGGATGTATTCAATTTGGCCCAGAGTCTTACTTGTGAAATTGAATCAAAGGTGGCCTTCAAATCAATGAAGGCTGCATATAAGACCCCACGGGTTTTCTTGGCGTATTTATCGATAAGATGTGCTAAGACAAAACAGTGATCTATGGAAGATCTTGTTGGGATACTGCCAGGGAGACAAAGTCCATCATGGCCCCCAAGCCGCCTCCGGACGTCCATCGATCTCCCGTAGACACGCAGTATCATTCAATTAGCGACACGAGCTTCCAGAAATAGCTTGCCACATTCCAGAGCTCATGCACGCTCTATCGGCAGATAATGCACAGCGAAAGATGCACGCAGGAGAGCATTATTTACAAGTTTATTCAGCGTTGGTCAGAACAAAGAAAACATGACTGCCTGCTTCAGTGTCTCAGACACAGAGAGAGAAACGAAAGCATAGACACAACATAAACTTCCTGTGAACAGGAAATACGCAGACTCTGTGACTCACAAAGCCTGCTCCCTTTTAAGTTGGAACAGAAATATCCTAACATCCTCCCCCTTTCCGTGTAACCTGTAGTACCTGTGGTTTAACCCAATTGCAACCTCTGTACATAAACCTTAAGTTGTTCTCTGTTAACAACCTTAGACAACAGATCAGCAGGAATTTCCTTTCCTGCCATGTAGGACACCTGAATGAGTCCTTTCTGAATACACTCTCTTGCACGATGTAGCTTAATCTGCAAGTACTTGGTTCTTTGCTTGCAACTCTCTGAGTTCAGCAAAGCCAAACAGGATCTATTGTCTTGATATACTTGCATAGGACATTTCACAGAAACTCTGATGTCCTTAAACAGTTGCATCAACCATTCACAATCCATGAGTGAAAATGACAGAGCATTGAGTTCTGCTTCACAGGAACTTAGGCTCACTGTCATCTGCTTCTTGCACAGCCAGTCAAACAGACAGTGGTTGTACATGTAGCATACTCCAGAAGTGCTTGTACCATCCGTGGTGTCACTTCCAAAACTTGCATCTGCAAAGATTTCAAGACCTCCAGTCTTCTGACTGGTGAACCTCAGCCTGTAGTGCAAAGTCCCTTTCAAATAGCGGGCTATGCGCTTCAGAGCTTTCCAATCCTGAACAGTAGGATTGTTGGCATGTCTGCTAAGCAGGTTAGTGCTTACAGCTATGTCAGGTCTTGAGCATCTAGCAATGAAATTCAACTTGCCTAGAATGCATCCGCACAGCGTAGTGTCAGAAAACGCTTCAGCAGTACTATCTACTTGGTAACCTGTCACCATCGGTGTGTCTGCTGGGTTTGCATCAACCAAATTCAACCTGGTTAATACATCAGCAATTTTCTGTGTTTGGTGTACCAGCAAATTACCTGCTTGGTCCTTCTCCACCTGCAGAGAAAGATAGTTGGATACCTCACCAAGATCCTTCATGTCAAAGTGCTCCTTCAGCTGAGCTAGGGTGCTTTGGTACAAAGCCTGATTCTTCCAAAACTTCAGAAGATCAACAACAAAAAATAAACAATACAGTTTGTTTTGCCCCTCCTCCTTGACAAACACACATGGATCAGCTTTGCCCTGGTGAAAACCTAGAGAAAGCAATGTCTCAGTGAGTTTTGTGTTCCAACACCTGGCACTCTGCTTGAGACCATATAAGGATTTCCGCAGTTTACAGTTTATCGATAAGATGTGCTAAGACAAAACAGTGATCTATGGAAGATCTGCCTTGCCTAAATCCAGCTTGCTCCTCCGCCAAGATAGCCTCAGTGTCCATCCAACTGGTTAATTTGATATAGAGATGTTTTGCATATAATTTGCTAAGTATAGGTAAAAGACTAATAGGTCTTTTACTCGCCGGGTCCGATGTGGGGCCCTTTTTATAAATTGGGATGATTATCGCCTTGGCCCACCCTTCGGGAAATAGGCCTGTTGAATCAATGTGGGAGAATATTGTTGCCAGCAGGGGGGCCCACCAACCAATGTTGTTCTTCAAAATTTCTGCGGGAATATAATCTATGCCAGGGGCCTTGTTGTTCTTCAGCTGTGCGATCAAATTCTCTACCTCCTCTGCTGTTACAGGTGGCCAGTGAGGTGAAACCTCTGGCTGAACGCTTGGCTTGTTAAACTGAGCTTCCTTATCATAAAACAACTGCAACACAACGCCCAGCATTGCTGGCAGTGGGCCTCACCCTCCAGTCTTATCATTATCATCAATTAAATTTCTATATCACTGCAGCCCCAGAAGCAGCTGGGCATGTTTAGCCTGCAAAAGAAGAGGCTGAAAGGAGATAGAATAGCCATCTTCATATACCTGAAAGGCTGTCGCATGGAAAATGGAGCAGGCTTGCTTTCTGCTGCTCCCGAGGGCAGAACCCAAACCAATGTGTTAAAATCACAAAAAAGGAGACTGTGATTAAACATGACTACTGCAATGTGCTCTATGCGGGGCTACCTTTGAAGGTGACCCGGAAACTACAATTAATCCAGAATGCGGCAGCTAGACTGGTAACCGGGAGTGGCCGCCGAGACCACATAACACCAGTCTTGAAAGACCTACATTGGCTCCCAGTATGTTTCTGAGCACAATTCAAAGTGTTGGTGCTGACCTTGAAAGCCCTAAATGGCCGCAGCCCAGTATCTCTGAAGGAGCGTCTCCACCCCCATCGTTCTGCCCGGACACTGAGGTCCAGCACTGAGGGCCTTCTGGCAGTTCCCTCCCTGCGAGAAGTGAAGTTACAGGGAGCCAGGCAGAGGGCCTTATTTGTAGTGGCACCCGCCCTGTGGAACACCCTCCCATCAGATGTCAAAGAGATAAACAACTACCAGACTTTTAGAAGACATCTGAGGGCAGCCCTGTTTAGGGAAACTTTCAATGTTTGATGCATTACTGTATTTTAATATTTTGTTGGAAGCCGCCCAGTGTGGCTGGGGAAACCCAGCCAGATAGGTGGGGTATAAATTATTATTATTATTATTATTATTATTATTATTATTATTATTATTATTAACTTTCTGACAGTAAGGGCCATTTGACAGTGGAACTGTCTCCCTTGTTATTGGGTGGAAGTTTCTAAGCAGAGGTTGGATGGCCATCGGTCATGGATGCTTCAGTTGAGATTCCTGCATTGGTTCCTTGCGACTGTACAATACTATGATTCTATGGTCCCAAGTCAGTGCCCCAGCACTTTGGGGTTTGCTCAGCAAGTAAATGCAGCCTGCACTCTCTCCAAGTTCCTCTCAAATGTCACAAGAGGGGGGAACCAGGCAGAAGGTCCAAACAGAATGACAGCTGAGCCTTGGGGCTCCACAAGGGAGCTATTCCTAGCAAATTCAGCTTCCCAGAAGATCCTGCCTTGGAATCCCTGGTGCTGGAACTAGATCCCCTGCTGTTGGGCAGAAAACAAAGCTGCAGCTCAGCTTTCTTAAAGGCTCTTTCTGGTCATGGATCTCACATCCCTCAGGCAGGTCCTTTAAGGACCCTCTTTGAACAGGAAGAGGTTTAGTGGGAAGGAGACAAGGGGCAACTTGACCTAGAGCCTGGTTCTCAAAGGGTGTGGCAGGAGAGGATGGGAAGAGTGGCAGAGAGATTCAAGGACAATCAAAGAAGCATTTCAACATCACAGGGTAGTACAGTATCAAAATTATTCTTTTTATTTGTGGGATATGCATAGATACCTTTTCAAAATGAGACCAAGACCATTGGCTATTCTTCAACTGTTCTCCATGACATATTGTTGTGGAAAGAGATTTTCAACTCTGACAAAGATCAGAAAAGAGCAAGGCTTCTTTGTGTTGATGAGGAGACGAGAGTTTGCTTGTCTCAAATTAGACCTCACCTAAATGAGATTACCCGGCAAAAGCAATCTCACACCTCTCAGAGAGTTTGTAAGAGCCTCGTTTATAATTATATTTTGGGAAGGATTCCTGTCCTGATGCAGGAACATTAAACTTTCTGGATGTCCCATGATCACGTTATGAAGGAGTTGTGTTCTGTGTTACAAATCAAGCCCTGTGAGGAGTTGTTTGTTTTCGTTTTCCAATTTGTTTCATGGGCTTGTCTCCCCAGGCATCAAAGACAGGCTTCCCATTATTGAAGCCCCACCCAAACTCATGAGGCCAACTCGCCTCCTCCTCCTCCAAGCCAATGTCTGGGTCCTCAGCATCCTCGTCGCTCCACGAGTCGTGGTAGGCGTATGCATTGTCAGCAGGCCTGTCTAACCCATAATCCAGTTCCTTGTCAAAGGCATCTCCATCGCCGCCATTGTCCACATCGCTGGCATCGGAATTGCCGCCCTCATTCCCTTCATCTTCAAAAATGTCATCTTCGTCATCGTTGTCATCCTTGTCATCAACTTTCTCTGGTTTGTCCTCAGGCTTGGGCTTACTCTCAGGTGCAGGTTTCACACTGGACCCTGGCTTTTCATGGGATGCTGGTTTGTCACCAGATGTGGGCTTGGCGTGGTCCACATGCCCAGAAGGATGCTCTCCAGATGTGGGCTTGGCATGGTCCACATGCCCAGAAGGATGCTCTCCAGATGTGGGTTTAGCATGGTCCACATGCCCAGAAGGATGCTCTGCAGATGTGGGCTTGGCGTGGTCCACATGCCCAGAAGGATGCTCTCCAGATGTGGGCTTGGCATGGTCCACATGCCCAGAAGGATGCTCTCCAGATGTGGGCTTGGCATGGTCCACATGCCCAGAAGGATGCTCTCCAGATGTGGGCTTGACATGGGCCACCTGCCCAGATGGATGCTCTCCAGATGTGGGCTTGGTGTGGTCCACATGCCCAGAAGGATGCTCTCCAGATGTGGGCTTGACATGGGCCACCTGCCCAGATGGATGCTCTCCAGATGTGGGCTTGACATGGGCCACCTGCCCAGAAGGATGCTCTCCAGATGTGGGCTTGGCATGGTCCACATGCCCAGAAGGATGCTCTCCAGATGTGGGCTTGACATGGGCCACCTGCCCAGATGGATGCTCTCCAGATGTGGGCTTGGCGTGGTCCACATGCCCAGAAGGATGCTCTCCAGATGTGGGCTTGGTGTGGTTCACCTGCCCAGAAGGATGCTCTGCAGATGTGGGTTTAGCGTGGTCCACATGCCCAGAAGGATGCTCTCCAGATGTGGGCTTGGTGTGGTTCACCTGCCCAGAAGGATGCTCTCCAGATGTGGGCTTGGCGTGGTTCACCTGCCCAGAAGGATGCTCTCCAGATGTGGGCTTGGCGTGGTCCACCTGCCCAGATGGATGCTCTCCAGATGTGGGCTTGGCGTGGTTCACCTGCCCAGAAGGATGCTCTCCAGATGTGGGCTTGGTGTGGTCCACCTGCCCAGATGGATGCTCTCCAGATGTGGGCTTGGCGTGGTTCACCTGCCCAGATGGATGCTCTCCAGATGTGGGCTTGACATGGGCCATGGACCCAACAGGAGGAGCTGGCTTCTTGTCCGTTACTGGCTTTTCCTTGGGGAGGGGTCTGCAGTGGGTCTTGTTCCTACCACCCGGAGCTGGCTTTCCTATCACCACCGGCTGGCCAGAAGATGTGGGTTTGCCATGCTGAATATTAGACGCTGGCTTGGCACTGGAGGCTGGTTTCTCACCAGAGGTGACTCCAAAGACCCCCTCCTGTCCCACTGGGGTCTTTCCAGCGGAAGGAAAGACGGCTTCTGTTCTGTTCTCAGCCTGGGGTCTCTTCTTCTTACAGAGAATGGGAGGTCCTGGTTCCTTTGGGAGAAGGGTGCCGCCTTCTTTGGAGATGGGTGCTTCTGGAGAGGAGACCTTTCCCTTGCCCACAGAGGTGCCCTCCTGGCTCTCTGGCCGCTTCTTGGGCAAGCAGTTGCTGAGAGACACCTCTGCATCCTTGATCAGCAGACAGAGAAGCTGATGACCGGAGGCTTTTTTCCCCTGAGAAGGGGCTCCCCCCTGGCGCCGCATCACTACATCATCACCACCACGGGAAAGAGATGCTGCTGCTGCTGCTGCTGCAGAGGTCTCTGGACCTAGAAAGGAGGATACAAGGCACAGACAGTCATGGAATCGAAGAATCAGAGAACTGTAGGGACCCCCAAGGGCCATCTAGTCTAACCCCTCTGCAAAACAGGAATTGCAGCTAACAAATCCCTGACAGATGGCCACCCAAGCTCTGCATAAAAACCTCCATGACCTTCTGAGGTGGCGATTATTATTATTATTATTATTATTATTATTCATTGATATTCCACTTTTTCCCCAGAGCAGGGCTCAAGGCGGCTTACACTAATTAAAACAAGACAGATAAAATACAAAGAGCTAAAAAACATCTACTTATGTTACGGAAAATGCCAAGTATATAAAGGTTTCAAAAATCAGGGAAAAAATTATACCAAGTGTGGGGAAACTATAAAAACTTGCCGGAAAGGAAAACACCATTATGGCTTTCACATATCGAAGCCATACCAGTGAGAAAAAGAAACATGAGAGAAGAATGGGAAACAGAGAGAGAGATCTGTTAACAGAGGTTGGTTAGATTTTCGACTGAATGATTTTTCTGTAAGTTATTTGATGCCCCTGGATGAAAGTGTGATTATAAAGAATGGAATAATAATAATAATAAACAGAGGCTGGTGGTGAGATTAAATTAAGGAAGTAGGAAGAAGTAACAGAAAAAGACGATGATTTGGTTACAGCATCACCAACTTAATGAATTATTTAAGTTGGGGAGAAAGAATGATTTTGTAAATCAAATTATTTGGTTAGAAAAAGGCCTGCTGAATAATAATCCATAATGTATAAAATGCTGCTAGAATTGGAAACCTCCCATTGTGTGGGCATTGGGTGTGGGTTTTGCCTCAGTGGCTGCCAAGGGCCCAAGAGCTGCGTCTCCCCCCCGGGTCCAACGCAGCAACATCCCATTGCCAGCCAGTGGTGGCAGAGTGCAGAGAGAGTCGGAATGGGGCGCTGGTGGGGGGGAGACCAGGGCTCCAATCCCCCCTCAGCCAGAAGTCCATCAGGTGTGACCTTGGGCCAGGTACTGCCTCCTCTTGGCCAAATCTCCCTCTCAGGGTTGTGGTGGGGATTCCATGAGGAGAGAGAGAAAACCACGTGCGCCACATCCGAGCTCCTGGGTGGAAAAGGCCGGATACAGCAATGCAACAAACAAGTCCCTCAACAAGGGGGAATGTTCATAACAATTTTTTCATTTGGAAACATGCTAAGAGGAAGGCACACTTGGGCAATCCACACCTTGATCAATTCCCACCCGGAAACCTATGTCTCCACTGTGGAAGGACGTGTGGATCCAGAATTGGCCTCCACAGTCACTTACAGACTCATTAAAACCGTATTTATGGAAGACAATCTGACTCGGCTACGAGGGATTGCCAAAGAAGAAGAAGAAGAAGAAGAAGCATAACAATTGCCTGGAGCTTGATTGTACCCAACAAGTCAACGGGTGTTTGCTGAAATGTTGGTCCTTTGGCTGATATGGAAATTTAGCAACACCAGGGAATTGTTAATGGCAGTCTTAAAGGTAAAAGGACCCCTGACCATTAGGTCCAGTCATGGCCGACTCTGGGGTTGCAGCGCTCATCTCGCTTTACTGGCTGAGGGAGCCGGCGTACAGCTTCTGGGTCATGTGGCCAGCAGGACTAAGTGGCTTCTGGCGAACCAGAGCAGCGCACGGAAACGCCGTTTACCTTCCCGCCGGAGTGGTACCTATTTATCTACTTGCACTATGACATGCTTTTGTTGGCAGGAGCGGGGACCGAGCAACGGGAGCTCACCCCGTCGTGGGGATTCAAACCTCCGACCTTCTGATCGGCAAGTTCTAGGCTCAGTGGTTTAACCCACAGCGCCACCCGCGTCCCCAATGTCAGTCTTACATCTATGCATTTATAATAAAAATTCAAAAGAGGGGAGAGGAAGAATGAGCCACCTATTAATTCATGGAAATAAACTGGGGGAGTGGGAGAAGAACCAGGCATGATCCATAGCAGCTCAGGTGCTCCATCTTCCTGTCCAGGCAGTGCCAGGCAGCCCAACCACAGAAGCCACCAAATTGCAGAGGCTGCCGGCCAGAGCTATTTCTGATTTTATGGGGCTGCCAAGTCCAGAAAGGGAGTTTCAACAGGCAGAGTGAGAATCCGCTTCTGGTGACCAAGCAGCTGGGGCAATTATCCCAGGCGTTCCAAGAACTGGAAGTAATGATGGGTTTGTCGTGTCACAATGACCCAGTTAGCGAAAAGGTCGTGGGTTGCTTAACATTATGAGACGGCAAAAAATTAGCCCGTCCTGGTTGCAACATGCCTCTGCCTACGTATTCTGTTCCAGGAGGCCCCTGGTGTGAGCCAGGGTTCTCCCCCCAGTCTCTTTCCTTCATATCGATGTGAGTTTGGCGGGTGAGTCTGGAGGATGCCTGAGTCCCTTCCGATTCTGGGTGGCCCTGTACCCACTAAGGGTATCAGCTGATGGAACACTCCGTCGCTAAACTGGGCGGTTGTTAAGATAATAGGCGAAGCTTTCCATTTAAGGATCAGCGTTCGCTTTGTGCCAGAGGGCAAAGGTGTGGGGCATCCCTCTTCCTCACCTGGCAGGTAGACAAAGAAGAACAGGCGTGAGTTGTGGGTGAGGCAGTGGGATGAGAATCTGGGACCCAGTTGCTGTGGTTGGCATCCAACTCAAGTTTGATTCTGGCTGGGATCCAAGGCTGGGATCCAGGGAGAAGCAAGATCTGTTGGGGTGTTAATGCTCAGGTGGGATATAGGTAGAGCACAGAGTTGTAGCGCTGGAAGGGAGCCCAAGGGTCATCTAGTCCAGCCCCCTGAAATATGGGGAACTCAGCAAAAGCATCCCTGCCAGGTGGCTACCCAACCTCAACTTAAAAATCTCCCAGGAAGAAGATTCCAAGGGAGTCTGAATTTCCTTCCTTGTACCAAACTCCTGCAATTTAGGCAGGGGTGACATTCTGGGAATCATTCCTAAAGCCAAAATTGCATATAGTCAAAGCCCTTTGGGTTCTATGGTGGAGGGATTTCCAAAGTCATTTCCCCCAGAACCCAGGCCCTTCTCTAGAAGGAAGTTTTTAATGTTCGATGTTTTATTATGGTTTTATAATTTGTTGGAAGCTGCCCAGAGTGGCTGGGGAAACCCAGTCAGATGAGTGGCATATAAAGTAGTAGTAGTAGTAGTAGTAATAAATTTTATTTATACCCCGCCCTCCCTGGCCAGAGCCCAGGGTGGCTAACATCAGTAAAATTACAGTAAAAAACATAATGGGGGGGCAATTTAAAATACAGGTTAAAATGCAATTTAAAATGCAGCCTCATTTTCAAAGTAGCCCATAGATCAAGACCATAAGGGGAGGGAAACATAAGGGTCAGACTGAGTCCAAACCAAAGGCCAGGCGGAACAGGTCCATCTTGCAGGCCCTGCGGAAAGATGTCAAGTCCCACAGGGCCCTAGTCTCTTGGGACAGAGCGTTCCACCACGTCGGGGCCAGTACTGAAAAGGCCCTGGCCCTAGTTGAGACCAATCTAACCATCTTGCGGCTTGGGACCTCCTAATGTTTGTTATTTGTGGACCTTAAGGTCCTCCATGGGGCATACCTGGAGAGGCGGTCCCGTAGGTACGTGGGTCCAGGGCTGCATAGGGCTTTAAAGGTCAAAACCATCACCTTCAACCTGACCCTGTACTCCACCGGATAGTAGTAGTAGTAGTATCATCATCAACATCATCATCATCATCATCATCATCATCATTAATTCTGCACTTTTATTTTTTTAATTGCCACATGTGTGAACCTAAATGCACACAAAGCCCTGCCTGGCTTAAGTCCAAGCCATCTGAAAGACCTTACTCTCCCCTGTGAACCTGCCTGGGATCTAAGATCTTCAGGAGAGGCCCTTCTCTCAGTCCCACCACCCTCCCAGGCCCCCTTGGTGTGGGTGCAGGAGGCGACCTTCTCAGTAGTAAAGGTAAAGGTAAAGGGACCCCTGACCATTTAGGTCCAGTCGTGGCCGACTCTGGGGTTGCGGCGCTCATCTCGCTTTATTGGCCAAGGGAGCCGGCGTACAGCTTCCGGGTCATGTGGCCAGCAGGACTATGCCGCTTCTGGCGAACCAGAGCAGCGCATGGAAACGCCGTTTACCTTCCCGCCAGAGCGGTACCTATTTATCTACTTGCACTTTTGATGTGCTTTCGAATTGCTAGGCTGGCAGGAGCAGGGACCGAGCAACGGGAGCTCACCCCGTCGCGGGGATTCAAACCGCCAACCTTCTGATCAGCAAGTCCTAGGCTCAGTGGTTTAACCCACAGCGCAACCGACTGCTCCCAGATTCGGGGACCCCCTCCCTGGAGAAGCCAGGCTGCCTCTCTCCTCAGCATCCTTCCACCGGCAGGTGAAAAAGACCCTCTCATTCCAACAGACTTTTGAGAACTGACTGCTTTTTGGAAAATGGCTGGTGTCAGGCTGTTTCATTGTAATTATGTCCATGTTTTAAAGTAAGTAAGTGTGTGTGTGTGTGTGTGTGTGTGTGTGAGTGTGTGTGTGTAAACACAGTTTTAACTCTATCATTGTTTAACGGTTTTTTTAATTATTGTTTTCCTCCCGCCTGGGGTCCCTATCCAGAAAAGGCAGGATATAAACATATGGTCCTGTTCACAAAAAATGCTTCCTGCCCTCACCCATCCCAACTTCCTGACCTCCTCTCCCAGGCTCACGTGGGCTGCTGTGTGGAGCAGAGGAAGTGCCTGTGAACAAGACTCCGTGTCATTTCCAATTTGCAATTATGCTAATTAATTGAGCAACTAGCACCTGAACCTGATAGCCATCAGAGTTGAATCAAGCCTGGGAGGAAGAGGAGGCGGCACCTGAGCCACCCTTGCCAACAGAAGGCCTGCTGGCAGCATGCCATCCTGCAATGACTGGCACACAAGTGCCCAGCAGGGCCATGGAATCCGAGAACTGGAGAGTTGAGGGGGACTCCACCCTCATCGTTCAGCCTGGACACCGGGGTCCATCTCCAAGGGCCTTCCGGCGGTTCCCTCCCTGCGAGAAGTGAGGTTACAAGGAACTAGGCAGAGGGCCTTCTCGGTGGTGGCACCCACCCTCCCATCAGATGTCAAAGAGATAAACAACTACTAGACTTTTAGAAGACGTCTAAAGGCAGCCCTGTTCAGGGAAGCTTTTAATGTTTGATGCATTACTGTATTTTAATATTTTGTTGGAAGCCACCCAGAGTGGCTGGGGAAACCCAGCCAGATGGGCAGGGTATAAATAAATTATTATTATTATTATTATTATTATTATTATTATTATTATTATTATCATCATCATCTAGTCCACCTCCTGGAGCAGGCACTGCCTGCAAGGAGAACCACAGACAAGGAGCTCCTCAGGCTCCCCCAGGGCCTGTACAAGCTGTTCGGTGCAACCCAAAACCTGTGCTATTCTAGGCAAAAGCCAAGAGCTGCCACTTGGCAAAGGGACCCTGTGCTCAGATGGTGCAAAACAGCCTCGGGGGGGGGGGGGTTGCAGGACAAAAGGTCTTGAGCCAGCCCTGCCTGCCAGGTAGAATAAGTAAAGGTAAAGGGACCCCTGATCATTAGGTCCAGTCGTGGCCGACTCTGGGGTTGCGGCGCTCATCTCGCTTTATTGGCCGAGGGAGCCTGTGGGTTTAACTCAGTGGTTTAACCCACAGCGCTACCCCCGTCTGCCAGGTGGAATAGCCAGGCTTTTTTTTCAGCCGGAACTCAGTTCCAGTACCTCTCAGGTGGGCACCATTACCATTATAAGAGAACAGGGGAGGCGTCCATTGTGAGTTCCAGCACTTGTTTTTTTCTAGAATAAGAGAACTGAGAATAGTCAGACCCACTTACAGGTTACACATCAGTCAGGCGTGGGGTGCTGCTAGCACCCTAAGGAGGCTTCCCCCTTCTCCTCTTTGCAAGGCCTCCCTGTCCCATGAATAGGCTGAATTCTCTTTGAAAGTGCTCCAAATTTGTGGCCGTAACAGCACCATCTGGGAGTCAGCTCCATAGCTGAGTTATGTGCTGTGAGACGAAATCCTGCTTTGAAACAGCAGCCCAGTTTTGATCTCTAGGGTGATGCTCATCCTAGTAATATACTGAGCCAAGCCTCTGCCTGGCGGTGGTTGGATCCTGTGCTAAAGTTCTGTTCCTGAAGGTACTTCCGTCCTCAGGTCCCATCTTTCCGATCTCGATTTTGTCCCACCCACCCACTTCTTACGATACGATAATCTTTATTGTCATTGTCTCATACAGAACAACGAAACGGAAAAAATCTACATCAGACATTCAGAAACCAACAAGCCTGCTATCCCAGCCTGGTTAACCCCCTAAAAACTCTGATACCCCATAATAAAATACAATATACTCCCACAGAGACTACCTTACACTTCGTTTAAAACCAAAATCGCATTTGGGTAGAAGCTGTTTCTCAGACGGCTAGTCCTAGTCTTGATAACCCTGGACCTTCTTCCAGAAGGCAGAAGCTGAAAGAGATCATTTCCAGGGTGTGCACTATCCTGCGCTATCTCTGCAGCTTTCTTATGGCACCTGGAAGCATAGATTTGATCCAAGGTGGGAAGAGTGCACCCAATTCTTCTCTCCGCAGTCTTTACAACCCTGGACAGCATTGTTTTTCCCCTGACCGTGCAGCTCCCAAACACACACACAGACCATAAGTTAATACACTCTCAACAGTGCAATGGTAAAATGCCATCAACAGGTCCTTTGAGAGATTGTTTTTCCGGAGGATTCTCAGAAAATATAACCTCTGCTGTGCTCTTCATCAGGTCTTTGCTGTTTCCCCCCCAGGTCATCTCTCAACTCCATTCCCAGAAATCGAAACACCGAGACCTGTTCCACGCACTTCCCCTCAATAATAAGTGCCTGAATATTCAATTTACATTTCCTAAAGTCCACAATGATCTCTTTTGTTTTCTTTAAGTTAAGGAGTAAGTTGTTTTTCCTGCACCACTCCCCCAACTGCTCAACTTCCTTCCTATAGGCTGCCTCCCCCTCTCCAGCCGTGATTAAACCAACCACCGTTGTATCATCTGCGAACTTAATGATCTTATGACTGGGGTAATTGGGGGCACAGTCAGCTGCATAGAGTGTATATAAAAGCGGGCTCAACACGCACCCCTGCGTCAATTTGCAAATTTTGTGTTTCAAGCTTGTGTTCAACTAACTTTTATTCAGAGTAGACCCATTGAAATGAACCTAAGTGAGTCGTGGATGCTAATTTAAATGGGTCTACTCTGAGTGAACGTCAGTCGCATAAAGATCTGCATAAAAAAATTGTCCCCCTTTTTAAAAATGCTTTTCTCCCAATGTAAACCTTTTGTGTGCAATTGTGCAGAGTCCTAACGAGAGGCGTATCAAGGGCCCCCTGTGCTCTGGGCAAGGAGCCGTATCAGCATCCTTCCCCCGGGGGGGGGGCCACTTTACAACAATAGCTGCATTAGAAATTACTACCTTTTACGCATCCCAAGCACTTGACGTGTCTGGAGTGAGGGAGAGGCAAGGAAAAAGGGCAAGAGAATTGCACACGTTTTTGCTGTCGTGCAAGAGGATGGAAAACTTCTCCCACATTGGATCTCGCCATACACAGCACACACTCCATAGTCTCCAGCCGTCTATTATTATTATTATTATTATTATTATTATTATTATTATTATACTGTGTATACCACCTTATACCCACAAGTCTCAGGGCAGTCTACCTTTCTCCTGCCTTGCCTTTTCTCATACTGCTCAGCTCCCAGCTCTCATCTGAACTCACAGCCTTACACAGATAAGTGAAGACAGATTTCTGGGGTGATTATTGTTGGGGTCCCTCAGGCCTGTGCCCCCAACAGGGGCCGGTTTCGCCAGCCCCCCAGGTATGCCTCGGGTCCCAATCTCCACAAGCAACTTCCCTCTTTTTTCACCAATACAGGCACACATTCCTTGGCAGAAGATTTGGTTGTGTTTTGAGGGACGGCCGCATTTCAGCTTGTGAAAAAGAGAAATGTGAAAAATGAATGTCTCCATTGCTCCCTCACCACTGCCCCCCTTTTTCAGGAAAAGAGCAGCTACGTAGATGGCATGCAGGAGTTCTGCAGGTGAAGCTGTCCCCCCTCTGCATGCCAGGAGAGCATTCCCTGTTGGATTTGTGCCTGCCAAAGTAAAGGCACCTGGCTCCATCTCAAAGAGCGGGGGGAGTAGTGGCAAGTCAGCCTTTTCCATGCAAGGACCAGAATTGCACGTCTAGTCCTTTTCGTCATTGCAAAACCATTCCTTGATTTTCCCCAGGAAAATAAAACCGCTCCTCCCCTCACCTGGCAGGCGCCTTGGCTTTGCATCCCAGCACCCGCCAGGACAGCAGCTGCCTCTACTCACCTGTGTGCGGTGCAGCCAGCAGGGCAGTCCAGAGGACCGAGGACCCCAGAAGGAGCAAGAGGCCACCTGGCTTCATGGTGGTGCTGAGAGACAGCTCTAAGTGCCGGGGATTTAGCCATACCGGGATATAAGCAATTGCTTGGGCGGAGCAGTTTGGCGAGTGACGTAACCAGTTTGCAAGGTGACTTGCAGGGGCCTCCCGTTAGACAGACCAATTCCATTCTCTAATAAGCTGCTTGGGACTGCCTGCGCCACCTACGCAGCCAGCGGGAGCACGAGAAGGGCAAGGTGCCAACGGGAAGAGCAGAAATCAGCCAGCGCCCCAGGGCATCATAGCTGCGTCCCACGGATCCGCCTGAATATCAACAGCTGATCCTGCCAAATTCTGGAGGAAGGCAGCTCTGTTCTGCTCTGGGGCCTCCAGAAATCAGGCTCCTTCTGCTTCCAGGCCACCGGTGGGATTCCTGATTTGTAGGGGAATCCTTTGGAGCCCCTTCCATCTCGGCAATGCTATGATTCCATGAAAAAGAGGGTTTCTGCCTGCTTTCCCCTTGGCAGCAAACATGGAGGCTGCCTTCAGTTATCTGTTTACAGATAGGTAGCCATGTTGCTCCGCCGTAGTCGAAACAAAATAAAAATTTTCCTTCCAGTAGCACCTTAGAGACCAACTAAGTTTGTTATTGGTATGAGCTTTCGTGTGCATGCGAAGTGTATCTGAAGAGGTGTGCATGCACACGAAAGCTCATACCAATAACAAACTTAGTTGGTCTCTAAGGTGCTACTGGAAGGAAATTTTTCATTTTGTTTCAGTTGTCTCCCTTGAGTCACCAATCCCAGAACACAAGAGCGTAAGATCAGGCCAAGGGCCCATCTAGCCCAGGATCCTGTTCTCACAGTGGTCAGACAAAAGCCCCAAAGGGAAACCAACAAGCAGAATCCGAGCCCAGGAGCAACTTTCCCCTTCCGTGGTTTCCAGCAACTGGGATCCAGAAGCCTTGCTGACCCCAACTGAGAAGACAGAACAGAGTTGGTGGTCATTCCTGCCTCCTGGGGGAAAGTCCACCAGGATCAGCGAGTCCAAACCCCTGAAATTTAGGAATCTTTTCCCCAGCCTGGAGCTTGAACCGTCAAGCCCTGAGGTTAAGAGTCTCATGCCCTTGTTCTGCATTCCTACATTCCTGGATTCAACCGCATCCTGCACCACCGAGGTGCACTGGCTGGTAACATGTGCTGCGGATATCTTCTTGTGATGCATGCTGAGTCACCCACGCTTGGAGTGCAAACTCATCTATCTCCAGAATTATACGTTTCTTGATAATGTTGCAGGACTGGTCAGTGCAGTGCTAGAAGCCAGGTTGCATTTCTGCATTGTTACCTTTCAGGTAGTACACCTGAGCATCTTCAGAGAGACGTCTTAATAGCAAGAGCAGGTCAACTCATTTCCTGGGGGTGGGCTGTCTCTCGTCCCTCCCACCCTTCCTGGAGGGAGACATTTGAGGACCATCTGCCTGGGGTCTTGGTCTTTTTCGGATCTCCTGGACCAGAGCACGCCAGGCACTCCTGTCTTCCACTGCCTCCCACAGTTTGGTCCTAGTTGTACTTCTCTCCAATTTAGCAAACTTGGATCCCGTTTATTAGGATTATACCCTGTTTGATTTATTTCTGTTGTGTTTTTAGATGTTGTCTTTGGCATCCATCTGTCTTGGAGGACAATGGAGAACTGGGCCTTTGGGGCTGTAGAGACTAACATGTATTGTTGCATCTGGGGCAGATGAAGGAGTCAGGTTGCGTTGCTCTTTTTAGCTATTGTGATGAAAACTGCCGTGTAATTACTTTGAAGGGTGGTGTATACATTGTGTAAGTAAATATCCTCCGTTGAGCCAGAGCCTGCCCTAGGTGGCCTACAAGGCCTGAACCATCTGCACAATTCTATAATCCTTTAATAATTGACTTGATCTATTACAGTCTAATCCCCCTTTTCCTCAAGAAAGCTGTGGTTCTTCCTGCTCCAGCTGCACAGTAGACATGTTTGCATGCATTTTTGCTGGCCTGGCCATGCCATAGCAACAACAACAACAATTTGTTTATTATTTATACCCTGCCCATCTTGCTGGGTTTCCCCAGACACTCTGGGCGGCTCCCAACAGAATATTGAAAACATGATAAAATATCATACGTGATCCATGGTCTTCTTCTTCTTTGGCGATCCCTTGTAGCCGAGTAAGATTGTCTTCCATAAACACCGTTTTAACAGTGAGTCCGTAAGTGACTGTGGAGGCCAATTCTGGATCCACATGTCCTTCCACAGTGGGGATGTAGGTTTCTGGGTGGGAGGTGATCATTGTGATGGTTTGCCAAGTGTGCCCTCCTTGCGTTTCTCCCTTGCGTCCTGAGTTTGAGTGTCTTCAAAGCCCAGGACACCTTTGGTAAAAGCTGTTCTCCAACTGGAGCGCTCGCAGGCCAGTGTTTCCCAATTGTTGGTGTTTATACTACATTTTTAAAAAATTGCCTTGAGACAGTCTTTAAACCTATTTTGTTGACCACCAGCATTACGCTTTCCATTTTTAAGTTCGGGATAGAGTAGTTGCTTTGAAAGATGATAATCAGGCATCCGCACAATGAAGAATCATTGCATCAACACTGGTGATCTTTTCTTCTTCCAGTACACTGGTATTAGTTCGCCTGTCTTCCCAAGTGATGTGTAAAAATTTTCAGAGACATGTTGATGGAATCTTTCGAGGAGTTGGAGATGGTATTTATAAGTGGTTCATGTTTCACAAGCATATGGTGAGGCTGGTAGTACAATAGCTGTGTAAACAAGCATTTTGTTTGCAGGTTTCCCTGCAAATGTCCTGGTCCTCAAACACTCTGCACTTCAGTTGGGAGAAAGCCTCACTCGCAGAGCTCAGATGATGCTGGATTTCGGCATCAATGTTGGCCCTTGTGGAAAGACAACTGCGCAGGTAGGAGAAGCGATCGACATTTTCCAAGGTTACACCATTGAGTTGGATTTGTGGCGCTGCAGAGGGGATATTTTGTACTTGTTGGTGCAGCACTTTGGTTTTTTGGATCTTGAGTGATAGGCCAAGCTTTTCATAAGCTTCTGCGAAGATATTTAGGATGGTTTGGAGGTCATCCTCTGAGCATGGTTTGGAGGTCATCCTCAACGCACACTACGTTGTCATCAGCATACTGAAGCTCTATGACAGAAGTTACAGTAACCTTACTCTTTGCTTTCAGCCTGCTCATATTGAAGAGCTTTCCATCTGTTTGATATATGATTTCTACTCCGGTAGCGAGTTTCCCTTCAACAAAGTGTTCATTGCCATTTTCATGGCAATGAAAATAATGAATAGAGTTGGGGCAATAACTCAACCATTTAACACCTGATCCCACTGTGAATGGTTCACTTTGAGAGCCATTGTTATCTGTGATTGTTGCCATCATATTATCATGGAGGAACCAAATGATGTTCTCAAATTTATCTGGGCAGCCAATTTTCAGAAGGACAGTCCACAGGGCATTATGATTTACAGTGTTGAAAGACTTTGTCAGGTTGATAAGTGCCATATACAGGGGTTGGTTTTGCTCTCTGCATTTTTCCTGAAGCTGTTGAGCGGTGAAAATCATGTCCACTGTCCCCCTAGAAGGCCAAAAACCAGTCTGGGATTCAGGAAGGGTCACCTCAGATATTGTTAAGAGACAGTTTGCTAAGATCCTTGCAAGAATTTTGCTGGCCGCAGCTAATAGAAAGATGCCTTGATAGTTTCCGCAATCAGTTGTGTCACCTTTTTAAAAGAGATTCATAATTTTGGCATCCCTAAAGTCTGCTGGGATCTCCTCTCTCCCAGACTTTTTCGATGAGCTTGTGAAGTTGTTGTGTAAGTTCAATTCCACCCACTTTGAAGTTTTCGGCAGGTATCCCATCAGGTCCGCTGGCTTTGTTGTTTTTCATTTGGTTAATAGCTATTCACAGCTCCCCCAGATTTGGAGATACTGCAAGCTCATCTCTAACTTGGTTTTGTGGAATTTGAGAGAGGACCTCAGCAGCTATGGGGGAGTTGCGGTTAAGGAGATGTTGGTCATGTTCTTTCCAGCACAGTGCAATAGCTTCTTGATCTTTTAGAAGTGTGGTACTGTCTGCTGAGCGTAGGGGGCATATGCCATGATTTATTGGTCCATGGATGGTCTTTGTGGCTTTAAAGAAACTGTGCATCATGAGTGTCGGCTAAGTGCTTGATCTCTTGAGCTTTTTTAATCCACCAGGTGTTCTTTAGTTCTCTGGTTCTTCTTTGAATCTCAGCCTTAGTGTTGACATAGGTTTTTTCCTTAGTGGCACAGTTTCTATCTCTTTGCCAGATCTGAAAGGCCTTCCTTTTCTCGTCAATCATGCATTCTATCTCACTGTCATTCTCGTCAAACCAGTCCTGGTGTTTCTTGGTTTGGTATCCAATAGTTTGTTCACAGGCTGCAATAATGAATGTTTTTAGCTTGGTCCTGTGTTCCTCCATGCTATCAGAGAATTCTGAAAGCAGATGGTCCTTAAGAGTTGTCTGGAAGCAGTCCGGCTTAATGGGATCTTGAAGGGCTTGAGTGTTCATTTTGCGCCTTGGTTTCCTTCCTTGAAGCCTGCGTTGAGGTACAATCTTGACAGTCATCGTGGAGCGTATTAGTCGTGATCTGTCCAGCAGTTGTCAGTGCTCGTCATAGCTCTGGTAAGGAGCACATCATGTTGATCTGCAGCTTGGACAATTACATGGTTTAAGAGGTGCCAGTGGTTTGACTGAGGGTGCCAAACAAGATGTTTTAATTATTTTATTTTATTTTTGTCAAAGGAGTGTGTTGGTAATAACAAGGTTGTGCGCTGCACATATCATCAAAAGTAAGATTCCGTTCTGGTTGCTGTTGCCAACTCCTTCTTGCCCAATAGTCCCAGGCCACAGATCGAAATCTCGCCCAACTCTTGCATTAAAATCACCCAGGAGGATAATTTTATCTTCCTTAGGCGTCTCTAATAGGACAATATCCAGCTGAGAGTAAAATTTTTCTTTAATGTCTTCATCAGCATCCAGTGTTGGTGAATAAGCGCTTATAATAGTAGCCCGTTGGTTTTTAGTGAGCTTTATTTGAAGGTTGAGAGTTGCTCATTAACGCCTGTAGGGACTTCTGACAGGAGTGTCACAAGATCGTTTTTGATAGCGAAGCCTACCCATGTATTCAGCGTTCTTGTTCAGATAGATCTTTCCAGAAGAATGTGTAGCCTCGTTTTCTTCCTTCAGTTGTCCCTCGCCTGCTCTTTGAGAGTCTTGAAGCACTGCAATATCAATGTTAAAACGTCGCAGCTCTCTTGCAATGCATTCTGCATTCAGGACGTTGGCTGTCTGTGTTATCCGACAAAGTCCGTATATTCCATGTTCCAAAGTTCAATTGTCTTTTACGACTGCTAGGTGGTGACCCCACTGGGCAAAAGGGAGGCAGACTACGTTTAGGGCACCGTTTCCAGCCCCTCCCCCTTTTCAGGGTGAGCAGAGTGGATCCTAAAAAGGGCTGCTCAGTCATGGGTACAGCTGCCGAGCTGCTCAACTGCCTCGTTCCTTGAGTCAGAACGACTGAATCTGTATCCACCGCCCATGTGCCGGTTCATGACTAGGGGCTTCCAGATTTCACGATCCTGCCCCCGTTACCATTGGCCAATCACCATGGCACTTTGGGGGTTTGGGATGGGTTTTTGGAAGATGCCTGTGTGTGAATTTGTTTTATGTGTGTAGATCAGTGCACGCTGACCAAC